CTAGTGACGTCATTAGGGGGAAAAAAAAAGAACGTGCAAATGGCGGCTTCCACGAGCATCGTGCTTCATTATGCACGTGCGCCAGACTTTGCTTGTGCAGACTCGTAAAAGCCGATTCTCCGTAGCGCCCGCCCACCCCTGCCAATTTCACTTGGGCATCAGGTAAAAATATCGGAGGCCGTCGTGTCACGTGCTCAACGGCTAAACTTCCCGGCGTGCACTGGGACTGGACTAAGTGGGTGGGACGAGGAATGACAGGGTTTAGAAGCAAAACTGAAGCGAGGTTATAAGGCGAGACAATATATATATATATACACATAGATAGACACGTATATCTTACAAGCCTAACGTATAAGCTTGACTCATAAAGTGACAAAAATACATATCCCATATATTCTTCATGCATGTACCTACGTGACAATTGTATCTTGAGAGTTTCATTTCCTTCCGTGCAAATAATTGTCAGTGTCCATAAGGCTGATCCTCGACCCGAGTTAACGTAAGCCGAGACAACAGAGGAGGGAGGTGGCGTTAAGGTAGCAAGGAGGAGCTGAGACGAGGGGCAATGCACGGTGCATCGACTGTATTATTTTTCAAAAGAGATCAATCAGTGAATGGCGTCGGGCGGGATCAATGGGACGCCATTGTGTGCGCGTGTGCTGCAGCTGCAGCTGGCACTCGAGTGAAAACTGTTAATATTTTCCGAGGGAGATCATGAGCTTTTTTTTTTTTAATGAAAGAAAAGACTAAATTTTTTTATTCAACCCCTTAAGGTTTTCCGTCATTCCTCAAGGGTCGAAAAAGTATTCGATCCAACTAACGATGTTACAAGTATTGCCGCAAGTGATAACGACGATAAAGGCTAGCCGGTAAGGAAAAATTTGAATTTGCCTCGACGTTCGGATACGTCTGGTTTTCCTGTAGTAGTTGACCGGATAGACGGATAAAAAAGAAAGATGGCGACGTTTACTTGACACTGTCGGATGACGCAGCGTGCACTTTAAATCTAATTGCTACTCGATTGCCAGCGTAACGTTCACGCGGAGGGAATCGATTAATATCGAGAAGGATCACCGGGTATATCGATGTTCCGTGTAACCCGTGACGCGGGACCGATAACGTCCGGAGGTAGTCAAATGAGAGTACGGGGCTCGTCATTCCTAACGAATGAAGGGGGGATCGAGGGGGCGGGAGGGGAGGGCGCCGGTAGATTCACCTTGGACGTGGGTTGAGGTTAGTGGAGTGCATTTTTTCCCAGGCGCGAGTAACGTGTGCATTCGAAGGAAAAAAGAAAAAAATATTGTTAACCCCCCTCTTCCTTAGGCGAGATAGCCGCGTCATGGGTTTTGACAGAGTTATCGTTGGAACACGGATAAATAATTATCGGAGGACTGGGGGAGGGAGGGAGAGGGTAGGGGGGGGGGCAAGGCAAAAAAACAAGAAAAGACCAGAGAAACGTGGAATAAGAGCAAGTAATTCAAAATGGAGACAGACTGAATGATTGATTGTTTGTTTCTGTGAGGGGGGATAGGGTGAGTGGCAGGGTTGAGAAAGGGGGAAAGGGGGAGAGAGAGAGAGAGACTCGAAATGAGATTAAAAATGAATTATAAATAGCGTAACCGGTGAGTTCAGCTGGAAGTTCATCGGAACGAGAAACTACATTGAAACAGCGGAACGCTGGAAGTGGACTAGGGAAATTCTTGAGACACGAAAAATATTGTGCAAACGATGTTTTTCTTTTATCCGGCTGTTTCACTTATTCAATCCTCCGTCCTTGTCTTACTCATAGCTCTTTCGCTCTCGTCCATTTATTTCCATCCTCGATTGCGCTCAGTCAGTTTACTCTCTCCCTCTCTCTCTCTCTCTCTCTCACACACAAACATTCTCGCACTTTCCTCCCTCTATCTGTCTCACGCTGATATCCCAGGCCTACGTAGAAATGCTAAGCGCGAAGTCCAGAGGGCAAAAAAATACCAGACACCTAATTAACGGACATTCAAAAAGATTCTTCACGTGGACTCGAGTGTCGACTGGAGTCGCTGGCATTAAATGGGGTTGGCGGTAGGAGGAGGAGGAGGAGGAGGAGGAGAGGGGAGGCAGGGGGGAGACGACAATTGTTGAAAATTTATCCGTGAATGTCTGCGTCCCTGCCCCAGGAGAACAAGGAGTGATCGAGAAGGAAGCGAGAAAAAAAATGTCATTTGAGACAGTTTCATTGAAGTAAATTAATGTTTCACGGGTCGGGAGACGAAGGAGGGGGCCCCATCCGTGAGATCTGGGAATTACGAGCGACGATCTCGAAGGACGGAAATTCTCGTCAGATTTGTCTTGACGGCCACTACTCGATTTGGTAAGAATCTTCCCAGTGGCGCCTTCGGTGCCACTTCGGAACTACTGTCTGCCCCGTCTTAGACTTTTGGTTGTGTCTCGAAGCTACGCGCGTGATTGGAAGTCAAAAATGAGAAATTCGTGTAATCTAAAGGGCAAAATGAAAAATGTTCAAGTACACTTTTACCTTACTTTTTATCGAGGACCACGACCACGCTATTGGTATGCGGTCGTATGTGGACACCCTGTGTATGTACGTTGGTACGAGTGGCCGGTACGGTATAACGTAGAATGGGAACTGTGATTAGCGTGGCAATGGGTATAAAAGTGGATGAAAGTCCCTACGAATTAAGAGACAATAATTCGGTAAGACCAGCATCCGGCCAATCGATGTACCATTAGTCATTCTATGGCCGCTGCTGAGATCTTCGAGCGAGAGAGACGAAGATAAAGCAAAGACGTACGAGAGAGTGGGAAAAAAAAAGAGGTCTCCGACAAAGACACAAATTCCCTTTGAAGCCGAGAGAATTCACCGACTCTTTAAGGAATCGCCAGGTAGCGTGAGTTATCCCTAAATCTAGGGATATTTTCACTGCCCATCCAATCCCTAATTCCTTTCTCGCGTCATGAAATTCCCTACGCCGATTACATGCTTTTTATCAAATATTCCTATGTGTATAGCAAAGTGCCCATAAGCCACCGGGAACATCCGATAATGTTACGATCGCATTGTCGAACTAGTAATAATAACAATAGCATTGAAGGGAGGAAGCTTAAAAAAAAAAAAAACTTTACCTGACATATATTGCCACGGTAATTATTCGTTCAGTGATTGTTGATCGTGGAAGCTCGAACAATGGCTGACGATCAAGTGGTGGTTAGGAAAAAGTTGGCAACGTTTTTCAAAACCCAACGCGAATACATAAGGGTGATCGATAATGGCCGCCCTTCCTCAAAACTTCAGACCTCCATGCGCCCCCTTGGTTATTTTAGTTACAGCACATACAGCGATACAAGTCTGTACCGGCAATGGGCAGATGCTGTTATTTCGATAGAATAGCCATACGTGCCCGAGAAACAAAGAAATGGAGATAGCACATTTTTTTCGAGGATAAAAAAATTGACGCAGTCTCCCAATATCTGATTCTAATCGTCTCGGATTTTATCGAGTGGAAATTCAGTGCAATTCAACGGCAATTGGATCTTATCAGTGAGTGAAATGGAGTGAATGATAAGACATCCCAGAGATGTTGTTACATGCCCAGTATAGAAAATTGATAATATAACCCGATAGCATTTTAGTGTATATAAAAAAATCTATTCAAATTTCAACACGATAAGCCGAACACGGACTTGCCTTCTCACAATTTCTTTTTTTGTTCCCCTCGATCGTCTAGACAGTTTCAAACAATTTTGTTTCAGGTTACTCGAAGCAAAGTGAAAATCCTCTTTGCGTCCAAGAGCTATCAGAAATGGCTAATTATTTTCTTGCAGCCACTGAATTTCTCTTTCTTGTGTTATTGGTATGTCGGTTTTTTTCTTCATATTGTCCTTTTTCAGACTGCAGAACAAAGTACCGGCTTTTTGCCGTGTAATTTTTCTTTGGTAATTCTAAAAGCACGACACTACTTCAATTAATGGTAAATCATAGCACCGTACAGACAGCTATGAAAAGTGATAGAATCAGTTCAGACCGAGACTAAGGATTGTAATGAACGTCAATAAAAAAATACACGTGGCTCTTGGTTAGGTTTAGAGTGACGTTTCTTTGAAGGAACAAAAGAAAAACATACCGTCGACCCACGCCGCTCTAGGTAAATCGAGTAAAATGAAAGAACGTATAAAACTTGCAATTACAATCAGCCAATGTAACATCTGATAAACAGTATCTAAAAGTATCAACAGTATCTTCCTGGCAGATAGACAAAACAAAACGTGGCACGTATCTCAGAAGGAATATAAAGTAATATTACTCGGTAACCTTATAGACAAAAAGATTAACTCACATGAGATAGGATCCTTGGGTATATCGCTGGGTGGGAAGCCCTGTGCCTCGAAGTAGGGCCTGACAGCATCACACTTGAGTCTTGCAGCGTTCGTCGTCGCGACGCTCAGCGTCACAAGCACGCACAGGAGGATTGACGGAGCACTCATAATCACACACAAAAATTGTATCGAAGTAACACACTTAAGTCTAAAGTTACACGTTTAGGTACACATTCGCGTTTTCGTCGGCTAATAAATACAGCGTGTCGAAGGAAACGTAGCAGGACGCTTGTATACTTAATCCTATCAGAATGCTAGCCGTGGTGGCAGTGGCTAAAAAGAACGTGGAGCGGAGGCAACCGCGCGATCCTCTCCCCACGTACTCAGGAGACGGACTGAGCGTTTACGACGGGTACAGGGTCGGTTCCAGTGCGCATGCGCACTCAAGTACCAAGGCCCCTGAGGCATTGTGGGTAAAATCTCCTTCTACACCATCGCTTCGCATCTTTGAATCTCTGCGCTGAACTTTCACGTGGTGCTTGTGGTAGTTTGTTTTATAATACGGACAGAGTGCAATGGCGAAATAATGAAGGCCAAATGACGAAACGATATGTGTACTATACCCAAATGATTTTTCAATTACAATTTTAGATAACGCAATGGCGGCCACGTTTTAATTCGGGTGGCTCATCTTAGCATGGGATTAAAGAAGCCTCTGAACGTTTTTGATCTATTTTTCTTGTTCTCTCTCGCTTTCCGACGGGAAATTATGAAAGTTTATGTGCCCTCGGGGTAACTCTTGGGACATAAAACAAGTTCATTAAAGATTCAATTTTGGATGCACTTGACAGAATGAGACTGTGGAGATATATATGTTTACTTTTGCTTCTATCGTCTTGATAACTTATATGGTACCGCCTGACTCGCGGCTGCTGCATTAGATTTGATTAGGTATTTGAAAATTCATTGGAGATACGTGTACCTCTTTATCTATTATTGTGTGTGTTTGGAATTGTATATTCTGTAGAGTATTTATATATCTTTATCGTTCTAATTTATCATTGATTCAAGAGGAGTGACTCGTTGTTAAGCAAATTGATTAACGATTACTATGGAATGTATTTAGAGACAGGAAACGCGTTTACTTTATCAATACATTATATACTTTTGTGTGTGTATATATATATATGTCTTCACAGATAATATAAATTACATTTAACACTAATCGGACGGATTCAATTTGTACTACAGTGTATGTAGGTGAGCATAACATATACAACTTATCTTAATTAAAAAGTTGGAGTAATCTTGTGATCAAGATATACTAATTGTTGCATTATATAATACTGATTTACTGCAAATATTATTTAGTCGTTAAAAATCATATAAGGCCTTACTTATTGCGTGTAAATACAATATAGTTTTACGTAGTCAGACTATCGTCGCGTCGCCATTTCTTAAATATATGTTATGGTACTATGGCAAAGTGGGCAAGCATTGATATTAACAACGTCCCGTTCAGTGGCTGCGTAGTGTCTGCAAACAGTGCAGATCCAGGCTGTAGTCAGATCCATTAAAGGTTTTCCGGAAACGACGCAGGCCGGAAATCTGGATGAGCAATTGGGACATGCGACGCACCAATCAGGAACCATGGTTTCACAGTTGACACATTCGGTCCTGGAATTGCGAGAATCCTTAGGACTGTACTTAGTGAAGATACTTAATGCAAGATCTTCATAATCTTCTTTCTTGGACTCGGAGATCTTCTCTAGGGATTCAAGTTTTATAAAAGCCTTGGAGCAGGTTGCAAAAGCTCTATTGAGACAGCTGGACAATGCTAACAGACAATAAATGTCTTCTGAATCCAGAATATCCTCGTACTCCCTTAGCCTAAGAGATGTCTTCGTCGCAGCATCTGATTCTCCATTGTAAAGCTGTCTGTGAGCTAGAAGAAGAAAGTGGTAGGCTTCTGCACCGCGCCACGCTCTTTCGATAACCTTGGAATCTTCATTACTTTCAGTCAGACCCATCACCACGTTACTTCTGGTACCCTTGAGAGCTGGTGTATTCTTGATATGATCTTCTATGAGAAGAGCAGCCAGAACGTAAATCTTCTTTACCCTGAGAGGATTGCTTCTTTCCTTAGCTTTCTCTTCAGCTAACTTGAAGAGTAATTTTGCTGCTTCGAGATGGCAGTTTGCCTTCTTGTATAATTCTATAGCCTGAAGTCTCTTGCCATTTGATAAAAGATGCTCTGCATACTTATTTAATAAGTCCCCAATTTGGACCATCTTGTACGTTTTTGCCAAGTCCACAGCTTGGTCCCAGTGATTCAATCTAACACAAGTATCTACTGCTTGCTTAACGTCACCGTATTTTATATAAGCGTTTACTGCCTGGGGACACATACCCACGGAAGCCAGCATTCTTGCTACTGTCTTCAAGATTGGACTTTTGTCCGGAAGCTGATCCACAGTTGCTGCCAGTTCGTGGTAATCTTCTAGCTTGTAATGGCATTGTATAAGTCTTTCCAGATTTCGACCCTTCTCATAATACTCCCTGGCGCCATCCCAGTTCTGTCTCTCTGCAAAAAAGTCACCAATTTTGTTGAAAGCATGTTCCATCTGTTTATCGGAACCACCTATACCCATCTTCATGAGCTGCACCACCCGAAAGTAGTCGCCAAGCTTTTGTCTAAGAGAAATAGCCAGATCACGACGGTCCAAATTAAGATAAAGCTTTTCAGCTTCGTCGTAGTTACCCAGGAAGGCAGCAACTTCAGCGCGTTTCAGCTGATCATTATGAACGTTTTGTAGACGTTTAATGAACTGAATTCCTAGGTAATCTGTACAGCGTACCATTGAATTCTCAGCAGTTTCCAAGTCCAGTTGTTTCAGGGCAGATTCTGCCAATAGACGCCATAATCTAGGGTGAGGATTATCTTGGATGAAGTTATTGGCCTCCTTCAGACCAACTTTGGCTAGTAATTCTCTAGTATCTCTTAACGATTTCACTTCAAGGTCTAGGATGTGATCTGGTCTTGTGTCATCCGGATGTTGCATGAGATCATCTAATAGTACACATCTGATCTCTAAATCATGAAAGGAACAGATATATCCCGAACAAGATATTGGTTCCTCGGGATCTAAGCCACGTAGAACATACATCCTTGTCTTTTCCATGATTGCTAACAGAGTAGGATTATCCTGAGCCCAACACATTGCCCACACATCCTTTCTTTCAAATTTACTACAATCCTCATTATCACCAGATCCTTTCTGATTTTCAAAATCCAACATGGTCAGGATACCAGAAGTGTCTATTATGGAGGCTCTGGTGGAATTACAATTGACTGCCATTTTACATGGCCTCGCATTGGTGCTGTATCTATTTGTCAATGTAACTTGAGGTAACGAATAGCACTGTATCATTCCAGATTCTCTACCAACCAAGAGAATCTTCTCTGTAGAGCATATAGTACAAATAGGATCAACAGTAGCCTTAGTGTTCACAGGAGTTTCAAAAGTTCTATCTCTATCCAAGTCTTGTATGACTTCCGTAACACCTGTAGGAGTGTCATCCACATGGTAGATCCTGTCCCGTCGAGTTCTGCCAGCATTTAACGCAGAATTTCGTGGCGTTCGAAAGTTCCATAGAATAAAATTATTTTTAGAAGCTGCTATGACAGTATTACTTGTCATGGTTATCCATAGAGGTTCCAGGTCCAGGTACTTGGTGTCTATCGGAGTGGCTATGGTGTTACATACGATCAATGCAAATTGCTCCATTCCTTGATTAGCTTCATTTCTAGTTGCCAGGACACAGTGTTCTCCCTGAGAAGCGACGGAAATGAGAGAACGCACGTATTTTGTACAACAAGAATTATTAGTGGTGTTCCAGAAGATAACGCAGACGCCATCCTTCGTAATTCTCTCGTTGGCGAATACCACTGTGTTACTGAAGTAAGTCCACTTATAGTCCGGCCGTATATTTGCAAAGTAAATATGGGAGTCTACGGAGAGAGCTACCCTGAGCGATCCACCTTCCCAAGCACAACAGGTAACCTCTCTACCAGGAACTTTTAAAGTCCTCACGTGTTCACCAAATGGAGTGTAAAATTGTATAAAGTTAGTGTCCTTTTTTTCACCATTGGTTAATAATGGCAATAAACCAGTAACTGCTAGTAGGGATCCGCTGTTGTTCCAGGAACACCAAACAGCTGTCATTCCTGTTTCTACGACGACAGGGTTGTCATCACTCTCGTTTCTCATTAATTGTACTCTGCCACTTTGATAACAGATAGCCAGTGTTGGGCAGTCTAGGGCGACATAGCCATTCTTGCCATCATACCAATGGAGAGCTACGATAGTTTGTGTTTGTCCAGAATTTCCAAATATCGATGAGGGCTTCATAAGGAAAACACCTTGATTATCGTAGAGATGAACTTCACCTGTTTTCAGACCAAATAGTAAAAGTTTTCCATCCGGTGACCATTGTACTCCAGTCAGAGATGTATTCTTCAGTTCCTTTCCCCATATTCTGTTTCCATCGACAGACCCAACAATCACAGCACCATCCTCATACACGATGCAAATTTTTTGACCATCGGAACTCCAGGACATTCCTTTAACCACAGACTTATTCCGATTATTGATCATTTCTTCATACCAGGATCCTTTGTAAAGCATCCACACTATTATAACACCATGCTGATCACTCGATGTTAATTTTTGATGCTCCTCGTTCCAGGTAACCACTTGTACATGTCCATTATGACCTTCCAATGTTTGATTCATGCTCAAGTTACTTGCTGCAGCCAGACCTCTTGTTTTCCCATCACTACTAGGACCGCTTGTATTCGATTCAACTCTAAGGACTTTCAAAAGACCATCCTCTCCTCCTACAGCAATGAATCCCTGTCTCTGATTCCATGCTATACAATTCAGGCGAAAGTTGTTCGGTATAGCAATCTTTTTGCTTAAATACACAAACATTTTTGTGCACAGCTAAGAGCTGTTAATCGTAGTCCACAATTAATACAATGAACTCTGACAATAATCCTACCACTATTACAAAATTGCATTCAATTCAAACGTATGACATATCAAGCTAAAGTAATTGTTTCAATAATTTCTTCTGAGTAGAATTTAACACATTGGCAGCTTAAATTTTTGTTACCAATAAAATTCATTATATACGCAAAGTCAAATTATCCGTTCCATAGTATAATGACAATGTTAAGTCGTGAATATTACTTCTGTCAGAAAATAATGGAACAAACAGCCATATTTGTTTATACCGCGGGTACATTCACATATTCGCAAACAGCGTATACAATTATAGAGTCCCTCTAGTAAGAGTCCGGCCAACATCCGGAAGGGACGCCATATTAAAGGCTTGTTTGGCGCCACCATGACACTTATTAGCTCAAAATCGCTCATTAAAGTAAATTGACAGTAATGCAATAGGTCACGTCCATGTTGTTTCAAAACTTTTCATATTCCTCGGTTCGCACTGTAATCTTTATTTTTTTTATCTTCCTTTCAAATCTACATGACTTTTTTCAAGTCTTTCGGGATAACTGGTGATGCGGTACAATATAACAGATAGCAGAATATATCCCATCTATTTTTCCCTTTTTATCTAAAATAGTATTGTACAGTGATATAATATTCATACTACAAACGTTCTATTATAGTACTTAGATGTATCAGAGGTGCCCGTGTAGTTCGTTCCGTCCGAAGATTCTTTAAGCTCTATCTAATCTTAATATATATATGGTTCGTTTTATATAAGTATATATATGAAGTATATAAGTATGTATAAGGATCCGTCTTGGAATATTGGGAATGGATAAAGTTGAGACAATTAAAAAAAAAAACACCATCCAAATAATAAAAACGAAAGTACGTACTTGCAAAAAAAAAGAAAAAATATCTGTGCGTCATTCGATGCTTCTATCGTATTCTATAAATATTGTCTACCTCCTCGAACCCTCAACAGTCGACCCGTTAAAATCTCTGATGATTTACAAGACACCCATTAATTGAAACGAATTATTTCATATGGTCCTAATTATTGCATATGGATATTTGCGATCGAGGATATCAAACGCACGGGTTATTTATATTAGAGTTCAAAAGGATACCTTACTATTTCTATAGTAATGAAAGTATAACATCACTGTAATGTCATAATTTGAGGCCTTGCATGTTTTCAGAGAACAGGATGGGTAACAGGATGGGAGGTGCTGGTGTCACTGGTACAGATGTCTCCTAGAAGAATCTACTGAAGAAGCTCTTCTTTTCATTCTGCTTGATGGACTTCAAGAAAATTGCATCAATGTCCTTGAATACTTGTTCGCTTGACTTAGCTGCATTTACATAGTTGTGAATACCCTGGAGGGCGTAATAATCCACTAGGGGCTGCGTCTGGGTGTGATACGATACTAATCTTTTTTTAAGTGCTTCTACGTTGTCGTCTGATCGTCTGACCAGTGGTTCACCAGTGACCTGGTAAAATTAGTAACAAAAATTAAAAAATAAGAACCAGTGCAACCTATTCTACAATAGGTAGAAGTGTTAAAACAGACAAGGGTTTGTTAAGTTTTTATCTTAAGGACAGATAATTTTGTCTAAATGTGCAAAATTCAAGGTCATTAAAATAATAAATTATAAGAGATAGAATCAGATACCATATAACGTATTAAAAGAAATTAGTAAAATCTTGATCGAGTATCTTTAATCATACTTACATCATCCTTCATGTTAACTTTTGGCGGTGCAAATTCATCGTGATATGAGCGTCCACTGGCAGGATGGATGAGCCTTCCTGTAATTCTTTTCATTAAAAGATTGTCATCGATTCCAAACTCGATAACAGCATCCAGTTTCGTTTTCCTCTTCTGAAGCATACTGTCTAGCTGGAAGGGTGACCTCACGTAGAATATTCCTTTCATATTTCCTTTTATCCATCCTCATGCAAATGTTACCTTCTCAGCCTGCGGAACGGTTCTAGGAAATCCATCAAGTAAAAAGCCTCGTTTACATTCAGGTTTATCCAAGTTTTTGTCAACCATATTAACAACCAATTCATCACTGACGAGCTTTCCCTCATCCATAAACTTTTTCAATTGAGCACCAAGAGCCGATCCAGACTCGATCTCTGCCCTTAGCATATCTCCAGTGGATAGATGACATACACAGTATCTCTCCTTGAGCAAAGGAGCCTAAATCAAATAAAATAAGAATGAGCATATCGATCACATAACAAAATAACCTCAAACCCCCTATTCTTCACCCCGAAATATAAGTATCTATGCATCAACCCCAACCACATGTTTTACAAATATACGAAGTAAGTAACAAATAGCTACATATTTTAATAATCAAGAATTATAAGAAACAAAAGAAAAACTACAATATCGAGGTAAGATCGAATACCTGAGTTCCTTTGCCACTACCCGGGGGTCCCAATAGAACAGCATTAATTCCACGAGGAGGTACTTCCACCTTCTCCTTAGGTACTGTCGCTGCTCCAGGTGCCATTTCTCTTAAATATCGTTAAAATTTTACAACGTAATTATGTAACTAACAAGAGTTGTACAAAAATTATCGTGAATCAAACTATCGGCCCGCCAAGAGCAGGAACTAGAAACGGCAGGCACTGATGTGAATGAGACTTTAACACCCACTGATTCCGTCTGGCATGCGTTTTTTATGTAAACTTTATACCCTGGTGTTATCATTCAATAGATAAAATAAATACCTATTAGAGAAGATAAAGAAAGCAAAGCATTAGAAAACGATACACAGAATATTTTTTTTCATTTAAAACTATCAAAAAACTCTGCTTGCACAAACAATTCTCATGATAATTCTGTGGTCCTTTATTTACAAAGCTTCCCTTAGCTCTTATAACAATTACAAGATTCATCTCTGCCACAGCTTATTCTATATAATTATTGTCCACTGTATTTTAAACAGGGTATAGAAATATGAATTATAAGTATATAATAATCCAGCTATAAATTAATTATACAAATTCATTGGCATATAGCAACAATAAAGAAATTTCTCTTTTGGACTTTAAGTCATAAACGCTGGGACTTATAATTCTTGGCCTGTACAAAGTACAATGGACATATTTTATCTATTTACACTGAAACAATAAACAGATCGATTCCCATATCGTATAAATAATACAAATCTATCAAAAAACAATGTCTCTTTGTACTAGGATATCTAGAATAAATTACCTCTAGCATTTATCAGTTACATCCTCCTGTAACTGATCATCATCAGTAAGATGAATATGATCATATATATAACTTATCATCCACACAATATTTTACATCCCATCAATTAGTCAGAAGCTTGCGAGAGGGATTATATTTTTATGTAATATTATTTATCATTTCTTTCTTCCTCACCTCTGCAATCCAAACAGGGAGGAGGCGATATAAAAAAAGATTATTATTAAAATCTCCTGCCTACACAATATACTTTCTGTTACATTATATGAGAGGATGTACAAAATCAAAATTATAATTGTTTTTTAACACCTAACTATCCGCCTATCTAACGGCGGACGCAGAAGGAAATTAAGCTTTCTTAAAAAAACATTTAATGCGACAGTCGTAGACAACGTTGCATACAGAATATTCCAAATGGAATATAATCAACGTAATAGGTACTTCAGCATTAAATGAAAAGGAAATTTCAAAGAACATGCGACACCCACTTGCAATTTTGGAAACTCAAAAATTGAACACATTGATAATCGCAAGCCTGACTAACGCGATTGTTGCACATTGGCGTTGGCGTATAAAGAACAATTCGCCATTTAATTAAACAAGCTTTTTTCCTTCTGTAATTGTTTATTATACGTCAACTAGCATCCGATAAGTCGCGTCCATTTCAGTTTAAAAAATTCTCCCATGCCAGAAGGAAAACTATTACCTTGGCTCCAGCGCAAATAATTCCTTGATTTATTCTCTGAATATTTTCTCATGTCCCACAGTAGCAGGACAAAATCTTCTAGACACGACTAACGGATTTGTCAATATAACTATTATAATTCCTAATACGCGATAAACTTTATTGCAATTATTAATGACAGGCCATTCCCAATTATTGTCAAGTCTGACACCTTTCTCTTTGACGTGAAAGGTGGGAAGGCGGTATAGTTATCTACTCGCATAATCGCCTCAACGTTTATAAAACCGACATCAAATATGCTTATATGGTTTTCTTCGATGAGATAAAGTAGTAATTAAGCCTGTCGACAGAAAAAGAAAATCATTATGCATACAATAATAAATACTAAGAGATGCCTCTGTTAATTCTTTATGTCAAACAGATATATTACTTTTTTTTCAAATGTCATTTAACCTTGCTTTCACATGCTGGAAGTAAGTCAATTGTATGAAAAGTGTTAAATTGTAATAAGAATTATTGCAGAGAAAATGTCTGTATGTATTTTGAATATTCATACTGTTACTATGGATATTAGGACACGTTAAAGATGTTCAGTATTAATAATATTCTCCTCCTCCATTTCCTGAATCTTTTGCCGCTCAACCTCTTTCAATAACTTTTAATCAAGCTTGGCTCGTTAATGAGAAATTGCTAATGTTGCATATTCAGACATCCAATTTTCTTTTATCGACGGTTCGACTTGAGCAATTTCCATTCTGTCTTGTAAAAATCTTAATTATATTTCTGTAAATGACCTGACTGTCCCAAACGGTTCTCTTACATTTATTATACAATTTCGATATTTTCTTTATTTTTATATCTGCATACATCTTGGATGTATCAGCTACCAGGAGAGAATTTATCTATTTATATACTTTCCAAACAAGTCATGCAGCTCAAAAAATCGTTTCAAAAACGTCTAATGCAACAGATGTTGTCTTTAGGCCACCTAAAAGATGACTTTAGGATTTATGTGCTGTCTGGGACTATTATGCATGGATGCCAGTATTATTCAGTATTGCGAATGAAAAGCTACTAGTCGAAAAAGAGCAGAACGATTCCTGACGGTGAGTATTATTATTAATCTTGTTATTATTATATAGAATCTATCTTGGAGTTTTTCATACAATTTTCCTCGCATACTATTCCTCGTTCATCCTCCCCTTAATACACTTCTGTGTACTCATTGCTCTTTCTGTCTTTCTCCTCTTTCTTCTCTCTCTGTGTCTTTCTCTTTTGCAAAAATATAATATAGCGAATCTTTCATTTATTCGCAGACTTTCTGAAGGAACGACAAAAAGGAACCGTTATGTTCATACATGGAGAAGCTGCAATCTAATTAACAATAAGTTTGCACTGCTACATTTTATGTGTTTTCCCATTTGCAAGAAAGAGTTTCTATATTCTCACCGGCAGAATTCGTCCCGATGGTACTCTCGTGCCATCCTCTATGAGAAGTGCGACGGTCTCTTACGGTGTCCTGGTTATTTTACAATCCTTAGGCGAAAAAACATGGCGTGCACTAGCATCGCCGTCTTTTATATGACATTTTTATTTTGCAATCCTTTTTCGAATCCTTTAACACATTCCCTTGTATTGCATACAGCCAAAAAGTTGATTAATATCCATTTTAACGGCGGACAAGATTATTGTCTATAATTATATGTATATCAGCTAAAAAGATGTCCACCCAGAAAAAAGTCAGCGTTCCAGGACTCGGGCGTCCTGGTGGGACAATAATAAATACGTGTACTAATACAGGGCTGCTCAGTTTCTCCAAACAATTATCAAATATGTTCAATGTGTTTCATTTGAATAGCCCCGTACATATTATATTGCGTGATACTTGGTGTCAGCTCTTTATGTTTTCAATTTTTATCTCCTAATGTCTACTCGTTATCATTCTTGAATTTTTGTTTCGTATCACATCGCACTATCTGTACTGTTTTTCATTGTAGTCGCGTCCTCAAAAACCTGTGAGGTCGTTAACGAAAAATGAAAAAAAAAATTCAGACCCTGGAGCGAGTGATAAAATAATAACATGCACGTAGATCATTAGAACAAGTCCGACTTCTCACTCGCCCTCTACATTATTCATATATCTTTTTTGGTCGTGCTCGACTTAGAAATTCTAGAATGGCAATATGGCCATAGCTAATATGATCCATCGGATCGCATTTTTCTTTCCACGAATCTTCCGGAATATCACCCTTTCCGCAATCTTGACTTTCTACTTCACGATTCTGACTTACCTCACACCAAACTGTCATAGTACGCGCAGTGGAATGGTTCACCGGAATGTCGTAATGGTTTTCTTATTTTCTTGTTTTTCATTAAATCCCCGCCAGGAATTAATTTCGATGCGTTTCCGTTTTCCACGGTTAAATATTAATGCTGCCTAACACACCAGATGGACCTAGTGCGTTAGTCGCCGATTTCACATAGCTTCCTGACTGTTCACTGACTGGGAGCTGCGCGACGTCTTCCGGCTTATCGGTTCCAAGTAGGCAGCTGGTGCCCAACCTTCAACGTTGCTACCAATTAATTTGACAAACCACCAGCCGGCGCAGCCAACTTTAAGTAGCTCAAGGTTATCGCCCTCTCTCATGGTGACCTCGGATTGGCCTACGGCGCAATAATCAGCCAGGGCGACAAACCTTCCACCCTGGAGAAAATGAAGAGACCGTGGAGATTGTCAAATCAATAAGGTATATTCTTATACCATTGCAATTGGCAATTGGAAAACAATACTCACCGGTGCTGGTCCAGGATTTTCGCCAAAAGTATCCTCGTCGTCGCTATTGCTGTTCTCCGAACTCCAGGCAACGTCTTCCTCGGTAGATTGAGAAACATCGGTTATGTGTGAAATCACACTGCTACCGTCCACGGAGAGCGTCCTGAGGGACCCTGAGACACTGCTCTGTGCTTCCCAGGAGATAGTTTGTCGCAGCGGCCTGAAAAGTACCCATTCGGTCACCTCGTACGGACAGTAAACAGTACTGGAAACGTACTTGTGATTCGATTGTCCCAGGGCGGTGTTCTGCTTGCCCTTTAGCTCAGCTAATTGAGACATCAGAACACCCTTGATCTGCTGGACCCAAGACTGCTTCACATCTATGCTGGGTGCTTGTATTGTATGCACTTCCGCTCTGCCCTGTAACCAGATCTCGAATCTTCTTGCGTCGCCCTTTACGGATTCCGTCAGACCAATCTGCGACATCTAAATCAAAAACAATAAATTTCTTCAAACTCCGATTCAGATCTTCGTTAGTAGCATTCAGTGCGCTTCTTTAAATACCTTCAGGTATCTTTTGAAGTGATAAGTGGCCTTGTTATGCGCTTGTGGCTTACTGTGCTTGCAGAATATCAATGCTTTCTCATACAGGAATATATGTCTCTGAGATGGTTTTAGCCTCAGTCGTCGTTCCCTCTTACTGCTACTCCAAACGCTGAAGGAACCTTGCAGTAGGAGCTCACCCTGAGCACCAAGATCGCCACCGAAACCAGTTATTGCAGTTTGATGCATACTGTCATTAACGCACTTCAGAACGACCAGCATGCAATCGAGAGCTTCGTGCAGCTCAGTGCAGCAAAGTGGTTCGTCGCTGTACTTCAATAAGTCTTTGAGTAGCAGCTGATACTTGGTTATTCTCTGAACAGGCTTCAGTAAGTACGCAGCTAATGGTAACTTGTGCCCTAATTTTTGCTGACAAGTAGTCAGAAATTGAGGCTCGCTTTGTATCTGTTCGCGCAACCTCTCTGATCTTGGGATATTTTGACAGTAATAACTGTATAGCCTGAAGAACATCTTTCTCTAGAGTGAAAGGAAGTGATGAAATTAATATTAAATACTATGAATTTCTTCATAGTATCCATACGTATAATAAAAAGCATTCTGCTTACCCTCTGCACAAAACAAAGAGCCACTAACTCCGTGTTCGTGATGCAATTCTCAAGATCCCGAAGAAACGTCTCACCGTGAAAGACGTAAATCTCTTCCAGATTTCCAAAGAGAACATCAGCCTTTCCTACCAGAGGCGACGGTATCAGGTGTGCCATAGCTTCATTGGCCAACTCCATTTTGTAACCCTTTATAATCGAACCTAATTCAGCCACGTAAATCCTTTCAGTTTCCACAAGTTCAGCAAGAACGTGGCCACGCTTAAGACGTAAGACTTCCACGTCCCTAGCTTCTCCTTCCGGTGATGAAATTTCACCTTCTATCGGACCCATCTCCATCTTGAGTACAATTGACACAAAAGACATACAATTTTTACACTCTATTCGATTCTACTGATCTAGGTCATTCAAAAGACATAATTTACACTCACTACCTTCGGCATGGTATTCGCCTTCTTCAAGATTCTTCCTGGCTTCACGGTTTGCGGTGCTGGTTGTATAGGTTTTGCTGGTTCTGGTGTTACAGTCTGAATTGGTCGCGCCGGTTTAACCAATTGTTGCTTCAATGCAGCGATCCTCTTGTCACACATTAATGAAACGTCCTCTATTCTTTGCAGGACCTATCCAGGACAATGCACGTAAACGCTTTTAGGATATTGGCGGGAAGTCGTTAAAACGCTATAACCTAATTATAAGTTTTATTCGTACCTGAGTAACGAGAGCCTTAGTTTCCGGTGTAATGGAGTCTTGAAAGATGCATCTTGGATGATGAAACTCTTCAGCAGCTTCGATGAGTTGCTGTAACTCCTGAAGGGCCTGATCCGCTGGAGTTGTGCTGTTCTGAGATGCCAATAACTCGATTCCACGGGTGCACCAGGTATTAGCCTTTTAAAAAAACATATAAATAGTTAATCGACTTTTCGGATATTTGAATAAAATATTAAATAATGTCCACTGACCTTATCAATACGTTCCATGAGCTCCCTGCACTTTGTCAAAGTATGCAATCTTCTCTCAAGCCTCTGACTAAGGATAGTGCAAACTCGCTGTAACTCAGCACACTTCGGTTCCACAACTTCAGCAGGGCACTGATGTCTGCCGGAGAGTAATTGTTGTCCAGCTGTGATGACCTCTTCGGCACGATCAATGTCTCCCTAGCATAGAACAGGAAGAGTTTTCTAGAAATTGTGAGAGTTCAAAGGTACAACAACAACAAAAAAATAGAGAAGAGTTCTCATGTAGAAACATACTACTTGAACACCGAAATGCTTGCAACTGATAATAAATAATTTATTATCCACAGAGCGTGCAGTGCATATAGTGCAAAAGAAAGGAAGAGCAAGGAGAAGAAGAATAAACTAAAAAATATATAATATATACCCCTTCATTTAGTCATGCCGTGTAAGAATCTTTTAAATTGATATTAATTATTTCGTATCGACGTGCATCCTCCTCCCTCCCTTTAGTCCAAAATTTGTGTCAGGCTTTTATAAAAACTTCGGTTTTAGCATTGTGTCGCTTTAGTCGGATTTTGATTGGCTGTCGGTGTTGCCAGTAGACGAATGTGAAGGTACAGTTTCAAAAGTAAGTTAACTGCTTCAGGAAAATGTTGGATAATATTCGCCAATGGTGATGAATGTTATATTAAGCCGGGCGAATGTGACACCAGACGATGTTGATTCATTGCAGAAAGAGATTTTTGGTTTAGAGAAATATGCACCGCTTGAGAAAGTGATTTCGAGAAATACCGATGGAGTTTGATCAGTGGGTATATGAACTTTGATAAACAGTGTGGTAAACATGTAATTTTGTACAGTACGCGTGTGTAGTGCAATAATGCAATTGTTCAGAACGCTAAAGCGCCGTCGGTTATTAAGTCTAGCGCGAAACTGCGTGTTTTGGCCTAATCGATAATATAATGACCAGTATTATGAAAGTAAAGTATAGGGAGAGAAAAATACAAATCCCCTGAGACCCTTATTTTAAATTCCTCTCACAAATTCATATCGAATATTTACAAGAGATAATGCTAGGTTATTATCATACATGAAGAATTTTATTGATAGTGGATTGCTTACCAAGACCCAAATCCACATGGTATGCAACAAATAGGACTATCGACAAAATGAGGAAAGCGGTGCGGAGTAAACATATGTGCATCGTGTGTGTCGGGCTGGCATAATAATCCAAGTTGGAATATCATTAAGAACAAAAATAATTAACGCGAAGTATCGTATAGAAGTTAAAAATATTCCAACTAAGATCATACAGACTTTTCTTTATTTTCCTTTTAGTGCATACTACGTAGCGCATTGTGCATTGTGCCGAAAGAATTTTCACAAAAGATCAAGACTCTACCGGTGTGAACGAAAACTTCGTCACTTCAATGTCCGAATTTACTCCATCAAATATTTATGTCCAATCTCAAGTGTACCCGGTGTGTACAGTGTCTAGTAAATCAGTAGTGACTCACCCTGCATATCCTTTGAAAAGCTGAGGTGTCACGAAGCAGCTGGTCCACCCTGGCCTGAGTTTCACCGACTTCCGTCATGTCCTCAACGGTTTTCAAATGCTGATCAAGACTGGCTTGAAGTTCCCGGAAGTCCTGTTCAAATTGACGAAGTGCCAAGCAATGGCGGAGACGAGAGCTGTGATGCGACCAGAAGAGATCAAAGGTGCGTTCGGTTTCCTCCAACTGTACCAATAATCTATAAGATTGAAAGATAGATATAAATATAATTAATATATATACTGGTCTTGCCCGATCTAATTTAATTATACAATTAAACACCTCTCGACTGCTGCCACGTTTCCCAAACGATCGGCTGTTCCTTTCCCTGCGAGTTGTCGCACGCTGTCGAGAAGAGCTTCGCCGTGCCTTGCTGCACTCAGTATCTCTTCCTTGAGCTCGTTGTACTCGGCTTGTTGCTGGCTCAGCAACGTAGTTGTCGCTATTGTATTATTAGGGAATTCAACTTCAGCCAGTCTCCTAGTGAAGGAGTCCAGCGCCATGGACACGTCTTGGGTCATGGATGAAAATTTTTCCAAACTCTACCAAGACAGTATAAGGTAATACAACAAGATCAACTATTTATGCTTTGTGAAAATTGAATGAGCTCACGATTCTATTTTGTATCCAAGTATGATGACAGTAAGGCAGATCACCGCCTAGCTGCTCAGTCAGCTGATCTTTCTCCACAAAATCATATAGCTCTGATACGTTGGCGAGTACGATAACCCGAAACTTGAATTCGTCCCGGAAGAGCTTATTAGACACTTCTGATATAGTCTTCTGGAGAAAGCCAGTCGGACGTAGAACATACGCCACGTGTACCAAGCCAGGGAAGAATGCCTATAAACATAAATAAAGAATTGATGTAAATAAATAATAAAAATAAATACAATGAAATAAACATGCAATCAATATAGTAAAAGTATTTAATAAACTCACCGAGATCTTTAATAAAACTGTTTTAACGGAGTTCCATTTATCATTTCTTCTGTCTATTATCAAATGGAATCCAAGATCAGCTTCTTGTAAGCTACAAATAACCAAATAAATTTATCAACAATCATTAAATCTATATGGACTTGATTAATAAATAATAACAGTAGAACAGAAAAACTCACGTTGGCACAGAAGTAAGATAAAGCATAAGACGCTGATAATCCAAATCAGTCAAATTGTGAAAATTTCCATTGTCTGGAAATGTGATTATCGGACACCCCTCTCTAGTCTTGCCGCCTGTAATCAAAAAGTTTAAGGACGTGAATAATTAAGTAAAAAAATATCCAACAGCACATTTTCCATCCTTCATTTTTCATCCTGCAAAACCATGAGAATAAGAAATTCCACACGAGAGCTTATACGGAATCCCGTTTGATACAATAGAGTTCATAATAATTACCCCCTAGAAATAAATCCCACAAGACAAGAGAATCGAGCTTTCCCACGGGAGGAATTTTCTCACGGAAGGAAACCCTTCTTTTTCTCCCTCGAGATAAAATGCACACCGAGTGACAATAAACAAAAAATTTAATTACACAGCCAGCATTCTATAAACGACATGAACTTCCACGTGGACGAGATAAAGTTTAAAAAATCATAAAGAAACGTAATTCCATATGGATATTAAAATTTTTCACCTACACTCCCGATAACGTTCGTAGACCAAATGATTTTTCACCGCGTTTTAACTAATGACCAATTTCGGAGGAGAATTCCTTTGGAGGGAAAAACCGGTTTTAACGGATTTTTATTAAATTTCAACCACACTGCCCTGGTCCTACCCTGGTACCAGGTCACGTTATACATACCGACCCAGAAAATCACCCGGTTACTTCTCCACGACTTTATAAATACACAGTAGAACACGAGCACAATGACAAAGTACATAAGAGCAAAATACAAGAATGAAAAATATTTCAAAAATCCTATTTCCTGCCTTTATAATACATAATTAAAAAATCAATTATTGTTGGACTCTTAATAATTTAATTTTCAAGTGCACAGTGTTCCATTAAGTATCGTGGCCTTCGTCCTCGATAGTCAAGCCATTTGGAGATAGTAGGAGCCTATCTGTAAATTGCAATTATGTGTGAATTATGCACGTAGATATCAGCCATAGTCATACATATACATGTGCTAGGATACATACATATAAATCTTATTGGACGCAAAGCAATACTTAAAAATTCTACATTCTCCTTATTAAATACCAAAATTGAATTTTCAAAAATCCAAATTAAAATAAAATATTCTTGCCTGTTATTATGGCGTACTGTTGCTGAAGAAGGTCAGCTACGTCTCGTACGGCCAAATCTCCGTTTTCAATCTCGCCGGTCATGCTCTCAACATCCTCTGGAATATAGAAAAAAAAAGTATATATTATTAATTAATCAAAGCATCGATAAACGTTATCGGTCACGTGGAATGAAGTAGATTCGACGTTCCTGGCCTTAATTGAATTTCTCATATACAAAGAGAAGGTGCTATCTAATCGATCAGAACCCACTGAACAGAATGCACAGCATACACTATAGAATGCGAGTGCAATAAATTTACAAATATAGCATTATAAATAGACGAACTATAATGACAATTCGCTATAACGGATCGTTATCTGATTAAAAGGAAAAAAAATAAACATTTTTAAAAATTCTAATGACAATAAGACGCCTTGACACTTTGATAAACAAATACAATTTTTAATCAAAATATTTAATTACCCGTTCGATCATTTTTATTTTTCTATATTAAAATGATTGGTGTTATTATTATTGTGATTCATTTTTCAGACAATTTATTACTATCTTCAAGAATTTACGGCTTTTCAGTCTTATGCAACGTCTACCCGGTACATCGTTTGAACTCCAGTGACAGACTGAGCGTGAACGTCCGATCTAACGTTGCACTCGAGTGACCTTGCTGATTCCACCTGGAACAGTTCCCTGCTTTATCCACGATATCTGCTTGATAACTGTAAAAGGAAGAGGCTCTCAATGGGGTAGATAGATCAAGGGAGAAAAAATTAATAAAATAACCAGTTTACTCTATAGTTGTAAGATAGCGTGGAGATAAGATTGGTTGAGGATCACTGACATTAATTCAACCAGATTGGCTTCCCCGCGTCTGAGATACCAGAAATATGAGGAAGTTAAGATTCACATTCTGACCCCTGAACTTTGCTACAGAGTAGATTCCGCTAAATAATATTTAAGAATATTAATTGAAAGTTTCATTATAAATACTTACTTTAACACCAGGTATCACCAATGTAACGTTACAACATAACTTGTACTATAGTGGTACTATGTTATTAATAATTCTATGGAGACCTGTACATTTTTTATTTTGGCTCTTCCTAATTAATGAAAAAAACTGGTTCTCTGACGTCACTAAACGTTTTTGGTAACGGACCCACTAAGAGTTTATTGACACTTGAAACTCCAGTGAACAGATAATTGATTTATTGTTTAACGGCAGAGCGGCATGAGTGAGTAAAGCTGTATAAATAAAATACTTAATAAATTAATAATTAATATTAAATAATACATATGGTTTACATGCATGTTTTTCGCAATAAAATAAAAATTGTCCCAAAAAGCAAGGTATCCTTTGCTTCTAAATTAATTGTTTTTCAAAAATTTGAATCTTTCATGGGTCACACTAGAAAAATACCCAACTAGACGTTTCAAGATTTCATTAATGGAAAATAATTCATGATCCAGTGATATCAAAAACATTGAAGATAAATTTAATGCCGTCTTACTGATGATAGCACATGGATAATCACTTCTCCCTTTCTTAAAGCTACTTTAACACAGGTTGGACTAGTTAAGCTTGAAGCATGTATATATGTATAATAGTATGCTAGAGTCTTTTGTACTCTTCACATATTATATACTATGTAGATAGTACATTACAAATATATTATAGTATATAGTATATTAAAGTAAGCGAGAATGAACCTGAAAGCCGTTGAGGGAGAGCTGGCGTGTTAATTATCTGACTCAGTGCTCAATCGGCTGTTTAGAAAAACACTGTGCTAGAATCTCTATACAAAATGTCCAATAACTTCAACATAAATTGATATCACCTTATAAAGGATGTCAAATTTTATATAGGATTTATATTAGCCATTGTTAATGGCTGTCCTGTCCTGTTGACCAATAAGCCTCCTGACATTAGCTGATAACCCACACCTTCTTGGAGTTTATTAACTGGTGTTAAGAAATACGTTCCATTTTGTTCCACTGCCCCACTGGCTATCACTACGGGTACAAGGTCACTGTTGCTGGACACCAATTGTGTAGATTCACTCTTATCTTGATCCTTCTTCTCAGTGTCACCCTTACACTGTCCACCTTGGTTTTGTCCACGGACAACAAACTCTAGCTTAGCAAACTTCACCTGGGGAAACTGAACCTTCATGAATCTCCGGAAAGTGGAATAACCCATTATTTTAATACTAGGGGATAGCTTTTTGCAGTAATCAGTATAGAGATCGTGAACAGTCTTGCGGGTTATGTCTGGTGGTAGATGAAGGGGTGCATTCTTGGAATCCTTAGTCTTCTGCTTAGCCTCCTGCTTCTTAATGAAACTCTTCAGGAATTCTGTGGCAATTTTATAAATATCCAAGGAGAAGGTATTGTGTGGTATCTTCCCATGGTTGCCATGAACTCTCGGTGTTACACCATGAGTTACCAGATGCTTGCGAATCCTCTTTATCTGATAATGTGTACAATTCTCCAGATATAGGAATGCATCCAAGCAAACTCTTCTACCTTGGTAAACATACTGAGCGCGTAACCTTCGTCTTTCTGTATGTCTAGCTGTTTGGTATGGATTAGTCAGACAAGCCATGGTGACTCCCATAAGGTACATATCATGCTCAGCCTTGGTCAGTTCTGCTATATTCAGTCTATGCTTATATACAGCTTCCGCATTTAAGTCACGAAAGCATTGATCGTCTTGACACTCACAGCCACGTTTGAATCGCTCCAGCACCTGCGAAGGACTCTCCTCCAGCTTCGTAGGATCGTAACTAGATTCTCCATGTACCTTAGATTTCTTGAGTTTAGAAACAAGCTTCTTCCTGGGTATTTTTAGCTCTTCTTCAGCATCATCGCAAGTCAGCTACCAATATAATTAACATATATTACACAAAGAAATTTGATCTAGTACCAAGTAGATGCAATTACATACACAGCGAAGGTTCTCAATACATAAATATTAACTAAAAAAAATAGAACACTAGTTCTAAAAAAACCCATGCATAAACTCCAGTAAAAAGAAGAGTACCTCCTGGTCTTGTTCAGTCCCATCTTCCATATCTGGATTATCATCCTCCAGCTCTACATAGTCTCCGATGGAATCTTTTACACGATTCGTGGGTTCATCTGGCACATGGCATATTGTTTCCGATAACTCCCCCACATTTTTGATCTATGACAATAAACATTCTCTATTCCCCATTACACAATCAGGATTAATCTAGAATATTTTATACTTGCTCCATCATTAATACTGATTGAGAACCGCTGATTCTTTATGCGTTCCACAGAGAGTAGAGTGTGAAGGACCTCACTGGCCTCTTTTTCAGCATCAGCGACTTCCATCGATGACTTCTGAATAGATATTCCTTTTTTCAGTAATATCTCAAACTTCCAAAAGTACCACGACTATCACCACTGCAAAAGTATCAAGCAAATTCTTTCGTACGATCACAAGGTCGAAAGTCGCTGGCTACGGGACTGCCTGGACAACTTTCGTCTCTATAGTATCCAATTGATCCATTCTCACTTACCTTTTTTAGGGTCTGTATTACTGATTTAACACTTCTAAAGTTGTCACCATTCTTTCAATAAGACAACTCAATATGTATGAATAGTCCAATCAAAAAATTGCTCGTCAATAATGCGAATTGTTCTTAAAAGTATTTATGCCCTACGAGATGTGTTATGGCGCACGAGAAACCTCGAGTTCTCTATGAGTGGGAACCTGACAGTCAGGGCCGTAACAAAATTACTAAAGAACCTCAAGGTTCCCTCCATTATATCATTTTAAATCTATAATCCATCATTAAGTATACACTATACTACTCCCAAAAATATATTATATAATGGCTATTACTATTCTAACGATTCTAAGGTGCAAGAATCCTATTGCGAATAAAATATTTTTAAATAAATTTTACGTATAGGTACATCACTGAGATCTAAGTAGGGGGTCCACACCGACCATATGTATATACAAGAAGTAAACAGGCTCTAAATATAATTAAAACGAACGTTTCTCACAATAGCCAGACAAATATCGGCATAATGAAACTGAAAGAAGTTAAAGTTTAAAAACAAAAAAAAAGTGTACAATGTTTTTATCACAGAATAAAGTAACCAGAGGTAGTTGAATCAGTGAATAAATATTATTAATTTACAGAAATCAATAACCAGCCCCTATTCAATGCTTTGTTTCACAGTCTCTGACAAGGACATTATTAAGATAAAACAAAAGAACCTCAAGGAAGTGCAGCTTCGTAAACGTTTCCATGAGAAAGTAATTAATCAGATATAGCATATAAGATGAAGTCTCTTTGACAAACCTGCGCATTTCGTTGTACAATGTTGATGACAGGGACAGTTGCAGCTGTGCACAGACTTGCGTCGCAAGATCATAGTGGGGCGTTTCTCGTTACATATAACGTTGCAAAAAGCGTGGATTTTAAAAAAGGACAAGGAACGTATGAGAACGGGCAACGACCGGCTTTTCCGTAAGAATTTGGCAAGTGTCCACTTGATCGATAACCTCTTCCAATAATGCCGGTGTGTTAAACTTCATGACGACAATACCACTACCAAAACACAACACGTTCAACGGCTAGCGTCGTACTGGCGATATTAGAGAATTGCGCCATTGGATATGGAGCCTTGATGTACCCGTTGGTGGGGGTAACTAACCAACCAATAGGAAACATCCTTCAAGGAGTGGGGGAATTTGTACACGTGACTTTACAGCATGTCCTGTCAGTTTCCTTGAGTTCATCATAAGGGATGGATTGATTTGTCGGAGGGCAGGCTTTCATGTTCCTTTTCAAATATTATCACTGTATCAAAGCATCCCGATGAAAATCATACTTCTAGATGTTATTCGTAAAAACATTGTGCCACTGTTTCCATGTATAATAAATATAACCTGATCGTTATTCCATACTGCTCTTCTTATCCTGTCCTTGCGTAATTTACCACTCTATCATATTTCGAATATATCCTGCTGTTAATCACAAGTAACGATCTAGTCGTTAAATGTAACTGTTATTATTCTAGGTAGCTCATAAAACTGACAAGTATGAATTGGCAAAAGTCACGAAGAATTCTTTTATGCTAATAATTAATTACTCTCTTTCCTTTGGACACGCGATAACTTTTTCTCGTATACAATAATAAAGTAACATACAATTGATTATCGAAAACCCGTTACGCAATGAAGTGTACAGAAACAACGATCATAAACGATCGCAAAGAAAGGAAGAGACTCGGGGTTGATAATACTACTACGTAGAGCTAATTGATGACGGGGTGGCGGAACCAGAGCTTCAGAAACTCCAAAGGCTTCCGTAATAATATGTTACCGAAGGTTAGGTACGTCGATGGGTTAAATTACATCTTGTAATAAAGGATCACGCGCCATTTTGCAGGGTGAATTACGAGATTCGCATCGCTTGTCATGATTTTTCATAGGGATGAAAAAGATATATGAATATATTACAATAGTATTATATATTGTCAAAGTCACACGACAATGACAGTGTCAGGTAAGAAGGTGTTAGGTACAAGGAATCATACTTGAATGTATAATTATTTAAACAAATTAATAACACTCACCGGCTTCCAGTATCTCCAGGTCCAGGTTGCCACTCCGACTACGGCTAATGCTGCTACTTGCATTGTAACTGATCCTGTGTGTCTCCTCCATGGCGCGGGAGGCAGTACGTTTGAACTGTTCCAGAAAGCTGTCAATCTGATTCTCAATGCTGGTTGGTGAACTGGCCATTTTTTTTTATATACACAAGAATACGACGCCCTGTATTTATGATCTCTATGAAGCGCCTAGGTACGTCCAACAATCCTCTTGTTCACATTTTTAATGACGTTGTGTCAAAATTACGGTTCCCTCGTGACAACTCCTGACAGCTCCATAAGCACGGGGATGTCTGGCATGTTTGTTGTCGGCGATTACGACGAACTGCATCGACGCTTTTCACGGACGTCGCGACGATATCCAGGCAGGTGTCGCATCTGACGATAAAATACTGCGCATGGCTTTAAACACGCCTTCTGCTTGGTATACCACCGCTCGCGCTATTGAACTTTGTTTTACCTAGATGGATTACTATTATTCAATATTTTATAGAATATAAAAATTTTACTTAGTATCATTATCTTGTTACTTGTATCAATATTATCTTTATTCTTGTTTCCATTTAATGCATTAGAGTATCTTCCTTGTATCTCTTTATTTTATATCTTAAAAAATTAAAAGTCATATTAACAATTCGGAATTCTGAAATTCATTTCTTTCATTATATCTTTTCATGTCGTCAGTAGTATAGCTCGGACAATGCACTTGGGATTTTTTTCTATTAAAAAACAATCAACATCACCTCCTATCAAATTGTTGAGACTAGGCCAGGAATTCGTAGCATTCACATATTAACGTATGCATTAACTTATGTAGGTATTATGAAATTGATTCGATCGGTAACTGTGCAATGTGTCGGTAAGGGTAGTATATAGCTTTAATAGTTTGAAAATTTTTTATAAGATGGCGCTAGTTCTATATTCCTTCAGTGTAGGAGGGATGGCAATGCTCGGCCTGGCACCGCAGTGTTACTCGTGTTGTGGCACTGACAGAATAAATACGTCTGTCAGTAACACGGGGATTGGCAAGTGGTGGGTGTGCAAGCATTAATAATTAAACATGGGTGGTGAGTCAAATGAATTTTAATTGATAATTTCCTAATATACTGAACTATCTCTGCTCGATTTAGTTAGATCGATAACACAGCCGGCTAGTATTGACCTAATGACCTTCAAATAAAAACTCACGTCTCCCATATCAGAGCCGGCCCTGCTATTTTTCTTCTCACCCACTTAACGTTTCGCCAATTAGAAACCGATGGTGCCAATTATACAAAGGATAAGCCGGTATCCAACACTTCAGATAGTATAACCGTTTTTCTTGTAATATATGATAAACATTTCTGACTCGCGCATTTAAACGGGAAGTACGAAACACGCACGCGCTCTGAAATCCTAATAAGCCTTACAAGATATTAAAATTTTAAATCTTATAAGCAGTATTGATGAAAATAGCCGACATTTTGGACATGTCAGTGCCTAAGGGCTCTGGTATACGTTTAAAATGGCGACTCCAATTTTTCTTAGAATAGTCACTGAATACAATTGCTTGTTTTTCGTCTGAAACAATAATATAATATTACGTTGTTGTGATGAAGGTTTATCTTCCAATTACTCAATCGTACACTTAATATGTAAACTAGTTATATAAATAATGCATGGGGCTATCGGGATTTGCGTTTTATGTACATCCATAGGATATTCAAATTTACATATATTAGTGAAATTTCTTTTAACATACTTGCCAGAATTTTGTGTACTCTTCTCTCAGGCTATTCTTATCGTGACTTTTGGAGGACAGTTATTAGTCTACTGAAGTATAATGTTACACGTGCGGCAATGATATGTCTGTCATATTCATAGTACATAGAATTGTGCTTAGTAAACGTTGCTCAGCTAATATAACATCGAAAAGGATATTTTATTATAACCAAATCACCTAAATGAAACGCGTGACTAGTTTTTCTTGTTTTCTTCTATTATTTGTTCTTAGCGAAGCCGTGTATCTACGTAGCCATGTCCAATTTTAGTCAATTCACGACTGGCATCTATTTCGAGATACCGAAAGCAGTCAATCCAAGATTGTCTCGTTACACGAGTCCAGGATGCTGCCGTCGACAAATATATCCTGGAGACCCGTTCTAATTTCACGTTACGGTATTTATACCGGGGCCAGGGCCTCTCCGTGGAATTGGGTTGTCAATTCCACCCTTTGTATTACCATTGCCAATGATGCGTTGATGTACTAACACAAAGTGTCACCCTTTCATTTTCTATAGTTCCTGGGTTCTTGTACCAACCGGCACGTTTGCTGAAGTCATTGGAAACAAATAAGATTGAAAAACCGGTTGGCATTCCATAAGGGCTGTCGGCCCGCCACCACTGTACCAAAATAATATTGAATATTTCTCTTTCTTACTCTCTTGAATAAATTTCTCTGGAAAACAACATAAAATGAACAATCATTGATCACATCCACAGTTCGAAAAATTTAATAAATTAAAAGATTTAGAAGAAAATCGACCGATGGAAGAAGAACAATATGGTCCTTGATTTAATTACAGTAGTCAGTGCTTGACCTAAGACAAGGTGTGTATGCATGCATTTCACACAAATGGGAAGCCGGGGCTGCTATTATAAGCCGACCGGTGTGTATAAATATAAACCCGTAGAGCGATACAACGTCGCCGGTACTCTAGCTCTCAGGTTTCTTCCCCCGTATCATAATATATACTGGCTGTCTATATCTCTGTCCTATCCTTCCTTTCTCTTTTAGAACTCTCTTCATCTCCTCATCCTCTCTCGCTGTTAGCATCTTCGCTCGTGGATAGTGGAGTTGATAAAAGTGTCTATTTTTAAATACCGAACTTCGTTACATTCGAGAGACGTATCGAGCATTACAAGATAGTCTGTCTCTTCAGTTCCTTTCTTCGTTCCTAGGAATTATTCAATCTCTACAATTTACCTTCAAGCTTCACACAAGCACTCTGGAAGCACGAGTGACAGTGGCTGACATTGCCACACTCGTAAAAATTCTCTGATTGGACGTAACCCCATGGAACGATGATCATAATGATGATCATGACTCTGGCGAGGCGGGATTTTTGCTGATAATTTTACTGATAATACTTCTTCCTCCACTTGCAATACTTATTGACCCTGTTCAAGGAGGTTCCTGAAATTCTTAAAATTTTAGTTTGTATTTAATTATTTCATTTATATCGTACTCGTAGATAGTGCACGTGCACTGGCATGGTATATCTAACCGAGCGGGATTCTCAGTTGATGGTAGACACAACCAGTGTCCATATTCGCTAGACTGATTCCACGTCATGAAGACTCGACCCTTCTTGCTCTTGGTAGTCTCTGCAGACTATGCATAGCTCTGTGGCGACTGTTTTTGAGAAAACCGGTAATAGAAATCTGATCTTCTATCCAGTCGTTGTCCTCGCCTACCGTTCTGTCTCGACAACTTATGACTCATTGTATCTCCTGATTTTCTGTCGCTTTGCCGTTGACGACTGTACCTTAATTGACATACGTAACAATAATAACACGAGCAACAGAGAGCTTGACTTAGATTATACTACACTACAAAATCACTTGATAACCAAATGGATTAGATTCGGGCTGCCTTCTGAAATTTACTACCAGTACACGTGAATTCTATGCAGGTAAGTAGGGAGATAATCATACTACGATACAATCAGCGTGGATACTGGCAATGAATTTCTAAACGTGTCTTAGATCGCACGGAAAAAAACAATAGTAATCTGATAGAATCAAAGTAGTAAATGTTAGATAATACATTATGCAAACTTTAGATAATAGGTTGCGTAAGTTTTGTAAATTCACAAGCTTTTACTCGAGTGTATCAGTAAGTTGTCACCAAAGACTGGAAAAATAATGTAGATTAACAAGTGTGTGGCAAAGTAACAACAGACTCGCATTACATGCGTCAGGATTCGTTGATAGATTTGTACTTGAATATACCTGTGTAAAATGAGAGAGTACAGTCGGAGCGGATTTCCGATTGGAATTTCAAGGCGTGTCCGGACATACATACATAATTTGAAACTCATACCTTTTCTGCTTAAAGCGAAGCTGCCGCGTCCCTTTGCTTTGGTGGTATTAAAGGCATTGTCTCTTTGTCATTTTTTCTCTTAGTCTACAGTCACTTCTTGAACTCCTGCATGGATGAATACTCAAACTCGTAAGGATGCAATATTTGGATTTTGCAATACTGCGGGAAAGGCGTAAAATACGTTGGCGACAATCTAAATATATATAGACTGACTTTTGGTACTTTGCCAAAATTTCTAACGCGCATGATACCCTCTCTTTCTCTTTCTTTGGCACACACAGTCTCGTTCTTGCCACTATGCGTATTTTCCGTCTCATTTACTCCTTCCCTTAATGTCTGCAACGAATATTTTTCTTTCATGCTTCTCTGTTCCCTTCGTCGCCTCTTGTCATTGGCATTCCGCGCCGTCGGCGTCGCGCCGGTTTCTACTTCTTCCTATTCTAAAGAGGTTATGCACGAAACAATCTAAAAGAAAAAAAAAATGGATAACCTTGCGGTAATGTAATTCGTCTTTAGACGAGAATCTCATTTTCTCTCTATCTCTCTTATAATATTATAATATGATAACCTACTTGATGACGATACCTCGTGGGTTAGGATTCCTCAACGTTATCCATGGTGGCAGGGAGCGAATGAAATATTATGAATCTATCTTGTCACAGTGAACGGCGAAAATGAAGAAATACATGCTTGTACGGACGCTATGACAGTGTCATTCTCCCTCGAACGCGATTCGATAACTCCTTGAACTCCATTACCGTCCATTGACATAATTTAGCTGATTTATCGGATCAAGGTCGGCATTACGTAATTACGTTATAAAAAGTCATGTGTCCAGAGCGTTATTCCGTTTATCGATGCTCGTTATTATTCAATTAAACGACGGATAGCGCTTTGTAATTATTAAGTCGTAACCACCTTTCAAAGTGATACGAAACGTTCGTAGATATTTTGAATTGAACGAGACCGTTAAAAAGGAAGATGGCCGCCTGCGTCCTCGATGTATTTCCGTTGTCAGACACGTAGATTTATTTTGTATTTTTTTCTGGTTTAACCACGGTTTAATCTGTATATAAGATCGTGGGTTTAACCATCAGAAAAAATGACGCTAGTAAGTGCGTCAGTATATTGAATTTGTTATTTTTTTTTGTTGAAAAACTGCCAACAGAAACACTAGCTTTATTTCGATCACTGATATCACGCTGTGATATTTGTCCGTTGAAGAATGTAAGGGCACGTGGGTGGAGTAGTACAAGAACGTAAGTGCGTAGAACGTCGGGTGGAAGAGATATTTTGGAAAACTTGAGAATTCAAAGATTCCGCAATCGTCTTTCTTGTTTACCAGGCAGGCAATCCTTTAAAAAATAGGATAGACGTATGCGTCCATACGTTAATTCTCAATGGCGTTTTCACCCTCGCATTTAACATCTCAGCCAACCACAGGCCGATCTATGTATATACGATGGAGGCGCGTGCACATGAAAATAAAACATGTAAACTACGTATGAAACTAGCCTGGCTCATGTCCAATTATTTTCTAGTAGACGGAATATCTTTCCTTGGATAAAATTACGTAGATAGGATTCGGTACTACGTCTATTGAAATGGCACGTGGTCCATTGCCGAATTTTGAAATGATAAATGTTTATATATGCCGTTGAAGAATTTAATGATAAAAAGAATAAGATTTCCGTAACTCGACATACTTTTCTTATCTAGAATTATCTTGAAATAATTCTTTTGGAGATTAAGTAGGCTCCTGTCCTTGATTGAGAAATAGATAATAGTTATTTAATCGAACGGCGCATTCCTTTTTTCGTTACTTTATTAATATGCTGCTTTTATTATTTTTTTAGGGTTTGCGTGGGTTACTCTAGCCACCAATGATTCGTACTCTCTTGGCGCCCTCGTCCTGGCCCATTCTCTGCGCCGGGTCGGCACCAAACATGAGCTCGTCGTTATGGTCACACCAGGGGTCACGGAAGTGATGAGGTAATTTGAGATGAAGATATTTTGAAATTTTAAAGATGAACGTAATTTTAGAAGCTCTCGACATGCAGAGAAATAATGAGATGCCTGCAAGTCGTAGGAGTATATCCTGGATGTATTCTCGTGCGCTTTGCCAAACTGAATCAATGCCAAGGAATTGAACGCAGTGACGTTCTTGACATTGGCAATGCAAATCTGACTACTTCTGGACTACGCACTTGTTGCTTGTAAACAGATCCATAGACTTACATTAATGAATATGAAGTAATATTATACCCAACAAATGTATAACAAACCTTTGATATTCCATCTGGGAGGAGAATCACACAAAAAAAGTAGAATTAGCTGAACCACTCCTTCGGTTATATTAAGTTTCTTTTGTACGTGTAGCATCGAATTTCTGCTTTTAGAGAAAAATTGTCCGGGGTATTCAACCTGGTCCAGGAAGTAAATGTTTTGGATTCCAAGGACGAGGCAAATCTGGCTCTGCTGGCAAGACCGGAACTAGGCATTACCTTCACGAAGCTTCATTGTTGGCGGTTAACTCAGTACGATAAATGTGTGTTCATCGATGCTGATGCACTTGTACGTATATAATGTTAAAGATAAATATTTTAAAATTATCACAGTAATGAGAATGATTTAGTATTAACATGTTTATTATTGTATACAGGTGATCAGAAACTGTGATGAGCTGTTCGAACGAGAAGAACTATCAGCAGCACCGGATGTTGGCTGGCCCGACTGCTTTAATTCCGGAGTGTTCGTGTTCAAGCCGTCGCAGCAGACGTTTGCATCCATCACTGCCTTCGCAGCATCCAAGGGTTCCTTTGACGGCGGAGATCAGGGCTTGCTTAATATGTACTTCAGCGATTGGGCTCATAAAGATATATCCAAACACTTACCATTCATTTACAACATGTGTTCCACTGCTACTTATTCGTATCTTCCAGCATTTAAACAGTGAGTAGATTTTCTTTTGTGATCGATGAACTGATTGTCAATAAGTTTTGTTCTTTTTGAAGATTCGGTGATGATGTCAGGATCATCCACTTTATCGGCATCACTAAACCATGGCTTCAGTACTTTGATACTTTGACTGGTGTCGTTCAACCACCTCCTGGATCTGGACATCTTCAACCTTTGCTTCAGATCTGGTGGAACATATTCTGCGAGAATGTTCATTCTCAGCTGTCACCTGTCATGGTGAGTGTTCTGCATTCAATATGAAGATACTTTTATTTCTCTCCATTTACAAGTCTAATAGTCCATGCGACATAAGATATCAATAGTATATGTGTGTTCGTTGATTTTGCAAGCCTAGCTATGAATACAGGATTATTAATAGGACTTGCTCCGAGGTAAGATTTAAATGATATTAATACTGCGTAGGAAATAGGTGTAGAAGTTTTCTTATGCATTATCAAATTAGTTTTCTTAGTTAGGTTTTAGTAAATAATAGTCAGTGGTAGGTATATTAGTGGTTTAGTGTTAGTCTTTGTAGGCAGTTAACTTATGCACTCTGATCGAATATGGAAAACTTTTAGGTATATGTCAATGTACTTTGAACCCTTTGTCACATTCCTAAAAATCCTTTATTTTGTCATTGTTTTTATTCTTTAATACCACACTGGTTATGTGGGATATGTTTACTTTTATTAATAACACACTTCTCTTTGGGACGTCCATGGGGTTCAAGGTATATTGTCCTCTTCGTTAGTTAATTTTTTGAACCTTTGCACTTATTTATATTCTCATTTGTACATATTAAAAGCTGTATTAACATAAGGTGGCTAGTGCGACTTTTTTTTTTGCATTGCTCTGATATGTTACTAAAAACAAAATTTTTTAAATGATCAGCCTCTTCATGAAAAACTATCTCACGGTCACTAACTTATTAATCATCATTAATACAGCTTTTAATATTTGTGTTCTCTATCACTTTGTACAAATATACATATATTTATATTCTTTATTTTTTGCTTAGATTGGTCAGTGTCTATTTTTGTTCTATCTTTTCTCTCTTACACTCTGATACACACTCTGTCTCTCTCTCTTTTTTTACTTTCTTTATTCCTATTTTCGTGTTTGGCATGATATTAAAAAAAAATGCAAAACGAATGAAAACTAGCGTGGCATCAACGGCTCCATGCTTCATTAATAATGCTGACTTTTAACTCGAGAGCAATCATCATATGCTTGATATATGACATACATTGATAAAAAGTAGAAGAAAATAATAATTGGATGGAAGCGTAGAAAATGAAAAGCAATTTGAAGAAAATGGACACTGCCACGCTAGATTGTAACTAACCGACTGAGTGTGCATTTTTCTGTTTTTTGGCATGATGCTTGCGTAGGCCAGCAGCACTTTGGCACCAATTTGGCACAAATTCACCTTTCAACTTCCCGCACCTCCACAATCTTATCAACCCCATCAAACTCATCCTTTGCCTTCCTACCCCGTTTATCACGAACCCAATGACGAGACTTATCTGGACTATAGACCGACCAGCCCTAAGGAACCGGACTTTTCGGAATTTAAAGATCCTTGGGAGAACTTTCAGCATAACAATGATTATTTGGACATGAGACAATCTAATCAGAGTCAACAGTATTACGTCGACTGTGCCGAATGTCGTCACGAATACGCACATCAGTATCAACAACAACAACGGAACAACGATTCGGAATATATTCCTCCGGATAATCAGTATCAGCAGGAAGCTGAAGTGAAAGTTTTTCAAGAGCATAATTGGCAGGGACAACAGCATATATCTGATTATGATAAGAATCATGAAGTAAATTGTTCGAATCGTCAGCAAGGAAATAACGAGGTTAAGCAGGAGCCACAGCCGCAGCAGCATTCCTACAGTCACCATGTCGAACAACACAAGAATTATTGGGATGCCGAAAAATATGGGGACGAGCAGTCTCGTAGCTATCAAGAGTCTCAGAATCATCGTGTGCAGGAGGAACACCGTCATGACAATCAGCAGGAACACGCTCAGCATCACAATTTCAATGTGCCCCAGTATCATCACCAGGAGCATCATCATGATCATCATAATCAAGACCATCACCATCATCATCAGCAAGAGCATCATCATCACCAAGAACATCATCATCGCCAAGAACATCATGATCAGCATCATCAGCAAGAACATCATCATCATCACTACCACCACCAAGAACATCATCATCGCCAAGAACATCATGATCAGCATCATCAGCAAGAACATCATCATCATCACTACCACCACCAAGAACATCATCATCGCCAAGAACATCATGATCAGCATCATCAGCAAGAACAACATCATCATCACCACCACCACCAAGAACATCATTATCAGCATCATCAGCAAGAGGATCATCATCATCATCAAGAGCATAACCATCACCATCATGATCAGGAGCATCAGAAACATCATCAAGAGCATCATCATCAGTATCAACAGCAAGAGCATCATCATCATCATAATCAGGACCATCATCATCATCAGCAAGAGCATCAAAATCATCATCATCACCATCATGAACAACAGGAACATCAATATAGTCATAATCACTCTACGAACTTGCACTATCAAGAATCCCATCAGGTGCACAATCATCCCAGCAATGAGCATCATACAACTACCCATTGTAGTAACACATGCCAAGAGAATTATTGGCATAACGAGCACAACAAACACTTACAGACAGATACTCCAATCCATTCAGATTCCCATGAATCCAATTTATCCTGTACAGATCCTAAAAGATTAGCGACCCAATCAGATACGACCATTGGGAATCAGCTAGAAAGCGAAGACGTAAGTAATCCTAGCCAAACTTATTTTCAAAATGAAAAAAGAACGCACCAATAGATTTCCTTTCGTTGTACCAGAGTGAGTCTATCGTCGTGCATCAAGCTGTTGTGTATCAGTAACGTTAGATCAGGATCTATAAGAATGTAACAGTAATGGAATAATCTACCTCGATAAATCATAGTGATAGATCAACATAGTTATTGATGTTAAACCGAGACGTACATGTTACTTATTTCCTGAAAAAAGCTTTTAAGTATTTTTTCTAAAATGCACAGGCCGGTCTAGCTGGAGCTTTGGCTAAATTGACGCTTGGAGAAGCCAGGAATCCTGAACAAGTCGCTCTGGAGGAACACATGAGAAAGCAGAGCTGGGAACAAGGTCAAATAGATTACATGGGTCGAGATAGTTTTGATAACATTTGGAAGAAGATCTGCGAGACACTTTCTTCGGTAACAGGAAGTCAGAAAACTCCTGAAAAGGTAAGATAATCATTAGATCATTCCCTGCTTTATTCATTATTATAATATAATTTTTGTTGCTCGTCCTTCTCCTTAGGATCCATCGACGTCTGAGGTACCTAAGGAGCCTAAAGAAGTGGCGTCGGCACCTAGTGTGGAGTCCAAGGCAGAAGCTGCGGTGGAATCTTCACCTGGTAAATCTGAATTCTATTGTAGAGAATAATTGATTAAGAGGCTAATTAATTTGAGCAACGGAGGATAACGTTCGGTTTTTACAGTGGTCATTAATTAATGGATCGATTATATTATAAGATGGGCGGTTGACGGTAAATATCGGGAGATTTATCTTATCTGCGAAACGTGCTTCCTGATAATTATTGGAAGCACGCTGTTATACCGTTTATATTCTATGTGCTCAGCAAAAGCAATTAACTGTATCAATTTCTTGTTTTGCGATCTTTATCTTATTTTTTATTTCCATTATTAGTTATTCTTAGCCATTCTGATCCTAATACTCAATGGGTGGCTATTCATAATATTGTACAAGTTTTTCGCATGGCATTTAATTCCATGTTGGGGATTTCATGATGCGAAGCCATGTTTTTCTACCTACTATTTTGTTGTTGTCGTTGTTGTTGTTGTTGATACTATTGAATTAAGTTTGAGTGTTTGACACAGGAGCAGAGGACAGCAACTAACAGACCATGGCGCCAATAGCACTGCTGCGTCTTGTATTGTCGTTTTGCTTTAATGGGGTAAATATTTTAAGAGCTCACAACTAAAAAAAAAAAAGAGAAAAACAAAAGAAATGATCAGTGTAAGCTCTGCAACGATTGTGTGCCTTGCTTTTATAAAAAATAATAAAAAATACAGTTTATCGAGAATGCATTTTGTTGGCTGTCCTTGTTGGCATTCCTTTCTGCACAATTCTGTCTTGCATTTTGTGCTAAACATTCTCATCAATCTTCATTGCACATGAGATACACTTATTTTCTTATAAGTACAACTCTTATATTCTTGCGTTTTCTTCTAGTGGCTTATTATTGGTTTTGCTAATATTTAATTTGCATGCTTTTGAAAGTTTCTGCATCTCCTGTATACATGTAAACTTGTCATTTCATTCAGTTCCTTTGATTTCTTCTCAGTAACACAGAAAGCCTCTGTTGAATGATTATGCTATTGATCTTATATATTTTTTTTTTCTTTTTATACGCTTAAAAAGCTTCTCACTAACACGAGCACAAAATTACCGGCAATTACAACCTCGGTATTACCACACGGCAAAATTAACTGAAATTCATTCGATGTTTTATTATCATACACGCCATTCGATCAATGTACTGTAATAATGTTATTTAATATCTTTTTCTTTATTTATTTCTCTGTCGCGTATTTGCTCTTTCACATTTAGCACTGGATATCGACACCAGAGTATTTCACGTACACCTTTTTTCTCCATCTAACTCACTTAAAGTGTTATGTATTTGTTGTTAGCCAAGAAAACAGGACGTAGTTCACATTACTTCTTATGTCTTTTATTGCAAGTTTCGTTGGAAAAACTTATTTTATTTTTAAATCTTTTTCACGCACTGATTACATTTTTCTTATAATCGTCCTGTTTTCTATTTGGATAGATGTACAGCAGTTTCTACATATTTGTCTTGACACTATGTTTAATGTATATAGCTGTAGTCACGGAAGCACTGGTGGAAGAAAAAGTCATCGAAAATGTTGCTACTGAGCTGGTCTCTACCGAGTCTAATATCCAGGAACCGTCAGTCATCAAGGAAGTCGAGGAACCTTCGGCACAATCCATCAAGGAAGAAGCTCCTATCGAAACTCCAGAAACAAGTCAAGAAGTACCTTCCGTCGACGCTTCCTTACCAAGTCAGCAACCTATTGTATCTTCAGAGATAGAGAATATTCTTGAACCATCATCAGTTACTGGACCTTCAACAAATGTACCTGAACAACCTTCTTCTGAGCAACTAGCAAAATCACCTTCACTGACAGTGGCTATTAAACAACAAAGCGCATTGGTAGCTGTTCCTGAACCTCCTAAGGCACCTACGGAACCTGAAGAGCAGTTGGCACCACCATCGCCTGTTATTCCACTACCGGATAAGCCAATTCTGATTCCACAAGAGCCCAGTGCAGGAACCGGGGAAGAAGCAGTTTCCGCGGTCAAGGAATCTGATTCTACGGTAGTTCTAGAACAAGAAAGTGCTCCTGCAGCAGTTTCACAGAAGGATACTGCCCCTGCAGTTGTTTCTGAAATCACTCCAATGGTCCTATCTGAACAGGCAACGGTGCCTGATCAAGTTCCTCAAGCTGCGGTACCGGAACAAGTTCAAGTTCCCATTGAGTTGGCTACTGAGGCTGTACCAGAGACAACTCAGGAAGTTGAAAGGAGTGTAGAATTAGCCACCGAAGCTGTGCCTGAAGCTGTTCCGGAAGCTGATAAGGAAAAACCAGAATTAGCTACTGACGTACTTTCGGAGTCCGAACCAGTACAAATTGAAGATCCTCCTCAGGAAGGCACTGCACTCGTAGAATCTCAGAGTTTAAAAACTCCTACTGCTGCGTCTGACTTGGCTTCAAATAGTCATGTTCCTATCCAGATAGCAGAATCCGTTGTCCATGCTGTTTTAAAAGAATCTGTGTCCGAAGAAGAGAAACCTGTCACAGAGGAAGTACTTTCTTCCATCGTGGCTCCTGTTCAGGAATCTGCGACAGCTGTGTCGGAAACTCTTGTGGAACCTAAGGAGGCATCTAGAACGGGCGACATGAACGGCGATGTATCTGTTGTCAATAATGATTTACATACCGTAGCACCTGTAGCTCAAGAATCCAGTGAAACAGTAAAGGTTGACACACCTCTAGAAGCCGAAGCGCCAAAGACATCCATTGCAGTCGAAGAGACGGCTCCACAGGAAGTACAAAAGCCAGTAGTACAAGAAGAGGCAGTCAAGCAGCTAGAAGTCGAAGAGGCTATAGAACCTGAATCGAAAAAATCTAAAGAACGTGAAGTTGAACCGGAAGAAGTGTCAACTTCAGAGGAACCATCAGCAGATGAACCCTTGACGCCAACCTCAGAATCCCCCAAATCACAATCATCTTCTCCGCCGCCAGAATCACCAACTGTGGAGAGTCCAGTTAGACCAGCTAGAACGAAGGAATCAAAAGTTCCAGGAACACCAACCGTAACAGAAGCAACACCACCAACAAGTCCACCGATAGGAGCATCAGAATCTTTAGAGACTCCTCCTAAGGTCACTAAAAAGGTTGTTAAAAAAGTAACAAAGAAAAGCACCGACGAACCCCTCGAAGGTGATGCTCCAGAAGGTTCAACTAAGAAAGTAGTGAAAAAAGTCGTTAAAAAGGTTGTCAAGAAGCCTAAGGAAGGTACTGAGGAGGCATCAGAGACCTCAAGCAGTGCTGAGAAGCCAAAGAAGGTTGTTAAAATTATCAAGAAAGTAACAAAACCAACGGACACCTTAGAAGTCGACAAAACCGTACCCGAAACTCCACCAGCTGCTGGCAATTCCGAGGCTCCAGTCCCACCAAAGAGGAAAGTCAAAACTACTACGACCACGAAGACGACGACTACGACTACAACTAGAAAACCCGATCCAGAGCCGTGATTGAATCACGCCGTGACAATAATCACTATTGCACTCAGTACGCAACGAGGGGATTCCCCTTTGAGTGACATATCGACTAGACATTAAACACCAACGGTGACAAAACTAGTCCAATATTAGTTTTTGATACTTTTAATAAATCATAATTCGCGTCGCTAATTGTAATAAAGTCCAGTCAATATATCTCAAAATGGAATCTCAATCGTCGTGTATATAGCACAGCTATAAATCATGGTTCGCACACATCCTTATTTATATGCCATTTTAATCCTAATATAACTTTTTCTCTTATTCAATCTTCCTCTCTCTTCAGCACTACCAACACTTAGTTTTTAAATTCTTATTTCTTTTTCTTTATATAATTTTCTCGTATCGATTACCATGCATCCTTTATACCGAGAATTAGCAATCGCTTTTTATACAAAACATACATGTGTGTCCTTCATTCGTATATACAATCATTTTTTTTTTTAACACCATAACATGTACAATTATTATTTTACTACATCCTCGTACAATATATATACATATATATAATCTGTTTATTGATATTCTTCACCGTTTGTTTAAGATACCCAAGACTGATGTCTTAGGAATGCAATATGTTCACCAGCCCTGATCTTTATGGTAGCTCCTATCTGCTTTGTAACGTTTTAATCTTTATTCCTTTTTCTAATTATTTCTGTTCGAACAACTTTGACATTGGTATTATCAATAAATCAGATGTCACGGAAGATTATATAATAATTATTAATTATAAGTAATAATAATAGTCCAGCTCGTTAGGAATTTCTTTGTTAAAATTCAGCACATGAAGTGTGGCACATATGGCGGCTAATTTTTCAAACGTCCTGAAAGAATAGCGAGAATTTCGAGGATTTGATTTATATTATTATTACTATGCTATATTACCGTATTTATTAACAATTAACCATCTGCATGTTACGTTACGTTAACACCATTATTATAATACCGTTGAGAGCCTTTTACAACTAATTCATCATGTCACAGTCCCACTTGATAACGTGTGGATAACGCGAAATCATATAGTCTCATTGAACTCACGTTCTTGTTGTGTATTCTTATATTGTTTATCTAAGTAAAAGTGTTTTTTCGATATCCATCTACTTAATGAATATATTCTTTTCGTGTACCCACTTAACAAATGCGTGTATTGTTAAGAATTGTAATCACTTTGCGGTTTGCTGAATGCGCCTGGCGCAGGGCAACCCGCCACACGAGGGAATTTAAATAAACATGCGCGTTACCGCTACCGCCACCTCTGAGCTTTCACGAAGCTTTTTTATGGGATTGGCCAATGAGTTGTTTCTAGTTCCTTATGGCGCCCATAGATGGTAGGCAAAAATTATAGTTAAGACGCTTGGTTATTTACTGTATTGCGTTTTCTGTGGTCTGTTGGTGACAGTGGGTAATAGTGGGCAAAATGGCACGTCAGCAGCAAGCTGATGTCGATGAGCTGTTTGACGTTAAAAATCATTTTTACATTGGAAATTATCAACAATGCATCAACGAGGCACAAAAAGTCAAGGTAATTATTGTTACTGATGTATTTACTGCGATTATCAAGTTCTAATGTAAACTTTATGAGCATGACTGATTCGGTGCGGCATGGTCACCTTCCACGTATATAATGTGGACTGCATGAAACGGTCTATGCACGTTCGTATGCTTTATTTTCTAATTGTGTATATTCCTCTTTCAGCCCTCTTCTTCAGAAATTGCTATGGAAAGGGATGTCTTTCTTTATCGGGCCTACATAGCTCAACGTAAGTTCCGCGTTGTACTAGATGAGATTAACAACTCGTCTCCACCGGATCTGCAGCCCTTGAAGATGCTGGCTGAATATTTTGCCAATCCTAACCGCCGTGAGGCTATAATGGCAGAACTTGATCAAGCAGCTAATCATACAAATACGGACAATCACAATTTCATGATCGTTGCTGCTACTATTTACTATCACGAAAAGAATTTAGAGTCTGCTCTGAGGATACTGAGAAATACGGAGCATCTGGAATGTCTCGCATTGACTCTACAGATTTATTTGAAGATGGATCGGTTGGATCTTGCACGTAAGGAGCTCAAGGCAATGCAAGAGAAGGATGATGATGCTACATTGACGCAGTTGGCACAGGCTTGGGTCAACATTAGTAGCGGTGGTGACAAGCTGCAGGATGCCTACTATATATTTCAGGTAAGTTACATTTATTTAGTTTATTCGGCAGTATTATTTGTAAGGATATATAACTTTGCAGGAGATGATCGATAAGCATTCTAGTACTAGTATGCTGTTAAATGGACAAGCTACGTGTTTCATTGGTCAAGCAAAGTACGAAGAGGCTGAATCTGCTTTACAAGAGTCCCTGGATAAGGACAGTAATAATCCTGACACTTTGATCAACATGATTGTACTCTCGCAACACATGGGCAAACCACCTGAGGTTGCTAATCGTTATCTTAGCCAGTTGAAAGATTCTCACTTGGAGCATCCTTTTGTCAAGGAATATTTACAAAGGGAAGTTGAGTTCCAGAGGTTGAGGAAACAGTACTCTCCGTCCGCCTGAATCATCCTGGACCATTTGACCGGTTCGATATTCCAAGGCGAACTCCGTTTAACGCTCATAGCCGGTCGTTAGGCGGAGACGCGGTTGGCTTACAAAAATGTTTTAGAGTGATACAAAATTAACCAAACCGCTGCCATTTTCTAATTGACAAACGAACGAATATATTTAAGGCGTATAGGCGAAACTACTACTTTCGCATGTAATAGCCTTTTCTTATTGCACTCTCCCATCTGTATTCGCTCGACTAGAATACCGGAAGTCGTAAGACAGATCAGTAATCGATGAAATTTAGCATAGAGGGATGGTTTTGCGGGTCATGTATACCAATTCCAGTATACCGATAGTATTCCAAGGTATGTAGTAAGATGGTTGCCGGGCGCGTCTCCAAAAGCCACGGACAACGTGAAGGCATTTTAAGTCTGCTTAGTCGAGACAATACGACATGATAGAGAAATATATTATATATATGTCTATACAAGACAGTAATGAGCATTTATTTATTTATCAGCTCCATCCAAAGACCTTGGCCCTATGATTGATAATTCTGAAAAGGTATTTTTTTAAAAATATCAAACATCCACGACCACCTTATGAATTAATTTAATTGGTAAACTTCATTGCCTTCCGGTAACAGAACAAAAATTCAATATTTCTGAATTATGAAAATCTTGGACAGTTTAAACAATTTTTTAACAAATTCTATATCATTTTATAGATATATTTGGAACAGACCCATATGTATTTTTATAACGTCCTGAGTGGCTACTGATACAGGCCGGCAACTGAATAAATGCCGGGTGCTCAGTTCTTATTCGTTCCTTTACTGCGTTGTTGTCTCAATCAGTCTTGTTGGCGATTTTCATCACAAGGGTAGTTTTGTGGTAATTGGTGGAATTGTGGAAAAAATTCATTTATTTATAAGGTGCACAACAATCTCCATTTATATTGAGGTACTTGCTCTTTTATTTTTTCTTAATCTATAGTACTATTAATAACCTATATGACAGTTGTCATTAACTCAGATACAGACAGTTATAACTATCTGCTTGTTAGCTAAATTTTCTTGTTTCTAGTATTGATTGGTTTTCTTTTATTTATTTTTTATTTGTTGTCTTGTATAATTTTACAATTTAGAAATTCTGATCTCTGGATTCCGTGTTGTTTTGCCATCTGTTGGAGCATAGCCTAAACTGATTTTGGCTGTATATCCCAGAGATCAGTAGGGAGATGCACAATGCTACGGTTTTAGGCGATACCAAAAACATAGCGCTAAATCGTAGCGGCGAGTCCGGGAATAGAATTTTGTGATCATCGCGTCCGTCGATAATGCATATCCCGTCGTAGCCGAGCTGAACGTGATCACGAACGGGTAGCCTGGCGGGTAAGAGTCCTCCGCTACTTATCGCTGGTTCCCAAAGCAACACTTAGAACGAGACAACTCATCGGATATAGCCTAAATACTTTTTTTCTTTGCAATCCTAAATTCGATCGCACAGTGTGAGCTCGGTAAGTTTAATATAACAAAAGCAAGCAACTCATGTCTGCCTGCACTGAAGCGTATGATGCCACAAGCATATTTAATACATATTTTACCGATGTTGCGTAGCAGAACGATTGTTGAAACCTATCAGGAATTGTAGAACTTCTCGAGAACTATTGAAAAAGCCTATTGTTGAATTATTTTTAAGAGATTTTATAAAAGTGCGATTCTGGAGCTGACATCCGTGTAGCACCTCCATTTTTGTAATGTTAATATAATATGTATTATATGTATTAATATAATATAATATATATAAATATGTATTTTAATAGAGAGTCCACAGTGTTCTTCTCTCGTCAGCGCGCTATAAACGCGGAATTGGCAAAATCCAGAAGACTCGCGTGGACGAGGAAAAATTATTTAGTACACAGCGGAATCTGTGGTTGATCACTCGGAAACAAGTATAGCTGGAAATATAGTCAGACACTACCGCGCAACATGGGAACACTTTCCGAATGCATCACCAAAATCTCACACAAATATAAGTCAGATCTATGCTATACTTCCGGTATCCGCTGAGTATAGCAAATTTATGACTTTCAGCATGGCCGCTTACATAAATGATTATGGTGAGTAGAAGAAAAAAGGAAAAAAGAAAAAGATCACTTACCCCAGGATCTTCGTCTGCCTTTCTCTTGTCCATTTGTATTGTTCATTTGAGTAGAAGAAAAAAGGAAAAAAGAAAAAGATCACTTACCCCAGGATCTTCGTCTGCCTTTCTCTTGTCCATTTGTATTGGTTATATGTCCAGTACATCTTTCGACACTCGAGGTCCACTTTGGTGACGACTTGACGATTCCAGCCTTGGCCACTATTTTGCACTTCCTGTATTTTCGGTTGCGGACTAATTCTTCACTTGTTACGAATAGACCAATACGCGAATTTTCGCGAACTTTAGATAATGCCTTCGCGACGCACTTATTCAAATGTATCACTTCACTACGTCACACTATTTTTCGTAAATGAAGATAAAGGATAAAGAGTATAGAAAGAGACGTTTCGCGACGCACTACGTCACACTTTTTTGTTCGTAAACGAAGGTGAAGGATAAGGAGTATAGAAAGAGATGGCATGAAATGAGCTGAAGGCCCGAAGAGATTAAAAGAGATGATTTTGATGATACTGATAGGCTTACTACTATACTCTTTCGAAGGGGACTGATTGGAAAGAGGTACAAACGACACTTTCTTGAAGAACTTCAAAAATTGGTGTCTGAGCGTTGTACATGCTACGCACTTAACTAGAATTTCTATAGTTCTAGATAGGTTTTAACAACAGTTCTGCTACGTAACATCGTTAAAATACCTATTAAGGATACTAGTCGCACCATATGCTTCAGTGCAGGTATGCATAAGGAGCTGGCTTTCAGTGTTGTTTTCAGATTGTGCTTCAAATAGTTCCGAAATAGTTCTCTCAAGTACTGAATGTTGGGACCATAGTTCCGCTTGGAACTATTGTTAAATAATGATAGAAGCTAGCACCGCATCGCTGCACTCCTCAACACAGGCAGACATAAGGTGCTGGCTTTTGTCTTAGTAAATCTTATCGAGCTTACACGGTACATTTGAATTTAAGATTACAAAAAAAAAAGGTTTAGGCAATATCTGATAAGCGGCCTCTTTCTAAGGGTTGCTCTGGGAATCAGTTGTAAATTGTGGAGAATCTCTGCCCGCCAGGCTACCCGTTCGTGATCACGTTCAGCTCGGCTACGACGGGATATGCATTATCGACGGAGGCGATGATCACAAAATTCTATTCCCCGACTGTCGCTTACCAACGCAGTGAAACTTCAATAAAACGTCGTACGGCAATCGTCTGCATTACCGACACTCGCTCCAGGCAAGGGTCGAAAAGTAGTCTACGGCCACTCCCGACAGGGGGTGCTGACGGTCTGGGGGACGCAGACCGAAACCGTGCATCTCCCTACTCATCTCTGTATATCGAGAGATATATGTATATCTCTCTGTTATGTAACACTGGTAGAATGTAAGATTCATGACTTCTCTGAAAAATCAGCAGCAATTATTTTGGGTATCTTTATCATGGTGTATTAATATGATAATTACTCGAGATACATTAAGAATAAAAATAAAATCATTTAGTAATGATGATTAAGAATTCCAAGGGTCAGGAGTTTTAGCTTGATGATTGGTCTTGTTGTAAGAAGAATTAAAAACGAGTAGCAGTCTTGTAGAATTATTTGAATTGCAGGTAAGAGAATAGTTGGAAGATCATCTACTGGCAGTCCTTATCCAATGGTGGTTCTACGCTTTTTTCCTCGCAGGGCTCTATTTGATAAATTCATTATACGATTTGTTACAATGTCATCATCCAGTACTTCTTCTACAAGCGATGAGCAGATGCTGCAAGCTGTCAGGAAGATAATACCTGAGTTGACTAATGCCAAGTACAAAGGTCAGGATGGGAAGATAGGAATATTTGGTGGAAGTTCTGAGTACACTGGAGCACCATACTTTGCTGCTATGAGTGCCCTGAGAACAGGAGCTGATCTGGTCCATATATTCTGTACTAAGGACGCTGGAGTACCAATAAAATCCTTTAGTCCAGAGCCAATAGTTCATCCAATCTTGGACCAACCAAATGCAATAAAGAATATTAAACCCTGGCTGGAACGTTTTCATGTAGTTGTGATAGGTCCAGGCCTCGGACGAGATGAAAAGGTTTTTGATGTAATTGCTGAATTAATAGGGGTTTGTCGTGAAGCAAAGAAACCAGCCATAATTGATGCAGATGGTCTCTTCCTAGTCTGCCAGAGACCTGATCTGATCAAGGATTATCCAGGGCTTATACTAACTCCCAATGCCATGGAGTTTAGTAGACTAATGAAGGCCTGCCTGGAAAAAACAATCGAACCAGCATCAGATCCTTTAGTGAGTGACGTGAAGCAGGTAGCTGAGTTTCTTGGCAAAAATATAGTAGTTTTACACAAAGCCGCCAAGGACGTGATAGTTAATGGTGAAAAGGATACTGAGGCTGTCGCATGTGGAGCAGTTGGATCAGGAAGACGTTGTGGAGGTCAGGGTGATCTTCTTGCTGGATCACTTGGAGTCTTTTGGTGGTGGGCTTTAGCTGCTGGACCTACTAAGTGCGCAGTATCTCCTGCATTATTAGCTGCTTACGCAGCATGCAGACTTATCAGGGAGTCGAATGCAGCTACTTTCAAAATTAAACAACGCGGGATGCTAGCTACCGATATGCTTGAACAAATTCAGCCTGTCTTCCATCGCCTCTATGAAACCCATGCAAAATAAGAATTTTTATCTTTCAAGAAAAAATAACCAATGTGATATTGAAGGTATATATAATAAATACTGCATTTATTTAATTAGTGTCAATTTGGTTAAATTATTTTAGCCATCTATTTTAAAAGCTATGTCGTGTACTCTATTGCTGTCCTCAACAACGAAGGAGCAGAGTTTGGGATCTCCAGGTACAAATAAGTACTTTTGATCATGCTACATATCCATAGTAGCTCGCTGATCAGGTAGAACATTCTTCTGTGGAAATTGGTCCAAGAAGGTAGAAAAAAGTAAATCTTTTCCAAAATCTATATCTTTGAAAATTATCCCAGGAAACACATCACGTGACAGTTACATCTCAACATGAATTCTACGTCTTTACATAGCAGCTATGTGAAAGTTGGATAAATGTGACGAACGTATTTACTGGGATCCTTTTCGATATTTGTATGATTTTCATCCAATTCCATGCACGCCTAGAATTGCTTTGAATTTTCTCTATGTACCAGTTCTGGCTGCATCGGTCGGCTGAAGTTACTTAATTGTCAAGTCGGTAATATCACGTCGCTATGCTTCACCAACTGCTGATAATATATTCAACTAGAAACGCCTGTGGCTTAAAAACTTAAGACTACGAATAAAATGTGAGCACTGAGGTATGGTTCCCTCGTACAAGAAGTGTTGGAGGCATATCCCTTGTAAGAGCCTCTAACCAAGCCATGTAGAGCGGTGCCGAAACTGCACCCTTCCTTGGCATCGGCAATGACCTAAAAGCATCCATTGAAGATCATGATCATCATCCACTAATGGGATTTTCGATTGACAGAATTTTTGTAGTCATTAGATATAACCTGGTGCAGAATTGCAGTATGCCAAGAAAATACTGCCAATAGAAAACTCCAACAGAACCATTAACATAGATTCTTAATATTGTCTATCAGTTATGATTAATTAGCTCATAAATACGTACATGACAACGAGGGTAGATTCGCTGGAATTTTCCAGAAGAAGTTCACGAAGTCGCAGCTGTCTGTTAGTCTTCTCCCGCAAACAATCAAGCTCAGCGTCGGTAACAACGCATTCTGCGCAAGTACAGAGGCATATTAAAACAATGCATAGCGAATGGTCTGTAGGAAAGCACGTGACTTACCGGAAGTATCCGAAGTGTCATTCTTGCGAAAATCGGATATGAGCTTGTCAAAGAACCTCTGAGTTTCCTTACGTGGTTCCGTGCTAATGTCATCGACCATCTTCAAGCTTGTATATTTGATACGGAACTTCGCCATTATTTCTGCCATTCTATATAAATCATATATAAACGATAATATACGTACTTTAGAAATAATTGAACGTAATTATATAAACACGTGCGTCGCTTACTCTTTTTCCTGCGCTACAATTTCCTGCTTGTGATTAGCCAGGGCAAAGATACGCATTTTACAGTGTTCCCAGTTGGATCTCGTGCTGATGATGTACGGCAGCAAAATGGTTAGGCCTAAAAAATAACAATGTCTGCCATTTACAAATGAGCCACGTTTCCATCTGATAGCTCGATTGCTATGCACGCTTTCCGAATTACCTCCGTCATCGTAAAGCCACCAAACATCTATAGTTCCATGTTTGTGTTTCTTCTGAAAGATCGTCATGTATTCGGGCACAGTGTTCAGCGCATTTTGTCTGAAAAGGATACAGAAATTATTTTGAGTGAACTTTGACCCTGATAGTAATTACAGTCTTTACTGTAAGCTGAGTTCACTCACAATAATATTTTATCAGTGGCGTGCTTCTTCTTATTTTTCAGTTGATCCTTTACGCTGATATCCACTTGGGCATTTCTAGCCATCGTCGGTGCCTCGACTGATGGATACTCTGTGCCTAGACCAGAGAGTTTTATTAAAGAAATTCAAAATTTTTTTTTTTGTAATTCGTGCAATTTACCTATTGTCGGTACACTCTGGACCCGGGGAATCAATGTACCCATGGAGAGGTTACTGTCAGCATGCATCAGGGTATTGCCTGCCAACTCGTAGCTACTTTGCGCCAAAGTACCTTGTTCGTCATCAGGGAGTGCAGTGCTGTAAGTTAGTCCTGAACAACTCAGTCCTTCAGCAATACGTAGTATAGCGACAGCAAGTCTCTGGTCAAATGTATTGCTGAAAGATTATAAACATGTTGTTAAACCTGGTCCAAGAATCTTGATGAATATCGTGACAATAGCTCACTGTAGCACGTTGAAGTACTCCTGAAGTTCCTTCTGGTTGCACGTAGCCCAGTGTGTCTTGTAACCCATGAGAACTACGTTAGGGGCAAGTTTCCCAACCCCTGTAGCTTGCATCAGAGCAGCAGCACCTTTTTCTAAGCTGAGGCCTTCAACGACGTGATAAAAGGACTTGATCCGGTGTCGCTGAAGCCAGCTGTAACCCTGACGCAGATGAGCTCCTCTAGCGCGGTAAGAGAGTCGACCGGAATATACTTCACCAGCTAGTAACAGCGAGTTGTTCTTTGTTATGAGGTTTGCAAGATGGAGAAGTGCTGGTCTGGAACATGGTGGTCCTGTCAGTGTCAGTATCTGTGGAGCGTAATTCTTCACATGCTCGTCAATGGAGTTCAGCTTGTAGACTATGGAGAGGGCAGTCTTGTAGGTCTGCGCCTGGGTACTGTCACCCCAGTTGACGTCTGGTTTCCTATAGACGACCACCAGGTAGAGTCCGAAGATGATGACGAAGGTGACCAGAGACGTGACCCAGTCGATCAGGAACATTATTGCCACGCAGAGGATGAATCCCATCAACGAGAGCCAAGTGTTGTAGTACTATGAACGATAAGTTATCAAAGGTAAAGTATAAAAGGCTTTCAAGGACGCTTTATAAATGTAATTCATTAATTAATAATCATACCTTAAAGGTCGGCCGCCATCCAAGAGGACGTATCAGGGCTGCGTGGAAGGTGCAGAAGTTTATGAGAGCATAAGAGGCCAGGTAGAAGTTTGAAATGAGTGGTGCAACTGCGTTGAGATCAGCTAAAACAAGTAAAAGTATGCGTTAAGTAAAATGATGAGTTATAAGAAAGTGTTAAAGAAAATAATATATTAATTTCAACTGTTACCTATCAGAAGAAAGCCCGCAGCGACGAAGAAGGTGAGCACGTATCCTCTGTAAGGTTCACCAGCCTTTCCGTAACCCTTACTGAAGTAAATCAAACCTGGGTAAATTCGGTCTCGTCCAAGGGCCTGAATTAATCTCGGAACTGACAATAAATTGGTCAAGGCTGTCGAGAGTGTTGCGGCGAAGCATCCTGCATAGATTAACGGGCCCCAAACGGACATTATTTGCATCATGGAGTAACTATTATGAAGACCATAAGTGCAATTTTTTGGGATGCAATCATTGATAATACTCCCGGTGAAATTGCAACTGGCGTTTCTGAATGCTGCGCCGTCCGTAAGCAAGACACTTTCTGAGACGCAAACATTGACGATATTCCCGTTGAAGTTGCAAGTGGCGTTTCTGAATGCTGCGCTGCTAGCAAGCAAGACATCTTTTGGGATGCATTCGTGGATGAAGTCCCCGGTGAATTCGCCACTGGCGTCCCTGAGTGCTGCGCCGCCCGCAAACAAGACGAAGGTGAAGTAGCTACCCATGGAAATGAGAAGAGCCAAGAGGGTCCCAACAGGTATGCTACTTGCGGGATCCTTCAGATCACCGGAAATGTTTGCTCCTGCCTGAATGCCCGTGACCGACGGGAAGAAAATGGCGAAGACCGAGAAAAAGGTCTGATTCGTCTTCTCCGAGTAACGATAATCCGAGATCCAATTCTCCTTAAATACTTCGCCTGTAAATAGAAAATATCGAAAGATTCTGATTAGACCTGATGACGAGTAAATACCCGGTGAATTTCAATTTCAGAAGACTCACTGGAGAATCCAACAAATCCTTTGGACTCTGCACTGATGTCAGTGGGACCAATCACTGCACCCACGACAAAGTCCAGGATAGCCAAGACGATCACGGCGATCAGGAAGTTCTGGGCCTTGGACTCCCATTCCATCCCTACTGCACATATCAGTACCATCACCAAAATGGCAATGACACCAATTATTCTGACATCATTCACATCGTTGTCATATATTCCAGGTGGTCCAACCAATTCATTAAGAGAGTTGCAAAAACCAATAGTGTTCATGGAGGCGGCGACAGCATTGGCGAAGGCGAAGACAATACCAACCGAGGCCCCAAATTCCGGGCCCAATGAACGGGATATGATAAAGTAGATTCCACCTGAAATAATACATCATTAATCCAGATACTAATCTAAATAACAATTAATTTGCAGTTCCAATGGGTCACGTAAATTATGTCTTACCGCCTTTGACTTCGCCGTTAGTGCAAATGGCGCTCAAACTCAAGGTCGTAATCACGCAGACAACAGTAGAGATGACGATGATGACGATGCTGTGGAAGATTCCAGCCTGAGCGACGACCCAAGATAAACGCAAGAAGAGCATGACCCCCCATATATTCAGGAGACAAGGAATCAGGACACCTTGAATCCATCCTAGTTTTATTCCATGGGTAAGACCCAACTGACCCGTTCCATTTAGCCCAGATTCCAAATTTGGATCCTGTAAGTAAAAATTCAATTCACTTAGATTGATCCATTGTTATCGCAAGGATTAATTCGATTCCATTATAAATAAGAGTGCCAGAGAGATCTAATGAACTTTTCTCCATCAATATAGCTGCCCTTTACTGGCGTGCAAACTTAATATACTGCCAGACCCTAAGGACGATGCGCACTAGCCAATCAGGACAGGATCATAAACGGCGCATAGATCCTTGCGGCGTTTAATCATTGACTTTTTATTGGTAAGTGAATTTTCTAAGGGTTATACCGCTAGACATATTTGAAAGAGAGTCTGCTATCTTTTTAGGAAGACCCAGCAACCAAAGACGCAGCACGTCCTTCGAAATCTACATTGGCGTCAAGACCTTCGGACATAGGCATGATATTTTAGGACGTTAAGACTCAAAGATGACTCGGTTATATAAAGGAGTTCAAGAGTGTATGAGTCGATTAACCATAAATACGGTATCACTGATCACGAGACGTAGATAGCCGACGTTCAAACGTCCAGTAAATAAAACCGCAGCGTCTTACACATACAGGTCGATAGAGGGAGCTATAAAAGTACTCTGGTTTGATCCAACGAGATCTGGAGTAATCACGAGTGAAGCAGCTGTATCCAGTCAAAGACAAATTCAATACGAACGTATTGAATGACATGTAGGGGCGTAGACACTTACTAAGACCAATTCACAGATGCATCAACGTCGGTTTTCAAACCCTTATAAACGAAGTTCCACTTGATTTTCCACTTGATCGCAAGTAAACTAAATTCTGGCAGATCTTTTGACTCAATCTGACCATGAAGTATCTATAAACTCTACCAACTTGGTACAGGTGGCTGCCTACCTTGACAGGATTTCCTTCATGAAGGTCACTCAAAGATGGTCTCTTGGCTCGTCTGCTCAGTCTATAAAAACGAGACGAATTATTGCCAAAAGATCTTGCCTGTCCAAGTAAATTTGTAATGATTTTTTGTAATTAAGACTGCTGTCCAACTATTCTACGTGTACTGACGCACACCGCTCCGTTTATGTGTAAACACGTAGATTAGCTTAATAGCAGCTCAGAGGGATATTAAGAAATTTACCTGTAATGATCCAATCTTGGTACCACGTCCCAGAGCCCATTGACGTTCAACGTCAAGGTCGGTGACCTTTTGTTATTTGGTTCTCCACTTGCGGCGTCACTGTCCTCGCGATTCCTACTTTGAAATATACCCTCCATGTTGGTGAATCTGTGAAAAAAAAAATTACTTAAAATCCACTAAATGCCGAATGAAAGGTTGTGCTACCTAAATGTAAGATTTTACGTTACTGCTAACGTTTATTATTCTTTATCATAAATGTATAAGCTGGCCAATCGTAAATGACCGGAATAACTTTTCTATGATTATCCAACGTCCATCGACGGTCACTGTCGAAGACTGCGTCCATGTTCTATCGTTAATTTTGTCTTCGTTATTGCACCGTGCACTGAGACCACGTTATTTCGAAAGACTTGCATTGCCGGCGACACTACACTGATGTAAAAATTAAATAGCTGCAATATAGCCAGTAGCCATTAACCAGTTAGCGTTTGGTCGACAAGTGAAAATTGTATTGCCAAACAGGGTAAGAGCTTTAGAAGCAAAAGCACGAAAGACAAGAGAGAAAGATAAAAGTTGTTTACAATTTTCATAAATTTCGACACTTGCTAATATTAAAAAGTCCACTGGGCCACAGGTGGGTTTACTTAAATTGTTATAGCAGCCACGTAACACCGATTCGCTATACTGTTACCGTTTTTGTTGATCTTTGCTACTGATATGGTTTACTTCATTAGCAAGTTCGTAAACTCTTATGTACATATGGATAAGACATTTGTAAATTGCATACACATTATCGCGAGTTGCACTACCATTGCCTTCTAAAATTCATAATTGTACGTAGGCGAGTAGCACGTGTCAAATTCTAAGCGTTAACTGCGATAATAGTGACAATCGATAGAGGATGCCAATAGGTAAAAGAATTAATTAATTGAAAACCGGTTTGAAATTAACGATTTTATACTCCCGGGCTGGTTCCTCTTAATATCGCCTACAATTAACGATAGGTAAAACAGATTACTCAGTACTGTGTATAATTATTATACTTTGTAATTCGCCTATTTTATCAATGTTAATTTATATATGACGTCAGTTTCTTATTCGTCAATTATTCTTGGATCTATACTGTGCATTGCCTTGTTAGCTCATAATCAGTTCTTTACGTAAGTTCTAAGGAAACTGATACAAATTGTCAGAGCAATGGAAGAAGTAAATAATATTCTAGTACCAGAGCTTCGCTCGTATTGCCACAGGCAATTAATCATTTGACGTGATCTTGTTGTGCGACGCTTTTCTTAAATGATAATCACTCGATCATTGATCCATGAAACGCCTAGGCGTCACGGCGCCCTAGAGCTTCAATATTAACGGCGACGGTTCAGATATTTTTATAGATTCAAATATTCGAGATATTCAGGATAGTCGACCGCACGTCTTATATATTGACATTGCATTTCCGGATACTGATACGTGCGCGTGGAGGCTGCCAAATTAAACAAATTTCTAAACCTCCGGACGTCCAGGTTCGACGCTATTTATAATCGACTCTCACGAGTTCCAGAAGCACTTTAGGAAATTCATATTACGAGACGGCGAAACGCTTGTCGAAAATTCCATGGAATTGTATCGCGAGAATAAAAGAACGGAAGTTACACTGTGGGCAGTACTAGAAAAACTGACGTCTCGTTAGCAATCCATTTTTTCAAAAAAATCCTTTGTCTACTTTCCGCTCCAGAATCAACGGCACTGATTTGTATATTTTTTTTTGGAAAATTCCTCCCGCCATCAGCGTGTACCACCTGTCTGTAATTTATCCTTTATTCTATCCTTTGGCTATTCCTAAATTCATATAATTTCTCATTGTTTACGTGCACTGTTTTCAACGGGAATCCAACTTATTGACCAACTAAAGTAGACGACCCATTTGCGTTCGCCATCATGCAGACGGTTAGGAATTTAAAAACGTGTCATACGGTTACCCAAATTATTTTCGAGGGCGGGAAATTCAAAAGCGGTTGACAAATCTTTAAAATTGTTTATAACACACACGCGCACTACGCGCCCGTTTAACATATACACCTTATGCGACTGGAGTAGAGAATGACGATCGACGACGATCGGTAATATTCAAAGACAGCAGATAGTAGTAACACGACATATGATTGGTCCACTACTTCCAAGAGTGATTCAAATCCATCTGAACCGCTCTCCGGAACGTATTGAGGAAATCTAACCCCCCGCAAATCATCCGGAAACTCCAGAACCGTCTGCTACCAGCGTCCTACGTCCCACGTCTTATTCCTGATGGCTCAGAGGGACTCACAACACTAACTAAGGAACGAGCTATACGTCTGCTGGCTTTTCCTTCACCGTGGCTCTTCCTTTTTCTCCCACCCTTCGCAAGGACATGATACACATTAACTTTTAAGTTTCGACATACCAATCTCTAGCCCAAAGGCTATGTGCCTTGGATATTCAGGAATCTTTTTTCGACATGTCCGAAGGTCCGTTCGAGAGAATGGCACGCTGGCAAGAAACATGGAGGAAGTTGGGACTAAGTAAAAAATAGTTTCTCTGTTTTCTAATCTAAACTCCGTTACCTCCTGATAAAGTCGAATTTCCCTCGCGAAACGTGTCCTTCGTTTCCGATCATTTTTCAAAATAATTTTACGTATCTCTTAACACTGATCACTCTGAGATGACTTCACAGAATCCTTAAATTACGTGGAACGTTAATTCCCGGCTGTTACTCTTCCTTGACGTGTTCACTTCTCGCGCATCCTGGGATTGACTATCGTCTCTTGTATGGGACACCTCTGTATATATCTCCTAACTGTCAAAACCCACTCTGATACCGCGTGCGCAATACGTATAGCATGCTCGCTTGAAAGATACTGTTTTCTTATCGAGGAATCAATGTAGCAGAGTGTCAAGTATGAGGTAATCCTTAAGGTGTCTTTATATTAGCAAATGCTTTGAGACGTTGAATTGCTAGAAATTCTGCCAAACGGCTTATGAGATGACTCCTTCTTTCACCTGTTACCTATAGATACAAAAAGAAGGTGTGAAAAAATATTTTCAATTGGTAAAACCTTTTGGGAAAACACACCTCTTCCGGCATCCGAGGCTAAGCTTTGAGTAATTTATAATGATATGTTAGAGAATTATTAATATTACTTGAGCTGTTTTCTTCACCTTGATCAGTTTGACAGATTTAACTGATTGCTGGTTATTGGATCGATTGAAGAGAGTCGCGCGTTGACGAGTCCAGGACTTAAATCCCACTGATAAGTTTCAACACTAAATGGCTCATTTATAGGAGCCACCACCGACCGTAGAAATTGTCGACCCCCGTGCATCACCAGTGAGTTAGTTAACCCCGATGGCAACCTCTGAAGACATCCAGTGGCGTAAGAAAGAAAAGGAAATACGTCCTTTGCAGAATAAACCAGTTGCAATATGTTTTCGGTTCTGTTCGCCTTCTTTCCTGGATCAAATAGCAGAATGCTTATTTATAAAAAAATAATTGGCACTGGTAATCTCCAGATATATACTGACTTATAATCTTGATGAAATTGCGTCCGTGCACAAGAAGGCTTCTACTAATTTCGTGGTGACATCTCATCTCTTTCCCATCACGTCACGACGCTCTTGAGTGATGTCCTGAGAAATGAATAGTATCGATCACTTCCATTATTTATGAAAATCTCATATTTCACAGTGCAATATAATTGGACGTCTTACCACAAACAAGGAAAAGCCAATTAGTTCAACCTTGAATTAAATATTTTCCTCGTTCACCCATTTCAAGATGGGAAGACCAGCTTAATTTCAACTGAAAATCCACTTTGGTCGTGATGCCTCAATATTTCTGCGTGAAAATTTTTTTGACAGGTCACGAAACAATATAGTAAAAATTTTAGCAAGATGTACGTCGCTTTGCATACAATTTTTTCAAACTGGATATTCATGATTTTTCAGTTAAGCATATTACAGTATTTTATTCTCGTATATACTTTAGTGACTATGAAAAGCTGTGCTCTGCTAAGCATATTGAATTATGATCTGTCAAAAAACTACTCGTGAAAGGTTTCCATATTTATAGGTGAAACTGAATTCATTGTGTGATACCACATTTGGCTGTAAGGGTGGAGACTTCTCTTGATCCTTTTAGAATATTACAATGTATCTCTGCGTTACGACCTGCATGGTATAATTCATTTGTTAGCACCCACGTCAAACAGTATGTTTACGTGGAAAGGCTTAAAGCGTGTAATAGTCACCACAGTGTGGTTAGCTAGTCTTCTTATATATACACCGTCGAATACATATTCTTTACGTAGAATTATTAGAATTCGTCTATCTAAATTAGCGTGACCATATGAAAAACTACTAATGAACTTGAGTCTTAGAAGTGTTAGTTATACGAAGTAACGTGAGAATTATGAACATAGTTACTATTAGTATTCCCCTCTTGGGTCCCCTTCTGACAGCTCAATAACAGCTCAAACTGATAGTTCATTGTTTCAGGATTGAAAGTATGAACTGGATAAATGATTACGAGAAAATGAATCCTCTTGGTGATACATGGAGGGATTCGGTATACCGTAGATTAATTTCATTGAACTCGTACCACGGATTTCTGAAACAATTAAAATTAATTCGGTTGCTGTTCCTCTCGATACCGTTTCAATGCCGCCGCTGCCATGCGTGAGAATAGCACATTAGATTTCAGGCAAATCAGTTGAGTGTCACGAGCCACAGACAATGATTGTCGGAAGTTAGTAATTTGGCTTTTTTTCATTAAAAATTTTTTTCTTTTACGAGATACTTTTAAGGTCGCACAAAGCCCCGACCGACGTAATGAAAGTGTGTTGAAATATGACAAGGACATACTTTTATTTACAACTGTTGTGCCAATTGAATTTTTGATTTTACAACTATTACTTATTTTTAAAAATCGTGTTCAGTACTGTCAATTGATTAATCATTGAGCTACCAGATCTGCGCAGCTGGATTTCAACTCTCGGCTTTGAGTTATATCGACCAAATGCTATAACGTCCTGTATGTGTATGCATGTATATAACAGTTTAATGCACTTTCAAGAGGACTTTAAATAAACCAACGAGAAATTTTATCGTTTACGATTATTCGATGATTTTCTTCCACTAGTATCAGCTAGGCATTCAAAATCCAACAGTAATTTTATTTATAACCTATCAAGTGGAGTTTGCTCGTCGTAATAGCTGCAAGGCACCCGTATAATCTCTTGTTCGTTAGGTTCGTGACATTTATAATTATAACAAATTTCAATGTTTGCACCTATATTCTTATCAGTTCAATTGACATCCATTGACTCCGTTTTGTCTGCAACGAACTGTTTGTAAAATCTCTCGACTCCCTGGATAAAGCTGGGGATGTAATGATGGCTGTACACACGCAGTCGTCATCTGGCATAAGATTTGTACGTAGTTTGTTTAAACTAGAATCTAAAGAATCGGAAGAGGCATAATATTACGGTTTGGTTATATCAATTGTAAGATTAGATGATAAGATTGAGATAAACGAAACTTTGCAGTACCTTGAAGAAAAAATGTTTTGTCTTCATAAATTCATATTAAAAGAATAAGCTAGTATGAAGTGTCAAATCTACACATATGACTAGTTATAGACTTGGCATAAGAAATTCTTGGGATTATAACCTAAGTCAAATTGCGAGAGCTCTCCGTAAACAATTATTCCTCGAATGAACCTCTTTCATTCGCGTTGGATTTCCTTCAAGGCTCTGAAAGTCAGCCAACCCGGTCCTCGCAAGATCCAACAGCCTCGATCCAGTTCGATCCAGTCCCATCCAGTCGATTCGGTAGACATCCTGAAACACGCAGAGCCACGTTCAACGTTGGGCTCATGTTCCCCTTCTTTTACTCCCCACCTTCATCTTTGTTCACTCCTACCTTTGCTTTTCTACTTTTCCTATAGAAGGCATTCTCGTTTCTCTATCTTCAGTTCCTACTTTGCTTCTGCTACATCATCTGACTCTTCAATGAGACATAGTGGCCTAGACTTATCTTATACATATAGACCACAACAAGATATTAGATAAATTACAATTTTGATTTCATTTTATTACTTGACTGATTATAAATATTGACACAGTTCTCTTAATCCGTGTATTATTATTGGTAGTTGATGCCTCTCTCTTCATTGATAATCTTCTCTCACCTGATAACGACAATGGCATGGATTTCATCTTTTAAAATTGGAGTCTCCATCCTTTCAGGGTCTTATTAAAAACAGATGGCACCTTGGCAGATGACAGTGGCATTGTTGCATATGTTAACAAGGACGTTAGCTTATTGTGTTGTAATTGGAACGAGTGGAAGACATGCAAAAATAATATAATGATAATTATATAGCCTTTGAGAGTTTACATCTTATATAAGTATAGAATTTATTGATTCTTATAAATAAATTGCAGGAAGACCAAGACAAAAATTGATGTTTGGAGTTTCTTAAAGGAGTAATTACAGGACCATTAAATGGACGATTATCATACCTGGAGGTACGAGTGGATAGATTTACATGGAACTTACATAAGTTAAAATTGAAAGTAATGTTTTAATAAACATCCTATATGCATGTGCAAATATGTATTATATACAAGAGTATTAAGAGTAGAGAGCTGCTCCTTTACACGAACGACTGGAGCAAAGCAATAGAGTATAATGTATATACCATATACAGAGTACTGTCTGTACAATAACAATAACAATAACAATGATAATGTCAACAAGAACAATAAAAGTATAGACCGTTCAAACAAATGGCGTTTGAATTCGAATAGTTTTTTTTCTCCTTATGATTTCGCCATTTTACGTAGGATTTCTTAAATCTTAGTATACATAAATCAAATCTTAGTATATATACATAGTATAAAGATAGTCCATTAAAACAAAATGATGACTCAGGGTATTAACATCGTTAATATCAATTAGATTCACTCAATATCACTTTGGTCGTTGACTCATGAGTTTTCTTCTCTGATGACAAATTTTTCATGTCAATTCAAACTTTGCACGCTCAATAGTTCAATAGCTCAAACAGCAGCATCACATAGATTCGAGTGTTCCTCCAGCGAGTTTTGTCGCGTACAAATTCAGAGCCTGTAAAGAATACAAGATATGCCATTATTCCTTGGCTTTGTTTAATGATTTAACGTAATAAGAAATGATAAAGGGTTACCTTGTAGATAAAACCATATTGTTCCTTTGTTTGAACAGCACCGGCTCTATCCCTTCTTATAGTATAGACGACACGTGGGACATCAACCGTCCTTGTGACTTCAAACTGTCTGATCCCCAGATCAAGGGCAATGAGAGTACCTGTGCGACCTGTTCCTGGACTGCAATGTATCACCATTGGACCGGATACCGCCCGCTGCAAGGCTCTAGCCTCTAAGAGGACAGCGATTAGGCCTGCAGCGTCGTTAGGGACGCCGTTGGAAGGCCACAGGTACCAGATGTGAAAGATCTCCCTGAATGTGTTGTTCTCCAGGTTCTAGATGACATGTATCAGGTTAACGGACCTGGAGATGTATGTTTAATGAAGGTTAGATCTTATATAACTGACCTTTAAGTGAAGCGTTGAAATGGCGTATTTCTCTTTGGTCTCCCGTTTCTTCAGCGTGACCTGATAGTCTCCGTAGAGTCTGTGACAATCCGTTACCTCCGAAGGTGGCAGGTACTCGGTGCACTTTTCCACACCATTTTCTACAAAGTCCGTCAGCATCACTATCACCTTACTTTGCTGCTCCCAGATCATTCGCCAGAAATCAGTGGCGGTGGATTCCGTGGGCGCTTGACAGGCTATATAATACTTGGAAGCATTCTTTGGTCCCTGCGTAATCGTACTTCTTGTTAGAAGAGTTAAAATACTTTTTTAAGACTTCCTAATAATTACTAATTTTACTCACCCGGACGTAGCTGGCATTAATGTATTCTGTGAGAGGATCATTGTTCAGTCTTTGCAAAGGAACCCTGGTCTCAGGTAGAGGTATCACGTTGGCGTACCTATTTTTCGATTCTGCGCCTACAGGTACCTCGTCTACACAACTTGAGACCTGGGGAATGCTTGCGTATTCTTCGGCGATGGCGTTTTTGTCATTGCAGAAGGTTGAGAGACCACCAAAATTCAGAGGGTGGCTCGGCGTGACAGTCTGTATAATTGATTATCATTGATATTAGGTTCTCATGATGCACTGAGGGATGCTGGAGAGATTTTTATATTTAACTTACAGAATCTTCAAAGGTTGGGTTGCCGTAACTCCTCTTTGACGCCCTGGTAATGCCTTTACGTCTTACGCTGTTGTATGCCGATACACTGTCCACTCTGTAAGCGTCCAAAGAAATCGGACGACATCGTCTACCGTAACTACTGAAAGGCGTCGTCTGCCTCTTTCTCATGATGAACTGGAATCCAAGATGAAGTATTATTAACATTGGCTCGTGTACCTAATTCACGAGATGCCTTATTAAGCGACGCGTTGCCTCGAGAATATTGTGAGACTTTATTACCAAGAGGCCAGCTAGTAGGACCAAGCATATGAAGGCGACGCAGGAGACTACCACAACTGCTATGGCATTACCGGAATCAGATTCGTGAACCAGAAGAAAGCTATGGATCTGAAATTTATCCAGAAAGGATGTTAGGAGCTAAATTTTCATTATGCTCAATGACTATTATCTTAATTGACTTACTGGCAATGCAGTTTCTATGGGATACATCTTATGCAAGCTTGGAAGTAGTTCTGTCATGTTAGCATCAAAGTTTCCATCTTCATCCAGGACGTAGACGAGGACTGAGGTGAGCGTCGAGTTCGATGCCGACGTCTCCGAAGTGTTTTGGCACTGAGCTTGATGAAAGACTATCTGATACGGTGAAACGTACCTAGAAAAAATATGGACTATAAGGATTGTAGTTTTTTTAGTTTATTTAAAAATTAAAAAATTCATACTTCTCCGTTCCTAACGTCAGTAGTTTTGCTAGGGAATTTTGAAGTTCTGGTAAATTTTTACAGACTTCGCTCCAGCTGCCTTCAAACACGATCCTGACAAGAACCGTCATCTCTTCAGGAGCAACAGTCTTTCGCGGTACGATCATTGTTGATGTTGACGTTGACGCTGTCACTGGTGACGTTGACATTAAGGTTTTTGTCGTAGTACTGTCATTAGTGATCTCAGTACTTGTTGAATTTTCAACAATGCTTTCAACTGTACTTCTCATAGTATAGTCAACTGTAGTTCTCATAGTGTTATACACTGTGGCTCTCCCAGTGTTGTTAACAGTAGTTCCCACAGTGTTATCAACTGTACCTTCAACAGTGTCGTTAATTGTACTGCCCACTGTGGTATCAATTGTACTTTCTACAGTGTTATTAACTGTACTTTCTACAGTATAGTCAACAGTGCTGATTGTCGTAAATTCAGTTGAGGAATTGGAAACCTCAATAGTGACATCTGTGGTCTGGGAATTTGAATTTCCAGAACCCAAACTGATTGATGACAAAGTAGATACGTTCTCATCATCGGTTAACGTGTCAAGGTTCAAAGTAGATTGAGTTGAGTTTACAATGACAGGTGTAGTAGTATTCAAACCTTCATCACTGTCTGTGACATAAAGTTCAGTAGTATTGTCACTATTAAAAACAATGGGATAAATAGTCGTCGCTGACGATTCTTCATTTTCACTGGTTTCCAGCATTCTTGGTCGAAGAGTCTCGTTATTTAAATTAACCAAAGAATCATTATCGCCCATTGTCGTCGCTTCAACATTAGGAGTGGATGTCCAGGTCTCTGTTAATTGGTCAGTACTTGTTGACATCACGTCGTCACGGTGATCTTTCTCCGTCGATGAATAAATTTTTTCTTTTTCTGTACTAGCCACATATTTCTCGGATGGTGTAGGTTCCGTCAAGCCCACAAATTCGTATTCCATTGATGTTTTGGATGTTTCATTCTCGGTGATGGCATCGTGCGAGGGTTCATTAGTGGAATCGTTGATATAATTTTCAACGGATGAGGGACTTGCGACAGTTTCAGTAGTGCTGGACGGTGACAATGTAGCAAGTGGGGCCGTACCGTTAGTGTCTGGTCCAGGGGTAGTCCGGGACAGTGTCAAATCATCAGCAGCCATCGTAGATAAATATTTTTGGACGGGTTCAGTTACGTTAGGCAGCAAAAGAATAGGACTAGAATATGTTAAATCGCTCTGAATCTCGTTGCTGGTTGTTTGAGGATTGACCGAGCTCGTATTTGTCTCCTCGGCTTCTGTTACCGTCGTGGTAACGTTGCCAGAATTCATCGTGACAGCAGTAGTAGTAGTAGTCGTAGTAACTGTTGAAGATGTTGAATTCGGGTTGAAGTTCGTCGTCAGACTCTGTGTCAGGTTGTCATTAGCTTCTGTACTTGCTGAACTAATGGGTAAGGATGTTGAAGTCAGTGTCATTAGGGTGGTCATGACTGTTGGTGTGGTTGTTGAAAAAAATAATTGGGAAGTTGAGGATTCAACCTTACTGAAGTTACCTGATCTTTTACTGTGAATAGGCTTAGTGCTTGGAGTCGTTAACACAGGTTGAGGAACTGTTGAAGAAGATACGTCTAATGCTTCCTTTGAAATTGATTCTTGATTTCCTATAGCATTTCCATACTGAAGAGTTTCTTTTACGGTTTTAGGGGATGTCACACTGATCTCTCCCCGTTCAGTCGTTTTCTCTTTTCCGCCGTAAGCAAAGTGATGAAAACTAGTTGCGTAAGGATAAGGCCACCCTTTCTCATTGAACGACTCATTATGGGATACATTGATATCGCTATCAGTCATGTTATCAGGAATATTTATGCTGGTACTGCTCGTCGACCTGGTGTCCTGATTTTCATTATCAGGATCACCTGTCACAGTCATAGCCATCGTCTTCTTTTTTTTCTTCCTCTTTTCTTTATCAACGTCCTTCTGATCATTTACATTTGGATTCGGTGAGCTAGACGCTAAGATAGTCGTGAAGAAATTAGATTCTTCATCAATTTCACTCGTAGAAGTACTAGGCCCTGAATGTAGTTTCATACTGGTCATCAGGTAGGAATCATTTCCAAGAAGTTCAACTTCCTGTTTAGGTTGATACTCTTCGTACTTGGCATTGACATTGTCAGACAATAAATTAGTTCCGGTGTGTACTGCGGTTCCAGTGGAATTACGCGCACTGCCATTAATGTCAGTTCTCTCATCTTTCTCTAACGAAAGCTTATGATAGTTCACAAGAGTATCATTTAACAAAGATATCGGTTTACTAGGAACACCTTTGCCGTCAGTATCGGTTTTACTATCAAAATCATCCTCAGAATTACCAAATTTCTCTATATTTTTATTCTCAATGCTCTGATGAGACAGATGTGAGACAACCGGGGTCGTCATTTCCGATATCAGTTTCTGTGAGGTCGACCCAACTTCCTCCTTACCCGTAGTACTAGACCGATCTTCTAAGTCGATCGTTGCAATTGTCGGGATCTGCAAGAGGTCACTCTCACTGTTGAGAGGCTCCTGTTCATCGCGATTGCGAATTTTACGTCCACTTTTCTTCCAGCTTCGATTTCCTGCTTCTGCGGTACTTTCGGCGTTTTCATTTTTACTCTCCAAGACACCAGCTTCCTGGATGGTTCTGTGACCGTATTTCGGTTCCGTAGCCTTATCATTGTAAAACAGTTCAGGTTTTACCGACACGGAGGAAGTTGTCGTTTCAGCTGTGACATGTCTCAGCAACAGTACCGGTAACAGGAAGAGCAACACTACTCTTGACAGTGATATCGGTGATGCTTGGGTAATGCCTGAAATATAGAAGAAAATATTAGTATTATAAAAAAAAAGTAAGTTACCATCAGAGATAAATCCTACTAATTTCCCAATCTACAGCAAAGCATTGCTGGTTGCCTACAGTAAGGCGCCGCCCTACACTGTGCCACAGATTCTAGGCTTGTTAAGAGCCTGTCGAAGCAATAGTCAAAACAAACTGTTGTGACACTTTTAAAAACTAGTCTTCCTACTTCCATATCAATATCAATACTGTATTATGGTATGCTTGCCAGTTAAATAAAAGAAAAGCCTCACTGTCAACACAGAAAAATAATACTAGAGAGATTTGACAGTGTTAAGAACCGGTTGTTACTGCTTCAGGAAATATCCAGTACAAAGAATATATTATCTCAGTAAGTTTTATATTAGCAAATATAAAATAAACGACGATCGGTTCATAATGGTCAAGGTGAATTGAGTAATTCCGGCTCAGGAGTCTTTTCTGTATGCTAGTGAGCGAATCCACCTCTCACTGCGCAGCCACTGGCATCATATGGTCACTCGGTAACAGTACTTTGCACTGCTACACCACCAAGGAATCTATTCTTCGTTTGCAATAACTTACAATTCTCTTCAACAATCTGTGTTTATCTTCTGGAGCGACTCACCTTCGGCTACTCTCGAGGCGATGCTCGTGCCTCCTTGCGTCATCTCCACATTCGTTGGCTCTCCTCTTGAGATACCTGAAACCAAACAAAAAACCTTGAAAATCACATGCGACATTGCTACTTTTGATTCAGCGGTCTATTAAATACCAGTATCCTTAAGCTGCTAAAAAAAAAGTAGTACAGTGAATGGCACTCGAGGACAGGATAACTGTTGAATAGGTGAGAACGATCAGAAATCATCAAAATGATTTTGAGCTATTGAGCTATCTTGAGCTTGAGATTGTTTACGGCGATACTATTCTCTACCTATAATTTTTATCTTTCGCATCATTAGCATTCTTACAGAGCAACCGCTCGTGGAAGCCTTGGAAAATCACACTTCGAAATTGCGCAGTTACTGTAACGCGACATTAAACTGGACTCTCTTGCTGTCTACGTCTAAGCGCACTTCGCCTTGGTTGCCATATAGATGTACCCATGTAACCGTAGAATATGGGCCGCCATCAAGGCCTATCTACATTACAGTCAAAGTTAAGCGCTATACTTTAGTGTGACATATTAGGCAGCTTGGATGGCGTCAGATCAAGAATACATGATTGTTAATTATAGTTACAAGACAAGATAAAGTATCGCTAGTATATTATCAGATAAAGTTATAAGATATTCTCTCTCTATTTTAATAAATATCCTTACTTAAACGTCTCCTGACAATAGGATACCCGGACACGCAAAGGCGGATGCTCAAGTATCACCGTGTCAACTGGTTCATTCAATTATCTTGCATAATGGCGCCAAACAAGGATGACTCGCTTGTCGATCGATAGTTCGCATTTATACATAGAATTGTGACTCCGTCGATGCTATCTATTTATTTAATAATTCACTATAATCTCCCCCAACGCCCCGTTGCCTATACCAACTGTCCAGCTGTTTGCAACTATTCTTGCGCAAGAGTGATTTTCACCGAGCGCAAAAGGCGATCGCCAGTTTCGATATAGATACACTCAGGTGATTTCGTTGTTGCCTGGATTCACGAGCTGTGACGCAACGTAGAAGCCAACCGTGACCATTTTTACGTCCGTCTGTCCAACCGTCCAGTTGGCTCATTTCCATGGGGCATTTCAGAGCTGATGTCTTAAATATTCCACAGTTCCTATCTTCATCCAACCGATCTCAACTCTGATTCATGACTCCACTTCCTTATCTTGATCCATGTCGATGCTCGAATCGCAGGGGACCATTATTTAATAAAGCGCACCGTGCATGCAGCAAGGGAGACGTCCCATACCTAAGAGGAATACATTAAGGAGAGTATTCCTCGGCAAGTGAACGTAAAGCCAACTGGGTCCGATTGTACGTCAGCGTATGGTATGTACTATACAATTGTAATAGTGTCTCCAATTATTCAATACGAAAGCAGAGCGACCTTGATGATATGATGTCTTGCTGTGCTACTGAAAGGCCTCTTCGAACAATGACATCCCATTAGGATCTCTTGACATCTCTCTTATCAGCACTCAGATTAGGCTTGGAACAACATGAGTTATTTTAGTCCTACGTTCACGAGCCACAGGCAATAATTCACGTACAAGGTGCACCAGCTGAGTGTCTAGTAAACGATCTAGGAAACTTCCGAGCATAATCACAAGGAAAAATCAGTATATAGGAACACTGTAACTATGCGTAAAATTGTTTTACGATTCTTGCCTTTATCTTATCACGGTAGCTGTGCCGCCGTCACTGTAGTCGGTAGTTAAATCACATAGAGAGGAGCGACAAGGCCAAAGGAAAGTGCAACGATCGTTCTTATATTTCTCTGAGATCTGGAATGATATATAGACAGTATACACACTTTATATGCTATGCATGCACTTGGGTACTTTAAATAAAATGCCATTCGAGTCGAGCACTTACGACACTTTGCCTGTGAGCTGTTTAGCTGTAATGCGAGCCAAGATGTCAAACAAAGTCAGGTTAGACTTGTACGCTCTCTGCTTTTATATATATATATATATATATACACATAAATTGTATTCGTATATACATATAACTAAGCAGTAACAATTCCCCGACTGACATTTACTACGATTGCTCAACAAAACTCCATGCATAGAACTGCCGGTAATTGTGAACGAAGTCACTGCTGGAGATGCATAGACTGTAGTGTATTCTGCTATATGTATAGATTGAACAGTATTGTAGGTTAGCTTAGATCTTAGGTATAGGTTACGTATTACACAGGTATAAATGATAAATTTGTGGGTATGATATATGCGTACGGCGTGCGTGCTGCTGGTGAAAGAAGAAAGGTACCTCGTGGAATTGTGGTGGGACGATGGTATAAAGTGAAGGGCAGTAGGGGGAATGAGACATTCCTGAGATATCTTCCTAATGACGAGTCACTCATCGGCCACGTTCTTATACATGCTTATTGTATACTGTCAACGAATATACAAATATCTAGCTTAATGAGAGTAGGTGTAGATCTGACAGCTGACGTCTGATCGTTTTGCTTAACCGCCATCTTGTAGGTAATGTTCCATTGTCAGAATGCAATAGGAATTCCTTTGCGTTCATTGGCTAATCGTTAGATTGATTGACCAATCAGAGGAAGGCTAAGTATGTATAATTTTGAAATGATCTGGATGTCCTATGGGTAAAAGTGAGAGAGGTTTATGCCGATTCACGTGAATAAGAGAAGGACAGAAATACCCGTAGCTCGACTCTTGATAACTGTCCTTTGAATAACTGCGCCAGTTACGAATGCAATTTCGAATGACTATAAATTTAAATTGATTGATATATTTGAAAAATTAGAAAGTTATGCTATTCGTGATTTACTCTTACGCATGACTGTGCTAAATATTATTGATTGCTTTTACATTAAAGTGATACCACGACACCTGTCAAATCCAACTCTTCTGGTACTTGGGCTGCGTAGTTTTGTGCGTATAGTCATTTTTTTTTCAATGGGAAACGATTTTATATGTATATAAAAGTTTTCCTACTGTCCAAGATAGTCATGGCTCGTCTCCTCTTTTCTTATTCCCGTTCTCATTCCCGTTTTCTTTACTTTTTCCAAAGAGCAGCTTAACGCAGGACGCAGTACGTTACGCTCGAGGAACGTTTGGCTCGCGTGGATGAGTCGAGGCACATCGTTTCTCGAGACTTTCTAGCGTCATTCTGGAAGCCCCTTGGCTTCTTTCTGCATAAAAGCATTAGAAAACAACAAGTGCAGGAACAATAGGTATATGAAAAATAGCTCAATAGCTCAAAAGTGATGGGCAACAATAGAATCACACACGATAAATTAAATGTATCTACGTCCGTCAGCTTAAAATAATTTACTTACAGAGAGCAGATTAGGACCGAAGATCTTCGAAGATGCAATAAAAAATTGTCATAATTGTCATTCAAGAAATTTATACAAATTTCTCGATTGCTCGATAAGAGCCCTTTACTAGAATCACGTGTCCGTTTCTTTTCTTTTTTATTTTACCGGTTATTCCACTACACCCCTAAGGCACAACACTTGGTCTCCATGGCGACGCATTCTACAGCACGCTTTTGTCTATATACATTGCTGCATTCCTTCTTATAATGCATCATCACAAAAACGGTACTGTGCTTTTAAAAGAAAGATAAATAAATAAATAACAACTGCACTCGCGGACCGGTATTTAATTATTGTATTAACACACTCTCTCTTTATATATTTTTGTTCAGCCCTATCTTAGGCTTTGGAAAGTGGCTTGATGTACAGTGCTTTTCAAACGTTATAAAGTACACAAGGACCAGGTGGATTCAAAGACGAAATTCAGCGTTACAGCTATTACCACTGCGAACGTTCGGCGTGGACACCGAAACCAGACTGACGTCTCCCTGGTGCCAGCAGTGCTGTGAGCTGCTTTGCTTGCTCGAGGCTCTCAAACTGTGGAGTGTGCTATACAACTTGGATCCGTTGGATTTGCAGTGAGCGATTATGTTCGCGCCTGCGCCTGCTTCTTCGCGAATCCAAGAATGAGTCAGACGATTGTGGACACTGAGAGAGTTGCGATTTCACAGTATCGCAGGTGACAGACCTGGTTCACCTGGTAAATTTCATATTATTGTTTCTGCAGTGTTCCTAGAATTGCACGTTATCGATAGTTTTCTATATGAAAAAATTACTCTCTCTCTTCATTATTTCCAGCACAATCTGTTGCCATAGTATTTGTTATCATTGCTATGAAACATTTTAGCGGATTGGAACTCGATAGAGAAATTATCCAATAAAATGTGACGGGCGGTCGATACGCCCCTCGTGTAATTATCAGTGATACCAGATGATAATTCGTTCATTCTCTTTCTGTTTCTCTGGCGATTGCCGATTATTAATTTTAAACATGATTCATTATTGTCCGAGCTACAATTATAAGGCATCAATTTATTTTCATAACTTTTCAAATCTCTTAATCTTTGCAACTGGGCCATCCGATATTTACTTGAAGGACAGGGATAGGTTTTATATGAATATTTAATTTCACTGGGGAAATGTAATTATAGTCTTTCACATATTTATAGAAGCTTTGCGCTTTTACTCTGCGCAACCACTTTTGATCTTATGATACTTTGAAATATCGTGCCACTTTTTTAAAATATATCTATAAATCTTTTTTTTTAATAAGATGCCTGGACGTTATTTTGTATTTTTCTGATTAGAAAGACCACTGAGGAGCCGTTCAATCTTATGCAACAATCGGATTACGCGTTGTTATTGAGTTAGACGTACACGTAACAACGGTCGCTGGGTGATTCGAGTGAAACTTTAATACACAGAGACGGGTTGCAACTCATGGCAATTCCTTGCAACTCCCTATCCGTAACAGGAGACTCGGGTGTCTTGAGAAAGTATCCTAAGAAATTATTCACAGCGAAAAATTCAATGAATAACAATGAAGAAACGAATACACATTTTTTGTTACAGACTGATATACCGTCATGTTCGAATGATTCTAATCATTAATTGATTCTCAGGAGAAATGATTAACGTCAGCCGCTTAAAGATTACAACACAATAACTCAGGACATAAATGTCTCCCAACGAGTATGAAACAGACACGACGCCAAGCGTCATCGTGAAGCGTCGCAACGCCAGACGCAGGAATATAAATATGTTTACTCATGTGGATGCTGCAACTGATACCAGAGGGGCGTGTTAATCTGGCCACCATAATAATTTTTCCATCCCTAGACTCTCGGTTGTTTTCAGTCATTCTTGGTCGTAGAAGAATTAAGGGAAAGGTACGGAACGACAGGTATTGCTTCAAAGGGACCCAAGACATACATAAGTATAAACTACAGAGACTTATAGACCGTCCACGAATTCAATGTGTTTTGATGACAGTTCATAAACAATCCAAACTTTAGCCAGTTGCATTGCGTGATCTTATGGTCTGCATTGTACGATTTGCTAAGGTATGCATTGTTTGGGAACTGTCAAAAGAAATACATTGAACTCATGTACCGACTGTATATAATAATTGTCTTAAGTAAATAATGGAAGTGATGAATAGAGCATACTCTTCTATACATTACAAAATTAAATACGATTTGAATTAGGCGTGTTTGTAAGATTAGATTGTATCACGATTATTATATATGGTCTCTGACAGTGCTACGTAGTGCATAGAAATAAGATTCGAAATGGCCCGGGTAGCGGTACTTGTCGAAGATCTGGGTCACTCGGTTGGCAAATCCTGGTACTACCTAGCCCAGCGGTACTTGGGTCATCGATAATCACGAATGAATTACACTTAATTTCACATCTCTTAAACGATGACGGATAGCAGAGAGTAGTTGGCGAGAGAAAAAAGTTATATTTTTAATAGATTACTTGAAACTTCCTATTCTTTAAGAGAGTAAATGAACTTTAAGAGTAAAACGTCAGAACGGACGTGTGATTGCCTCTCACGAGGAGAAACGGTGGCATGTCCCTTGTTAGAACTTCTAGCCATGCCATGTAAAGCGGCGCCGAGACAGCACCCTTCCTAGGCATCGGCAACGTCCTGTAACGAGGAGGGATGTTTGAGTGATCAAGGAACATTATGATGGTACTTTATCTATTTTTAGAATCGATTACTTACATGACAATGAGATTCGCATCCGTTGAATTTTCTAGGAGAAGCTCCCGCAGTCGAAGATGTCTGTTTGTCTTTTCCTTCATGGCAATCAGTTCTGACTCTTTGACAGGAACTGGAAGAGTAATGTACGTTAACGTTGTTACTGTTCACTCAAAACACACAATTAGTAAAGAAAATATTCTTCTTACCATCCTCAGGATTGTTCGGATCTAGTGGCTGCTGAAAATCTGCTATGAGCAAGTCGAAGAAGCTCTTTGTCGTAGACTGGGCGGGTTTTGATACGTCTGGGATGACCTTCAGGGCGGAGTAATCAATTCGAAATTTGGACAGAAGACTTGCCATACTGCCAAAATAAAAATTTAAATTAATCTAAGCAAGTAAGGCGATGATAATACGTACAAGTGGTGTAGAGTTTAGCAGTACAAATACCTTCGTTGTTCGTATTCGAGCTCTGAATTCCTATTGGCTAGTGCAAAGACTCGTAATCGACTACTGGACCAATTACGTCTCGTGCTGATGATATACGGTAATAGCAATGTGAGACCACCGTCGTCGTACAACCACCAGACGTCTATCGTGCCCTTTTTCTGATTCTTTTGAAATTTTGTCATAGCGTTCAGGATGTCTTTAGAAATGGCTACAATATTTTGCTTATGCTCACGACGTTCTTCCGTAGGTGGATTAGGACAGTCATTCACTTCCCTCCAGCGTCGGGGCTCTGGGCTGCCAGGCATTGAGATGTCAGAGGCGCTGCTCGCTGAAGATATTGTTTTCAATTATCATCCTCAGTCTTATTCCCACAGCCATTTATTTACTTTTATTTCTTAGACTACACGTTACCTTGACTAAGCTGCGAAAAGCTTTGATTCGCCGGAAGGGCCGATGCAGATATTTTACGTTGATCTTCAGCTTCCCCCATCGCAACACCGTAATCCAGTCCTTCACTGACACGCAATAGAGCAACTGCTATGTGCATATCCAGAGCCTTGCTGTCAATGTGAAAATGAAAGAAATGAATTTTTGAAAAACTTCCAATTGTACCTAACAATAATGCTAATCACTTACTGCATCACATTAAAGTACATATTTAATTTCTCTAAGGGACAGGACACCCAGTCTTGCTTGTAGCCCATGAGCAGAATGTTGGGCCTTAATTTACCAAAACCGGAAGTCTGAAGTAAGGACGTTGCACCGTTTTGGAAACTGGTTCCGTCGATAACCGAGTAGAAAGCCTTGATCTTGTTCGTGCGGAACCATGCTGTAGATTTGACGATCATGCTGGAGCGGCTCTTATTAGACAATGGTGTCTGGGTTTAAAAAAAGATGCGTTAGCATTGTGCCCAATCGTTCTTTACGGATGACACGTTAAGATCATTCACCTCAACAATGTGACCACAAATAAGAAGACTTTGATTCTTTGTGATGTGATGAGCGAAATCGATCAGGGATGATCTGGCACTTGGTGAACCGCTCAATACCAGGAGTTGAGGTCTGTAGTTTTTCACGTGTTCCTCAACCTTATCGAGCTGTTGAACAGCTGTCAAGGCATTGTTATAAGTCTGAGCTTGCGTAGTAGAACCCCAGTTGACATCTGAAAGCAAAATTTTCGCGTTTAACGCTGTTATGCCAAAAAGCTAGAACGATTTGATCATTGTTAATATTATTTTTACCGGGTTTTCTGTAGGAGACTACGAGGTACAGTGCGAGTACAGTAGAGAGTGTGATCAGCGCAGTCCACCAGGAGATCAGAAACATGACAGCCACACAGAGAATGGCACCGGCAAGACTGAGCCACATGTTATAGTACTAGAAAAACAATAAAAAAATTAATTACTGGATTCAAAAGATCTTTATTGGATGAGTTCATACATACTTTGAAGGTAGGTCGCCATCCGATAGGCTTCACTAACGATGCGTGAAATGTACTAAAATTCACCAGAGTATAGGCAGCCAAGAAAAAATTGGAAATTAGTGGTGCTATGGCGTTTAGCTTGGCTATAAAAAAAGGAATAAAAGATGTGGATGAAGAAAGAGTGAAAAAGTAAATGAGAAAGTATAATGGAAAGCGCTTCATGGATATAATGTACCCATTAGGATGAAACCAACGACGATGACAAAGGTCAGAAGGTATCCTCTGATTGGTTCCTTTCCCCTCTCTCCACTGAACCACCTAATCCCAGGATAAAGTTCATCCAGACAAAGAGCCTGGAAGACTTTAGGGGCTGAAACTAGAGAGGCCAATGCACTGGACAGGGTGGCAGCAAAGCATCCAGCATAGATCAATGGCCCAAAGGCAGACACGAGTTCGATAACCTGGAAATTGTTGTGGCTACCGTGGGTGCAGTTTCTCGAGCAGTTAAAATCGGTACCATATATACTCCAAGCTCGTTCAGTATGGTTCCAGGAAACATGAGTATCATTTTCCTGGAGTATGGTATAATTACGGATATCAGCGACAGACTGGAAGATTCGTGAGTCGTTAAATAGATTTTGTAAATCCTGAAGATTCCCAGAAGCGTCGCGAAGGACGCTGGCGCCCACCATGAACGCCATCAGGATATAAGTCAAAGTAGTAACCAGTATAGCCAAAAGTGTCCCCTTGGGTATGGCTGTTTGGGGATCCTGATACAAATAAATTGACCTGGATTAAATTCCGTTGTTGATTTGTTTTAATATCGACTGATTGGAAACAGTAGATCACCTTTAAATCTCCAGATATATTAGCACCAGCCAGGATACCAGTAGCGGCTGGGAAGAAGATGGCCAGGACGGAAAAGAAATTATGTTCAACACCCTCCTTAAGCCTGTAATCCGGATAAAAATTTTCCCGAAAGAGTGCAGCATTGTAGCCAATGAAACCCTTGGCTCTCTCCTCGTCGTTCTTAGGTCCCAGGAAGCTCCCCACGATAAAATCTCCAATTGCTACCAAGAGGATCACCAGGAGCCCAAATTGAGCCTTAGCTTCCCATTCCATGCCCACCATGACAATCATCAGGAGTAAAACGATGGTCACGCATCCTGTAAGAAATTTTCTTAATATAGAACATTCGTGCGCTTAATTAACTAAGATCAAGATTCTCTTACCTATTATCCGGATATCCGTATTGCCACAATTTGTAATACATAACCCATTTGAATGCAGGCAGTCAACCATACTCTCGCAGAATCCCACAACGTACATAGCGCAAGCAACGGCATTTGCAAGTGAGAAGATCAATCCAATAGATCCACCAAACTCTGGTCCAAGTGATCTGGAGATCATGTAGTAGGTACCACCTGCGATTGCGTGATTGCTCCAGGAATATCAATAAATCACCATAAAGAAGCTGGAGTATAATTTAAGAATTACCTCCTTTTATAAGTCCGTTTGTACTGATAGCCGACATCGACAAGGACGTTATCGTCGTGACAACCGTTGTCGTCAGTATCAAGAGTACGGCTTCTCCTGAGATAATTCCTCCATAGATTCAAAGACTACCAATCAACGTGATTAATCATAGACAATCAATTTCAGGGTGATAAACTTACCTACGCCAGCTTGAGCTACGACCCAGGAGAGTCTCAGGAATAGCATCACGCCCCAGATATTGAGTAGGCATCTCATAAGGACACCCTGAATCCATCCAAATTTTATCCCAGTGGTAGGTTGCTTCGAGATACTCTGAGGGAGGCTGTGAGAGCCTGAACCCTGGACATAAACGTTTAATAGTATGAGCTATAGGCATAGGTCACATAAGACATCTCATATCTCAAATCCGTCAGGTTCTCCTAGCATCTCGTTTAACCAGCTGCGATGGGTAAATGGAGATTTAGAGTTAGGCGCTTATCACTATGTCGAGGTGAATCAACTGGCAGAGAAGGGTCGCCAAGCGACCAATGAAGACTAACAATTTACGTAATAATAGGCTCTCGGACGCGCTACCATATGTACGTGCCTGTCCCTGACACTCCGTGGATAGGTCTCAGGTCAGGGGTCAGGTTTTGTTCAACCTTACGATATTATCTAAACCATAGGGAATTAAGTAGAATAATCTACTGTGTGTTAGTTATAGGTTAAATCTTGTGACAGCTCGCGTAGGTTTTTAATTTCACGTAGAATGTCACCATCAGATTATATTCGATAAACTCAATCTTCTCATTGCTCGCCATTACTTGCTATTACCAGTAGTCGGATAAGAGATTTGTCATCCTCGTCATTTAATTATTTCGAGCTTACATGAATGCCCCTGACTATTTTAACTTGACCGAGCTGCGGCCTAGAGAAGTATTAGGCGGAATATAGGAGTGATGCCAGTGTATATATGTTTCTCCAGGAATGTGGTGGGAGAATTGGAGATGCCGAACGAACTGAAATTTTAGAATTAGTTCTAAAAGCGTATAACTCAACGATTAATTAGTGACCCAAATGCATTTCAATAAATCGAAAATAGTACGAGATGTAACTGTAAAATATAAGTGTTGAGTGTATAATACTACGATGGTCAAACCTCGATTGATAATTAGTTGCTTAATAAAGTCTGAGTAATCAGACTTTTTGCACATTAATACTACACAGTTTTAGTTAATTTTCGGTTTATATAAATTTCACATTTTTAATATGGCACAACTGACGATCAAACAGTTTACAACCGATTTTTCACGGTTGTATCGATCCGTTGGGGGCGCCATAATACAGGACTTGTCGCATGAGTCACTTCGTAGAGATATTCGAAAAGAATGCAAAGCTTAAAATCATTATTGCACCTTGTTAAGAAGCGTAGACTCGTGAAGTTCATCGAGAGTGGGCCGATGAGCAGCTTGAATGCTCAAAACGTTCCTGTAGTTATCAAGTCTTGGTAAAGCTTCCCTCGTCATGTTCCTGAGGGATTTCCGAGTCTCTTGTTCCCCGAGGAGGCTCGCTCGACCTTCGAGACTGTCTACCCGATTCACATGGAACCTGGTGCGTCTGACTGGTTTCAACTCGACATCCACAGCCTCGACGTCCTTGTTCTTCCCGTTCTCGTGAAGCATCATCTTCTGGAAGTATAAACGACTAAAAAGATATACAATTCCTTTTCTTGTTTTATAATTAACGAAGGCGAAGCTAGTATTCTCTGCCTTATGTAGAGTACATCAATTAGTTAATATGGGCACCGTGTGGGCTGGCAATTATCAAATTATTCTTGTTTACAACGCCCGTACTCAATTAGAGCTCGAACGGTATGTCCTTAATCGAGTGGACTTATGAAATTACTAATCAACCTATCCCTTGCAAAGTTAATACGTACAAATATGTCAAACAGGCCGGTTTCCTCTTGTCCTTAAAAGTAACACAAACTTTTCACCCCTGTCAGGACACCAGACACGTGGACCACTTGCACAAATGTGACACGGCTTTGTTTTTACAGACCGATCTATTATTGATTCTAGAATACGATTTTGTGTATTGTATATTTCACAATGATTTTAAAAATTCGAGGTTCATTCACGTTAGTATTGGAGTCTTTGAAATATGAGAACGCAAAGATGCATCGCTGCATCGACGAGCGTCGCGGGCGTGAATGGTGATGTCGAGGCGACGAGAAGCCTCGTAGGATGAAGAGAACGAGAAGAGAGGAGAGGAGAGAAATAGTAAATGAACAGAACACGCGTGCCAGGGTCACATGTCGCGGAAAAACTGGCTCGCACCTATGTCTCGCGAATACCCGAGACCTAGGTTGCTTCGCATCAACCCCTCGTATGTAGTCTTCCTTATGTAGATATATATGGGCGCATGAGAGACGTTGTATATGGACGCTTTAGTAACGCCAGGAGGTCTTGTACGAAAAGCCTACGTATTTTAGTTCTCTTGATGGGGGTATTTGATGTTGTCCTTTTTCTCTTTCAGGATCCTGTTGCATTCGTCTGGCTCACGCCACGCATGCGCAGTTGGTGTTCTATATTCACCCTTCTACTCCTGTTTGATTTCCTATAGACGTTAGTCGATGCCGTTAAACAAGTAAGGGCTCTTGGTCATTATATACTAGTGGGGTAAGGTGGGGATCCATACAGCAATGATTCATCTGCGAGGGGTGAAATTCAGTATGATGGAAATTGATGGTAGTATTTTTTTCTACTGGTTTTTCTTATGAATCGATGATGAACATTCGTGGAATGTTTCGGGAGATTAACAAAGGAGAATTATGCTAGATGGAAATAGATTTTTATTGATTCCACTCTTTTCTTCCTTTTTAATATCATTCCTTTCCTGCTCTCCTTGTTATTTTATGATTAAGGATAACGAAAACAAATCAGCTGTCGCTGAATCCAGTAAAAACTAAATCGATTGCAGCTTGCACGTCTCCGTTTGTAAATTGTAATGCTTGAACGTTAACAGCATCATCGTGGAGGCCGATCTCGTGCATCTGACTAAGCTGTCGCTGAAGGTCAGCATGTTGCAGTAAAAGTGGTGGCAGTACTGGCGGTAATTCCTGTGTCATGGTAGACGCCAACGGAGGACTAGTTGTGGCCGGTGACGGTGTTGCCGCCACTTGTGCGGATGCGAAGGCCTGTTGCATTGCTTGGGTAAACATTTCTGTGGTTATGAGGGCGGAGTTGGAACTGGCAGCGGATGTTGATGAGGAAGAACCGGAAATGGGAAATGCACGAGCACCAGCTCTTGAGAGTGCTGCAGCAAGCTGCGCCGTTGTGATTCCTGAGTTTGAACGATTTGCTCTGATCAGGTTCGAGGTTTGAGCAGAATCTGATGACTGAGATGAATCACCGGCCATTTCTTCGTCATCGCTCAAATTATCCAGGCTGTACGAGTATGCAGTGTGTTGGGTACTTGATGTTAATGCATTGTTACCTGATACTGCATTGTTATGTACTTCCTCATGTACTGCACTAGCTAGATGTCGAGCAGCCTCAACAAGGACTGGATGTAGTTCTGCAATTCTGCATGTTAACATATAAAGAGAATGATACATTTCAGTTTTTGTAAAAAGTTGAATATTTACACACCTGCGTACTGTGCCTGAGTCTGTGAAATGAGCCATCAGGTCTGGATCTTGAAGTACAGCAATAGCTACAGAGTCTTCGCTCAGTCCCCGACACGAGGAAATAATATTTTCAATTACCTCAGGACGTTTACTCAAACGCTACATGTGTGAAAAGACACAATTGCATACTATAATATTGAAGTAATATATAAAAAGAAATTTCCAAACAAATATGGATGACTAATTACATGCAATGCACCACGATGAGCAGGATTTTCATTAAATGATCGAAACGCTGTTGCCAGCTGTACAATATTGCTCTCGGATATGGATTTGGCAGGAACTGGAATTTCTGGATCCTTTTTTTTAAGTACATGCACAGTGGCACCATCCTTTAGACCAGCAGATTCCAGTGTAACATCATCTTCCAAAATGCAACCACAGTAAACAAGCTCTGTAAGTAACAAAACATTAATCAATGATCTTCAATAAAATCTTGCTTTGTCATCGTACCAAGAGTATCTTTAGGCAGGTTAATACGTTCAGCAGTATCCAGTTTGAGTTGTTCTACTTTAGATTTCGAATTAACTCCCTTAAGTTTAATTGTACTAAAACTCTGAGGAGTTAAACGTACTCCAAGTAATAAATCCATAACGAATAATCCCAGATAATCAGACCTCACTGACAGTCAATCAAAAAACTGCCAAAACAATACTGTCAACAGAGCTGTCAATGTCCATCAGAAGTGGGGAAATGAGGGCGCTGCAGTCTGAATACGTATAAAACTAAAGAACCACCCAAACACCAATTAAATATAATTAAAAGATTATCACTGCAACGGCGTATTATTGAATACTTTATCAATAAACTGTTGCAGTAATTAGAGGAGTAAAAATTTCTATTATTTCATATCTAATCACTAACTTTCCGCTACTTTTATTCTATTAATATAAAACGCCGCGAGATAGCGTTGCTATTATATGAATCACGGCAGAGTTCAGCAGAGTTTCAATGGCGATTTCATTTTCTATGATGCTAGTACGCAGTGAGCCATTGCTCGTAGGCAATGAGTGTTTTCCAAAAACATTCATTAAAGTTTGATAGTGTTTCTCACTCTTTCTGCTGAATATTTTGCCCCGTATAAACATTTATACCAATTTATACCACAAGAAAGTGATAATACAGAAGTGCATTGTAGCGGTAAACGTGGAAACAAAGGCGATATTTTCCTGATTAAACGGATATTTGCCTTGTGTTGAGTTGCGGGCGAAATCGTTGCCGGTGGCAAATGAAATATTTTAGACCCGGGACGAATCTGTTCGTTGAGGAAGGCGAAGACTGTTATATACTTGACAATTAGCGGTGAGTCTCTTTTTAGATTTTAGATAATTAACTGATTAGATTAGTAATTGTAATTTCTAATGCCGGCTTGCGTTCCCGCCTTGAACATTGACTCCTCTTACGTTGGATCAGGTAGCGATGCGCCGGTACAGCTTAGTTATTCACTTTTTTTTTAACTCTAATACTCAGTTTTGTTATTTGTGCTGTGTCACAATAGTTGAGTTATATATATTAATTATGATCTAATAATGTGGAACAGATCATCATATAATCATTCTACGCGTTTTTTTTTCGTGATTCTTTTTTCTTCTTTTTTTTCTGCTGTGTAATTTCCTTCTCGCCCTTACAATTAGTGATAGAGTTCTTTTACTGCTTGAATTAAGCATTCAGGACATAGGAGAAATCACGTTTTACTTTTCGCTTATCTCTGTTGCAGCAATCTGTCTTCTTAGTGAATGCTATCTCAATTTGATTGTAGTCGTTTTCCAAAAGACGTACGAACTTTCCTTAACCTTCTCCGTTTTTATAAGAGAGGTTTAGTTAGTGAATTATGTATAATTGTATGTTCTCTTGTTCTTTTCTTCCAGGAGTGGCTGAAACTATATAGAGAATGGCAGATACAGGAAAGAAACCGGATCTAACATCAGATACACAAGATACCTACTATGAAGGTACTGAGACGCAGGATCCTACTCAGTTGCAGAATCAACCCAGTGAGGTAGTAAATGAGTCACTTAACGAAAGCCAAGATTTTTGTTTGATCGATGAGGGGGCTGAGGACTCGATAGAGGAAAACCCTGAAGTTGACTCTAAAAGTTTTAAAGCTGTACCAGTCTTAAAGGATGATAAGGATGATGTTATTGACAAGGTTATGGAGAATATTTCACTGGAATTGGAGAAGAGTATAGTTGATAAAGATTACTCACATGCCAAGAAAAATGTTTCTAGCGATGAAGACGAAGTTGTTCAGGGTACACCTCCTCATACTAGTTCGCCAACTAGAAAAGAATCTTTGATTACTGTTAGAAGTACGCCACATAAGAGGAAGGCAGAATTGGATGATGAACCAAAAAGAAAAATAGCAAAGATTCAGCATGAAGATGATCCTTTAATCTTGGATAAAAAAGAATCCATTGACAAGGATTCTGACGTGTCAGTGAACAAAGAGAAAAGTATACCTGGTGATTCAGTTATCCTAGAAGACACACAAGCATTACAACCTGTCAGTCAGACTCAGTCTGAGAACGATGATAGTGCTATAATCGCAGAATCACAAGAAACGCAAGATGACCTTAGGTTAATATTGGAAAACAGTCAGGATGCTTCTGTGGAGGTTGTACAAGACACCCAGAAAATTCTTATTGAGCAAAAGACCAATTCGGATGACACTCTTCCTTTGGATGAAAAAAGTGTACAGGATGAGAAGAAAGAAACAAAAGAAGAGCAAATATGTCCAAAAGAAACTAATGGATCTGCTGTTACTGAAAATAAATCAAACAAGGCAACTCCAGATGAACCTGATAATAGTATAAAACCTCAGGTATCCTCTGAGAAGTCTATATTGTCTACTCCTGAAAAACCAAAAAGCCCCTGTAAGGATAATCTTGCAGAAACCAAAAGGAAAGAGTTGAATAAAACGCCGGAAAATACAAAAACGTCCGAATCGCATGTAAGAAATTTGGCAGAATCCATGGAAGTGGATGAAGCAGATGAAAAGGAGGAATCAAAAATACAAATGGAAGAAACACCAGCGCCACCTGGCAAATCGAATAAATCACGTATGAGCATTGAAGTAATTTTCGACCGAAAGTCAATTAACCAAGATCAGAAGGTACGGTCAGCAGAACTTGTAGAAATCGATGAAGATGGTGAGAAAATTGTATTGGACTCATCTCAAGAGGAATTGGGAGTGCAATCTGTAGAGAAAGGAGTACCTATTAACAAAATCACAGATGACACAGTGTATAAGAGTTGTTACGATAGTAAAAGTAGTAGTGACTTGAGTTACAAATCTATAGGAACATCAGCAACAAAGGAGTTGACAACTGATATAAGCTCGGTTAATTCAAATTCAGGAGAATATCGACTGACCAATGGCAGCAGCGGCTCTGCCAAACAGGATACTGATTGTACAGAGAGTGTCAAATCTGATATAATACTTGAGGAATCTAGAGATGATAGTAACGTACCTATAATCAAATCTTTTAGCCAGAGTCCAATAAAAAAATTAAAGCTAAGTGGGCTGTCAACATTTTCAGGAAAAACAACTGACCATCCAGAATTACTGAGTATTAGTGCCAATATTACTGACAGTGAGGGTGAAGTCTCTCTTGCCGATGACTTAACAAAGTCTCAAGAAGTGTCAGGTGCATTAAAAACATTCCCTGTGGAAAAAGAATTCGGTATCTACATGAGGTTAAAATGCCTTTTACATGTCGATGAAAATACCAAAGAGCTTGTCAGTAAGGAAGTAGTAAGTGCAAATTGTGATGCCGTAATGGATTCATTTGTCACTCGAAGAAGGAATAGTGATCAGTCTGCATGCTTAGCTGACATATCTGGCAACGATAACAAGGATACATCTCCAGGATCTGTGAATAGCAATTGTCAACCCTACAAACTTCATCCATCCAGACTGTCTATGGCATCGACAGTAAGTTCTTCGAGTTCTGTATCCAGTGCAGCTTCACTGGCTGCGAAACTCATACAGAAGGACAATGCGCACTTTATGCTACCAAGGGGACCAGCAAAACATGCTAAAAAACCAAATCACGAATGTCAGCAAAATGTTTCAAGCGATGAGAAAACTTCAAGTGATGAACAATTTGACCGGCTCGTAGGCGAATGGAAAAATAGCAAGGCTATCCTGGTGAACACTTTACGTTTGGTAAATGCTGAACTTCATGGAGTAGAACTTCACAATGGGACTGTAGAACGCTCTGAGGATTCCCTCAAGACGATACACTCTTCTACACCAGATATAGAGCACCAAGATGAGATAGAGAAGCCACAAATAAGTACCCCTAAGAGCACGAAAAAAGGAAGTGTAAGAGTAACTAAGAGGACGACTCGGAGCAAGGGTAGTAAATTATCCCGTTCTAATGTTCTAGCAAAAGCATCGCCAAAGCCAAATTCTAATGTAGCATTGCAGGATGCCGTTAAGAGTAGTTCTGACACCGTTGTGGCGCCTTCTGCAAAGACTATGACGAATTCCTCGACGCCAGTCAAGCAAGGGGGCATCAGCGTCGAGACTCTAAGAAGTTCAACACCCCAAAATGTACCTAGTGATGATCTCATCGGTAAGGAAGTCTTCGCCAAGTGGTCGGACAACAATTACTACCCTGGCACCGTGATTAGTAAGACCAAGGTCAAGCTTAAGGTGCATTTCCACGATGGTAAAACTAAACTACTTATAGAGGATTTTGTTATTCCTGTACCAAAAACTCTGAACGAAGGTCTTTCCGTCTACGCTATTAATAAGGAAAGCGGTTACGGATCGTGTGGCATTATTGTCGACTCCGAAGTTGAGGATCAAGTGACCTATTACACTGTTGAGACCGATGAAGGTGAGAAACTACGTGTTCAAGTAAAGGACATCTTCTTGACAGCTGATCAGGCTCAAGTTCTTAGAGAGGAAGTGAACTCACAGACAAAGAGTTTGCCATCGACACCACAACGCTTGAGTCAAGTCACCCTGGACAATATCGTCGATGGTAAACGACGTTCTAAGAGGATTGGCGTTGCTCTACCCTCCACACCAAAATCCAGACGTGGCACAGGTGGTGTTAGCGTCAAAACAGAGGACATGCCAGAACCCTCCGTTTCTGGAGTAGCCACTAGGTTGCTAGCGAAAGTAGAAAATGAAACAGAAAAGACAAGTGACTCAAATTCTTCTGCAATTGAGGATAAGGATATTCAGGACACAAAGACCATCCACGGAGTGGAACCAGAAATTATTGGAACTCCATACGAACAAGTGACTAAGGGCCCACAAAATAGAGTAAAGGGAAAACCTAGGAGTAAAAAAAATACCGAGGATAAGGAGATGATCGCAATGCTTGGTCCTATTCCTAATTCTAATATATTCAAAGGGGTCTCCTTTGTATTAACCTGCGCCTCCGTTCAGACTATAGACAGATACAGAACTGAAGTCGAGGAGCCAAATTTATCATCAGAATCAGAACCAGGAACAGAGAACGAAGAGGAGTGGATAAAGACTCCCTTTGTCAGGGATAGATTAAAGAAACAGATTATTGCTGGTGGTGGACGCGTCTATGATGATCTTGAACAAGTTCCTCGAGATGATTATAAGAAGATTAAACTCATAACAAACATACCAAACCTGACAGCGAAGAGTATAGAGTGCCTATCACTTGGTATTCCTGCTTATAATCACAATTGGATTATACGCTGTTGTCAACAGGTATATATATCATCTATCTCTTAATAGTATTGATAATTGTCAATAATTTGTAATTGAAATAACATCATCCATCTTTTCTAGAACAAAATGCTTAATCCTGATGAAAATATTCTGCCAGCCGGATGGAGTCTTGGCAAGAGATCCTATGTCGACATGTTTCAACCTCGCAAAACGAAACCATTTAACCACGCTGTTATCGTAATTCCAATCTTACGTCACGAGAAGCTCTTCCAAGTATTCTGGGGCAGGATCTGCGAAAATGCTGGTGCCAAGGTGATACACGTGGACGATCCAGGTACCTTTACAAAGAATAAGATCTTAAATAGACATTGGAAATATTTTAGTATATTTATATTTCCTTTTATTTATTTTTATCCAGCACAAAACTTCGAGGGTGCCACTGTCGTCGTTACCAATAATAGATGTCCATCCTGGGTCGTAGAGAAAGCTAATAATTGGGAAATTCCTTTGGTCTCGACGACCTGGGTCGTACAATGTCTTGTGGAAGGTAACATTTGCCCTTGTGATACGCTTCCAAGTTTCAAGTACACATACGTTCGATCTTAAAGGATTTGTATCGTGATTAATTTTCTAAGATCCTTCTTGTTTACTATTTTCTTCTCTTTTCTATCCTCATTTTCTACAGTGTTTAAATATGTGTGATTCGCAATTGTTGCGACCGACCAACTAAAAAGATTTTAATGAACTAGACCGACTGAAATGTTTGATACTTTCATGAATGACAGATGTCATTAATCAATGTTTTAATTTGTTTCTATGCAAGAGAGTAAGTATTCTTTTTTCTTGTTTGTTATGACACTAACTGTGTTATCAACTAAAGGAAAAAGAATCAAAATTGACATCAACTTGACGGTCATCAATTGAGAAAAAAGGTTTAAATTTATGTGGGAATTTCACTTTACGTAAAACGAGATGAGTCGTTTTACGTAATGATGATTATACCTTTATCTATACATATTTATATGTATACAAGGTACAGTGCATGTGCATATATATGTAGTTTCATTTTTATTATATAAATAGTAAATACTATGTACAGTTTTTTCTGGCGATAAAATATATTGACATATTTTGGCAATTCTTCTAGTTGTGTTCTATACCTTACTTAACACCTGTCCTGAGTTCGTACAAAACGAAGAGAAGTAACAAAGTATTGATGCTTAATTGGCAAAGTTCATTTTCACTATTCAACACTTCAGGCATTATACCAATCAAGAAATAATAAAGAGAATGACATAACCAGAAGGAAAAAAAGAATCCAAACACGAAGTCCAGCATTCCTTTGAATAGCTTGTCGAATCTGTTCATTAGCTTCGCGTACATTTTCAGTAGATCCAACAACTGTTGTCATGAGTCTATCCAGATCTTTGTCTTGATCCAAAACCTTTTCAGTGAAGATCTCTTGAAGCTCGGCTATGTGTACAACTTTACTCTGAATCTGTTTCACCTCCTCTGTCAATGTATTCAATTCGTTGTATAGTTGCTCATTCTCTGATTCAAACATCTGTATATCCTCTGGTGACAATTCCTCTTCGTACATCAAGGTATTGACATCACCATTTATTTCCTGGATTTTCATAGGACTCGATTCATCAGATCCACCGATATTATCCTTACTATCTTCGTTTGAAGAATCATTAATACCAGCTAACAAGGATTTACTTAAAGGTGTCTGTGGCACTTCTAGGGTATGTTTTGGATCTGGCTCGAGTTTAGCCATTTTTCTTGTTTCTACAGCTCGCTTAACACGAATAGCCTTCTGCTCAGAATAAATTTTACATACACTCTTCAAATACTCTTCGATTAACAGAAGAACAATTTCACGATGCTCCATGTTCTGCCGTGAGACTTCAGAACCAGCTATCTCTCTTTTAAGTTCTTTGATAAGTTGCGAACAGATAGTCATGATCTTTTGCGCACCAGCATCAATCTGATCACGATCAGTATCCAGCATGCGTGGTTTGTTAGACAAAAGATCATTAAAATTGAGATAAGCTCTCCGATTCTCCAAAAGGAATTCCCGTAGCTTTGTAATCTGAGTAACTACATCATGAGCCTTTGAAAAAAAGGCAGAGCGTTCCCGCTTTCTATTAGATAAAATCTTGATTTCATTACCAGCACCCAGCTCCTTGTTCCTTAAACGAACAGTCTTCACACTAGCCTTGAAGAAGGCACTTATATCCATTTTAGTAATTTCACTTGCCCAATATATGAAAATCCAGCAGGATCTCTTTTAACCTGTAAGTGACATTCGGATCCACAAATATCAGTAACACATTTGAGTGAAGATCACACTTAATATAAATACTGCATATACTTCAAAGATATAATTCGATAAAGAGCTCTTGCAGTATTCCTAGAAAATCATTTCTAGACGTTAATCTTAATTGTTGACGCCGTTGACAAAGTTGGATAAAATCACAAAAATCCAATCGCCACTTTCCACTACGTGACATCCAGTGACATCATCCAGTTTGCCCGCAGCGACTACAGATAGCTCTGTCCGAAAGGATGCTGTATAAGAGAAACGAGAAAAGTTCGATAAATAAGAAATACTCTGTACCAGCCGTAGGATTATTTGATTGTCGATAACTGAATCTTGATCCACTAGGATGGTCTGTAAGCAGTATTGCCATCTAACAAGTCTACGGATCACAGTCACCATTGGGTCATCCTCTTCGTAAAAAAGAGGTAGGAAGAAGCCCGCAAAGAAATCAAGAAGTTGAATAACTTTGAGTGCAGTTACATACATAGTATTTTCAATTGCTAAAGAAGAATTAAGCCATTTTTGTGTAGAGAGGAGAAAGAGGAAGAAGAGAAAGAAGAAATCGTTACAGGAAGGAAGGAAAGATTACAGCTACGTTTAAAAGCATGGCACAACAAAGAGAAATCCCCCTTGAGTCCCCCTATCCACCCCACGACAGGAACTTACCAATAAAAGCTTGATCCGAAGAAAAGAATCTCGTAAGATAATTTTTACTCTAAGCATTTTCAAATACTTCGTACTCAATATACGATTACTTCAAGTATGATTGTCCTATGAATCAAAGCTAGAAAATGGCCTCATGGTTTGCGTGTATAACCTTATCAGTTATTCGTGTGCAAATTTTATATACTTTCGTATAAATTTATGAAAAGGAATGAAACGGTATTCAGTTGTTGCGAGGGTGGTTTGTTAAATCTGGATCGGCATTTTCACGCGTTCCGAGCAGACTAACGGGCCCCGGATCGTACCGATCCGATCAGCTCAATTAGGTCCGAGAATCTTGCCATTGAATTATACACATCGAAGCATAGTGGGTCCCAACAATCGGCGTCTATCGTAGCGTGGAAAATAGTTGGGCGATTTGAAACTAAGATTGGGAAAGTGGCACGATGACGAGTGTAAGGATTTGTACCAGAGAAATCAAGCAGAGACGTACGTGAGGCCCCGTAATTGGCGCCAAGTCCCAAAGCCATAACTGTCGTTCTTATCATATAGCGCAAAACGGCTACAAAATATTCGCCTAACGTGACGCTAAGGGCTGCCGGTATAAAAAAAACCATTCATAAGGTGTAATAAGTGCGAGAGACCACTTCTCTGGGCCCAGAGGAGTGAGTCGTTACTGGCCACATCCTGATGGGACCGCCAAGAAATTAAGAGTAAATAAGAAGGAGGTTGAGGACCATGCGAAAAGTTGTCCGGACCCAAGAGAGGAACTTCACGAGGATTCGGATTGGACCTGACCACAAGAGAAGGGTCTTGGATAATTCGGGCCATTAAGTAGAGGGGGTTCCCCCACGACACGACTCTCAAGGGACCAATCATTATCGGCTGACACATAAATTTTTGTCGGCCCCCACTTTTTTTTTTCTTCTTGCACGGAGTACTACTGATTGCTCACTAAACTTTTAATTTAACGATCACCACGCTAGTACAAATAATTAACAACCAACTCATCATATTATACAAAGTACTAGTGTACTTTTTTTTCTATATGCCTAATAGTTTCATATTCTATTTTGTTATCAAACAAAGCATCATTATGGTGTATATTCGTTTTATAACAGACCATGTATTTTCAGGTGTTTCCAAGCGGCACAGCATCCAGTCGGCACTTTAAAGTTTCTTATACAAGGTGAAGATTTACCGTCGCTCGCAAGGCCCATTATATTGTTCATTAATGTCTCTACTCCATCGTTTCTTCTTCTCCAGAGAATCCATTAAAACTCTAAGATGCAGTGGCTGCTGGACAATTTATTGTAAAAGTAAAGCGACAGTCTGGTTCTGGTGTGAAACAGAGGCAGTATAATGACAATCTATTAAAACTGAAGAGATAATAACTGGTGAGATAAATCTTTTTTTTTTTTTTTTTTCAAAAATTTAGTTCAGTGAAATTCATCCTAGTTTGGAATGTGAGATAAGATTAATGAGAGTCAGTCAGATAAGATTAACGAGAATCAGGGGGAAGATAAAAATTGAGAAGGAAGTAACTCTAAGGGCTGTTATGTAAAACCGCTTGATCGCGTAGCCAATTAGTTACATTCGCTAGGGGATTAATATAAGAGAGATACGAATCTCACGGCTTTAATATGTTATTTATTATTCTTGCGCGATGCCAGAGCGTCGCGACGATCTTTATGTGAATTTATGAAGCGATTTAACGCTGCCGATTTGTCGCGCCTTTGCAAATTATTTTCAACCGTCTGCATTACGAGACAGGTATAAGTAGGGCCCCAATAAAAGGGCCCCATGGAGTATCGTGTACTGCGTAGTACGGTTGCGATGCTGACTCACTGTATGAAAAATATTTCCATTAATGTCATTAGCACCTATATATATTTTTTTTTCTGGACTTTGTAAGAACTTAGGCGTAGCTGTTAGAAGTTGATGCTGCTTATTGAGGTTTTAGTTATAAATTTTCCTAGCTTAGAAGCGCAAAAGGAATTTTCATATTAGGATTCAAACTCAAGCGTCCTGAGTCAAAGCCAGATATCCTAGTAATTTTTTTTTACCACGTTCATTATAAACCTAGAATATATTATATGTGATTTTAATAGGATTCTAGAAAATTCTTGTAAAACTAATTGCCTGGTATGAATATTGCAATACGCTGTAGCCCTTGGGAGCACTAAACCTTCTTTTTTGTTTTAGAAATGTAAGCATATACAGGGGTTTTTCATATGATTTAATTTTCGTCTGCAGAAGTTTACAGAATGAGGGTTTCTTTATGGTCAAGATTACTTGAAACTGATTATTTACATGCGCAATGGCAACTATTTGCATTATATTTCATCAATTGTAATGTATAAGGTAAGGTTCTTATCGTACCACCAGAAAATTGTTTCGTTCAGTCTAATTTGAGCTGTACTGTTTGTGTACGATAAGGCTGTATTGAACTTTATGAGAGTTTTGTATAGTGAGATACAAATGATTGATTCATTACTATTACTTTGCTTCAAATAATTCTTATTTCACATTACTGGTGTTAATATAAAACTATTACTGTTGATTTGTAAAGTTTTGGAAAAGTTATTTCTATCCAGATTCAGCATGTGAATATTTATATTGTCGATTTTGGATTTGTTTTAGATTTCTTTCTTACTAATATATTTGGTATAATTTAATTTTGCAGGTCAAAACAGTCCTAGAGAAACGTGCAAGCATTGGAATATGAAACCATCTGTATGCAAAGAATATACATAGGATTGTAAAAAATGATGGAGGTGAGAAGAGGAGGATCCAAAAGAGATCTCAAGGAATCAACTTAAAATTCCAATGACGACGCCGAGCGTCCCCACTTCACGACGCCCTTATGTCCCTTTAATCGGATGCCGCGTAATAATCGTTATTACGTTACGCATCGTCGCCGAAATAATTGCTATGCCTTCAGTAAAATTGACGTACGAGCCATTTGCACTCGTCTTCCTTAAGGTCGGTGAGCATTTACTTTTTATCTTGGACTCATTTAACCCGGGATTATTTGAAACGTCATTCCTTTTATACTATAGGTATACGAGTGATATAATATGTAATTTTAGAATATTGTAATCGCCATGGCACATTAATCCTTATGGTTTTATCATTCCAATCTGGGATTTAATTCTCTTATCATACATGTGAACCGTATTGTGAGAGAATGATGAGAAAATACATGAATGGTCGATAGACAGATAATTTTTATAAGGAATAAGAATTTCTAGTGATACCTTGGATTCTCAAAGAAGAGTCAGCTTTAAGAATGCGAATAGTTTAGGTGCATTTCAAATTCCAAGTGAGCACGTTCCCGCGACAGGAAAGTAGACCGATTCAGCATTCTTGCGATTTACAATTCAATCGATTTGAGAAAGTGCATCTCTTGAATAGCGGTTCTTTATTCTTTTTCTTATGATGCATCATGTTCCTGGAAGTAGAGGTGCCGCCGGAAGTACATGAACAAATTTTAATGAAAAATGATTGTGAAAGAGAAGAAGCCTAAGGATTTTTGGACTTTGCACATACTTTAGCTTGGCTGGTAGAAATTGATGAAAATCATTGAGGCTTTAGTTGGCAGTTTTCGTTGCTTAGAAGTGCAAAAAGTAATTCCCGTACCGGGAATCGAACCCGAGCCTCCTGGGTGAAAGCCAGGTATCCTAGCCACTAGACCATACGGGAGATTATGATATGTTCCTTTCTCATTTTCCATTTAAAGCATTAGATCATAAGAGTCATTAATTTCTTTATTATTTGTTTGAATATTTATCTTGAACTTCTATAATGTCAGATATATCAAAGTTTATGAGAGAACAGGACACTAGGATGCGAATATTGATACTCAGACACTTAAAACTGAGAAATATTAATGATTTTAGAATATAACTAATAGTAGACAGCATAACGGTAATTTAGGCATTTTTTATCGAGAGTATTAACATTAAGTGATGATTTATTTTAAGAATTTATCACACAACGGAAGAACAATAATTATATTATTATATTATATTAAGCAGTCTGTAAAGAGGAACTCCAAACCGAAGTTTCAATGTTTCCGTAGTGTAGTGGTTATCACGTGTGCTTCACACGCACAAGGTCCCCGGTTCGATCCCGGGCGGAAACATGTTTTGCATTTTGAAATTACCCTAGTAGAATCCATAAATAAGTATAAATTGTTGTATTTCCTAGTTAATATTATTTTGTTCAATTGTTAAGCAATTTCATGCTTTTCCACTCTTTTAATTCTTATTTTATCCCTGTATGTATTCTGTTTAATGCACTTTGCTTTTATTCATTTAACATTTTATTTACCATTTATTTTTATCCAGTACTAACATTCAAATAACAGTAATACATAAATCGCCACAAGATGTTTTTGGTTTTTTGGTTTTAGAAAGGTGGTTTATTTTCATTCTTATCGATCTACATACTCAAGTAATAATTTGCCTTAGAATAACTTAATCTATAATTATATATTTTTTGGTATGTCATCATTTGTGATACGTCTCGCCAAAATTCCTTTATTATTATTTTAAATTTTTATCACCGTTATAGTCTTTGGTATTTATACTATCTTTTTTATATTTAACCCTTTTAGTGCCGGAGACCGATTTATCGGCTCTTGCTGCACTGGCGAGAAGTGCCAGAGCCGATATATCGGCCCGCGCCTTGTGTCGCTTTACTATTCGCATTGCGGAAGAGCTCTATCTCAAAATAAATTTGTAATACTTTATAAATGATCTAATTTCATTCGAAAGGATTAAAAAAATAGTTCTTCGTCTTAACTTTTTGTGGACGACGACTTTTTCCTTTCGCTTGGAGGTACCGAAATTTAACATAAACACCGATGATCACCGCCCAGGCGACATCCGGTCTGCGGCGTAAACCGCTGCGTGGTTGGGCCCTTATCGTATATACTTCATAATAGTTGCTCCATATAAAATTCTGACGAAAAGATGACTTTTTGTATGTGCAAATACGTTTTGTAAGAGAGAACTCAACTTTTACTTTTTTATTTAACATTTATACCTTTGTTATTTATGTAATTTTAAATGAGTAGAGAAAAACTAGCGTCATTATTTTGTTCTCTATTTCATCCTTAGTATACTGATTTTTTAATCATGTAAATACTGCTTCTCGTTTGGTTTATATGAGCAAATTCCCATACCCTAGTAAAATTGTGAAATTTGGCCGGTTATTCTCGCATATGCACCTGTTTTTCGCCCGGCACTAAGAGGGTTGAACTATGGTAAAAATAAATGTAATAAAAAAAAACCATAGTTACAGTAAACTATGTAATTAGTTAAAATTAAGGGATTGAGCCTGTGAAGGAGGTTTATGAAAAGAAGGATGGGTTCTATAATATAAATCTATATACATATTTACATGTTCTATAAAAAGCCTAAGGCACTTCAGTTAACTTACTTAAATTTATATTAATGTGTTCAGTATTCATCTCTTTACACATGCCGATGTAATTGCCTATCAATTTTTAATCTTGCTCTGTGTCTTAACTCATCCATGTGTTTAGCATCACCATGGAGCCACCAATATTCCTTTGCAAGTCTATCAAAATTATAAATGTCTCTTGTACTCATTGCAGTCAAATATGCCCACTTATCTTGAAACCACAACATGTCAGGATGGCCGAGCGGTCTAAGGCGCCAGACTCAAGGTATAACCTTCTCAGCATATGCTGAGTTATGGGCGTTCTGGTCCTCTCTGAGGGCGTGGGTTCGAATCCCACTTCTGACAAATGTTTTTAAAATTTTATTCTCAAAATGCAAAGTCTTCATACTCTTTTGTATTATAGAAAAAAAAAACTAAAATCATATCAGTGCCTATAAACATACTGACAACTCATAGATCGCAGGTTCAATTCCAGCCGAGGTACAGTTGTATAACAATATATTTTTTTTCTGTTTCAGAAAATACGAAAACCTATTAATCAATACAATGCCATGGTATTGGTCCTAAATGACAGACCTGGATAAGTTTTATGATGCAAAATACATATATGAAGTGTTGAGCAGTGACATGAAAATCACCGACGTGATTAAAGAAGAAACGTAATAAGGCTTCTTCTTGGGTATTGAAAATTATAGTGTCATACGTCGATTCCAATATAATTATTGTTCCTTCGTGCGACGTACGCGATTCGTGAATTGCACCTTTGCACCAGGCCACTCTACATAATGAGTCTTATTAGATACCGAGTGGAAAAGTTATGCTGATTTAACCAGTCCGTCAGTAGAACCCTGAGGCATCCCAATTATTCGGCTGATATTCTGGCGACGTCTTGTCAAATTGACCATTTTTTTTTCTGCCAAGTTTCTTACCCTTTTAAAGGAGACTGATCAGTTTTCGTAAAATGACACAGTGCATTAGCATAGCCACTTCTAGGTGGATTCGTAAATTCTTATTCTTATAAATTAACACGGTCGTAACGAGAGATTTTTTTAAACGGTCCATAATACGGGCGTTTATCTTATATAATCGTAAATATGTTTTAAGTTCCATGACGAATGTTACGTAACGTTTAATAGTTATTCATAGCATTCAGGTTTATCTGTTGCATTTCATTGTTATTCAATTTTACAATATATATTACATAACGTATAATATAGTTATTTATAACTTTCGCATTTTTCAGCGACATACGAAGCAGCGTTAGTATCTCAATCCGGTATGGTCTAGTGGCTAGGATACCTGGCTCTCACCCAGGAGGCTCGGGTTCGATTCCCGGTACCGGAATATTTTTGCCGTTCGCAGAATACAAAAAAAAGATACCCTTAACTGTCAAAAGTATTTTAAAGCGGTTATCGTATTATTACAGCAAGGTTCTTGTAATTCGTCAAGAATTTTGCATACTAAATGATACCGGCAAAGTGAAAAGTATATACTTTTATTGCACTTCCCTATCTGTCCCTCGCAATTTTCGCTAAATTCTCTCACAGCGTATCCTTTACAACCAAGAACAATCTTTAGAAATACTGGTTAGGTGCTTTGTAAATGGCAAAAGATTTTAAGAAAGAAGACTTCTTATAAGTACCACAATTAAAGTGATGAAACTTGAGATAAAAACGTATTATTGAATGCGGAACAAGGTCTGATGTAATTATTTATATATTCTCCGTTCATTTTTTTCTAATCAATTTTTGTAATTTCTTTTTTCATCTTTAATACACGTCACATCTCAGCAATAAAAGAATGCACTTCTCTCTTTACTCTTCCCGTGACACCCCGCTCAGTGTTTATACTGTCTGATTTACATCGCCATTATTTATTATTCAAATTGGCACATCGTCGTCCCCTTATGCGAATTATCCAGAGCCCTGAATTACGCCCGAGAAACGTGACACCTGTCCAAGCAACATTAATGCCCGCCATCATATATTCATATCCCATAGGGATTCCCCTTCTTCACTCCTTCTTGCACCCCTTTCAGCCAAGAGCCAATGGCGCTGCAATCTTCTCAAAGTGTTGCCTAAGTGTATCTACAGCATTGATTGAATCGAAACGATCCATAATAATATGGGATATAGATATAATGCTATATCTACTATACTCTACTTTTTCATTAGTAATATTATACGTCAGAGGTTGTAACGCCTTGTAATGTAGCTGCTTTGTTATCAGTACGTATGAACGCTTTGAGGAACACTGTGCCAAGTGCTCAGTACTTTGAAGAAGTTATTAGAAAGTTATAGGACGCTTAAAGGATTCGAAATTAACTTCTTTTTTCTTCAATTTTTTCATTTATATTGAACTTTTTCTCTAACGGAACAACGTATCTAATTGAGAGTCATTCATTTCTCATTTCAATGGAATCGTTTGCTATTTTAATCGTTGTTTTTTTATGTGTTTCATATCTCTAATGGTATCAATGGGCTTGGTTGTACTAGAATATTCGCTGGTGACGCTTCAACCGACTTATGGGTATTGCTAATAATATAGAATTATTGAATACCAGTGTTGGAAGAAGATGGAGCAGTTATCAAACGGTACTAGAATATAAAATGGAGGTCGAGTGTCTCAAGTAAGTATGACATGCCTTTCTATGGTATACATATTCAGCGTTCTTATATTTTATTTTATTTTTAGATTGGCAGGACTTTGGTATCTGTCATCGGACACTTCTGATTGCGTCAAGGTGATTTACTGGATTTATAATAAAATTGTGTTTGCTGCCATCGCCATTTTTAGTATTGGCCTTCTTACGGATATTATCATTAATTACAAGGATTTAGTGACTTTCACGGACAGTGGTTGTATTTTTGTTGGCATATCGGTTGTAAGTTTCAAAGCTGTCGTTTTCCAGTGTAAGAAGTCAAGGATTGACAGGCTTGTCCATTCGGTCAGACAGTGTGAGTCTTGGACGAGTGATTTGGTTGGTGAGCATATGTCAAAAGAATTAATAATAATTGTATCCTCTTTGCTTGAATTAAGAAAAGAAAAAAAGAAAGCGGTAGATAACATCGTTAAGGGCTCTTCAAGCATCTTGAGAACCTTAAGAGCCTGTAGCAATGATTTTTTCAAGTATATTCATCCGCTACGTCAAGTCATTACTGGTCAACCAACTCCGCTATGGCTTCCCATAATGTAACCTCAGCGCCATTATCGGTTATTAATGCATAATGAATTTTCTTTGTTATTTTTCTTCTTGCTGCCATTTATATGGCGATCTCGGAACGTTTGAAAATCCATAAAGCATCTGTCTTCAATAATTAGTTCCTGTAGGATTAAAGAAATTAATCATTACTGATGCAAAGTGTCATTAAGCTTCCATTACATATACAGTATACACTTTCTAATTGACTTTCTTATGGTTACAGATCCTGCCGCAATGTCGCTGCTGAAGAAATACAAAATTCGAGAAAGGGTGACAATCTTGGGATTCTCATGTTTGGGATGTGTGCTGGTGATAGCTCTGATATTTTTTGTACCAAGAGAAACAGGAGAACTGCCAATACGTTGTCGGTATCCTTTTGACACAACGGTGACACCGATGCACCAGATTGTATTTGGGATACAGAGTTTTGCTGTTGCTGTAGGAATGATCGCCATTATTGGAATGGACAATACCGTCTTCGTTCTTTGTGGTCGTGTGCTGTTTCAGCTGGAAATATTAGCTGCGAATTTTCAAAGTTGTTCGCTGGATATTAACGCCTCTGGTGGAAGATCTGAAACTAATCCTCATAAGGATTTCACCTGTTTCCGGCACACAATAGACTGCGGAGGCTTTTTTGAGAGATACCGGAAGTGCGTCATGCATCATCAATATCTTATTTTATTAGTTGATGAAGTGAATGATGTATTTGGCTCATCCATGTTTTCCCAATTACTGAGCAGCAGCTTGATAATATGCTTGACAGGATTTCAATCATTATTGGTAATGATTGTTTATTATATTTGTTTTTTTTTTTCACTATTCTTATATTGTGTATTGTATTCAACAGGTGGTTGGGCACGGTACGAATTTTTTGAAATTTGCTATTTACCTAGGAGCAGCTTTCAGCCAATTGCTTTATTGGTGTTGCTTAGGAAATGAACTGAGTCATCAAGTAAGCGTATTTTTCGAAATTAATTTTAAAGCAATATGTAATTTTCAAAATCAATTATTATAAACATTCTCAGAGTTCCCTTTTACTGGAATCCCAATGGAAATCAGGCTGGGAAATGCAGCCGGCAAAGAAAGTACTTCATCCAATGGTATTTTCAATGATGAGATCCAATAAGAAGCTTGAGCTGAAAGCTAGCAATTTTTTTATAATGTCCACAGAGACATTCATAACGGTATGAAACGAATGAGGATTTAATAAATGAATATATTTAAAAAATTTATTATTAACCAGTGTATTACGTTTGGTTTTAGATTCTTAGCAAATCCTATTCCATATTTGCTTTATTAAATAACATGATTCAGTAAACTGAATATGATTATTTAAACGGCCCGGATAACTTTCACAATGAAGTCATAATAATATTATAGATCGATATCAAATCACTAGACTGTGTAAGATAATTAACACGTAGATTGATTGTTCAATGCAACCAATCATACACATGTTATCCACAAGTCATTAATTCCGCTCAGAAAACTTTTGTGAATGATCAATGATGAAATAACGATGGGGCTCTATGATTTCAAGAATTTCCTAGAAGCTCAATCATTAAGCGATGAATCGAAGTTCTATGATACTCAGAATTACAGATGGATATGCATACGTGAACGAGGGAAAGAAAAGGAAAAGAATAATCCAAACAGACACGTTGAGGTGACGAGAGAAAAAAGTAAAGAAATTATTAGAAACTGTAAAACGACGCCGACGTCTCAATGGAATTAATTAAAGCGCTTTGAGTCGACGACCCGAAAACTGTAATGCCCGATCCGGTTCCTCAACTTAGTGAATTTTTAATTGGTTCTTCACAAGGAGCAAATCGGCATCTCTGATCGATTCTCGTCTGGTCCTTGAATTGAGAGAAATACAAATTTCATATATACGCAGGATCGATCAACGATCTACGTCACTTGAATCATGCACTCATAAAACAATGATACATTTCATAGCCATCATAATGATTCTTACATTTGGGAGAAGCTTGAAAACTATTAGCAATACAAAAAAAAATATACTATCATGAAGGTAATAAAATATTATGAGTATATTAAATATCTTATGTGATTAACCAGGATATTCAGGGCTGTTTTTTAATGGCTGCACCGGACCGTTGATTTTGCTAATTACTGTACTATCCTGATTTCTCACGTAGGTAGGGTTGGGTCAAATAAATGTACAAGCAGAAAGCACATGGCTGCTGATAAGCTATCTCCCAGTGACTTCAGTCACTCAAGTAGTAAGTGGTAAACTGTAAACAGTAAACTGGCAAGTACCACGGAACCGCAAAATTCTTGTTTCCAGAGAAACCAGAGAATTCCGTAGTAATTCTGATTGCCATGATACTTTCGTGTTTCAGGTATCCAATTTGTTATAAAAATTCTTACACCTTGTACCTAAATCCATGCATACGTCGCCGTACAGTTTAAACGCCCAAGAACCAAATGGAGAGAAAAAATGTGACATCAAGATCGTGTCTCGTAACCCTGCAAGTTTAATCTAAGAATTTATGTGATACTAGACCAAAATTCCGTAACGGTATTTTTGTTTTATAGAACTTGCCTCGACTGTATTACAATATAATGCGTTGTACATAATAAGGCTAAGGTGTAACGAACTGAGAGAACCTGTATAATGGAACCAAGAGTTACTTTACTTTGTTAAGGCAAATGCCTTGAGGTATATGAACATACTAAATAATTATTGACTTTAACATCGATCACCTCAGTACTTGCCAATGCATTATCTTCACAGGTATCTATCTATTATACTAAAATTTCTATTACAGATCTAAGAATCTCATAGTTAATGCAATATACCCGTTTTTCCATAACGTAACTCAGGGTTTATTACCGATCTCACCAAGAATACTTATTCATATTCGCAGACTCATGGGATTCACGGATGATCCTCCTGACTCCGACCAGACGTTATAGTCCAAGAGATATATATCTAATACACCCTATAGATAAATACCATAAGATTCCCATAGAACGTATAACGTCCTTGTTCCTGAGTCTGCCAGTGGACAACAAACAGTCACTTCCTAGACAGATGGTCACTTTACCATATGTTATCTAACTGTAGGCTCACTTCGAATGGCTGTATACCATACGCAAGTATATAAATATATATATGTATATATATATATATATATATATATATATATATATACACGGACACAGAGGTATACAGTAGTCCTTAAGAATATACAATTTTTTCAATGGATTCAACGTCACGAACGATCATCCAAATGCAACTTCGAAAGGATGAGTTCAATCCATAGATATGAATGTCTGGATACTATTTAGATTTGGGTGCTTTGACCTCGAATTTAATGGAATTAAAAATTCCAAGATATTTCTAAAAATTTATATCCAGGACATTCCACGAGCGATACGCACCAACGAGCATGCGTGTAACGTTCCAGTCAAGCCTGCCCAGTCAACTGTTTATAATGTCCAAATGTGCTGGCCAAGTTATCCTGACCTTTAAGGTCAACCAGAATCAAGATTTATAAATTTCAGTGGCTAAAACTCGTCTCCGGTTAGTCTGCAACGACTGTGTCAATGTGCTCATGCTAATAGAGATCTCTTCTGGTAGTTTTTCTCCGCTTACGTATGAGCTTAATGCTATCAGATTCTTAGCTGCTTAGTATACATATTTCTTAGCTCTTTATAACGCCTTCTGCGTTAACTCATGCCCGATATATTATCAGTTTGTAATGGAGTCGTACACTAATGATCCCACGCTGAGAAACATGGCAGCACGATTATAGATTAATTATCAGTCAGAGATTAACTATATCTTGTCTACGGTAAAGTGACTGTCATTAATTTCAAAAACTATTACGTATTAGAGACTTAATATTTGCTTGAGGATTTCACCAAACGTTTAGCAATTAACATGGTACTAATAGTTATTAATTATTATCATTGGTCGATATTAATTATTGAACTCATGAATATTTATGTAATTTGTTTCATGTACCAAAATGCCACTGTGCAAATGGATATAAGAAATCCTAGATAAGGACAGTACGCACTATGAAAAAATATAGCATCTCTTCGCTGTCAGCAGTTTGTAGATGTCGAAGCAAATGCTTATCATATCACAGAGTTGACTTCTTCGCTGACTATATCTACCAACATCAGGTACCAGTCTACGGCACTGAACTAGGAGTATAAGAGAATCTCAGAAAGAGAGAAACTATGGTATAGGTACTGTGCACAGTGTATAATATGTATACAAGGGAAGAGAAAGAGATAGAGAAAAAGTCTGAGTATGAAGAGGAAGCAAAGAATATCAAAGAGTGAGCGAGAGAGAGAAAGAGAAAGAGAGAGTGAGAGGGGATATGAGAGAGCGTAAGAGAGACTTGTCGCGTAGCACGAGTCTCTCGCTGGCAGCCACAAACTACCCGACCACCACGCACAACGGATCAACCACCTTCTAGAGTCATTTTACACGGTTTAGCGTGTTGCCTTTGAGAGCGAGAGGATCGTTATCGTTTTTCCATCTTTATTCTCGCCTTCGTATCGATCCGAGGTTTCTCACGGGGGTTGGACCCATTGTTTATTCAAAATTATCAGTAATAATGAAAAACTGTGACACATATTATGGAACGGAATAGTTATTGTTCAGGCATGAGAAAAATATATATTATTACATTGACGTGGGGAGGATGCTATTATTTTTGAAGAAATTGATATTAAGAAATTTTGGAAAAATTAATATTTTTTGTTAATGCATTCTTTGTGGTTTTTTTTTTTTAATAGTAACTTGTCTGGGAAGCTTATGTGATTTTTGTGTTCAAGTTTTTTGAGAGGGATAATTCGTTCGAATGTAAATTTTAAGAAACTGTAGAATGCCCAGGAAAAAGTCACGGTGGTGGTAGTTGTGCTGGATATTATATTATAAAATTGTAATGCTTCGTTTGAAATTAAATTTGTTTTGGGAATATCGTTGTTTTGAGTAAAGTTTTAAAATTCGAATAACTGATTCTCGAAACTTTGGTTCATAAATGAAAAACGGCTACGTTAAAAGAAAAAGGAAAGACAGCAGCGTCGATAAAGATTATAAAAGTTTATTGCCCGGAATCGGTTCAAATTCTTTACGGTAATAATTACAAGATAATAAGACATGGCTACGTGTTCGATACGGTTGTGTTTAAAAATTAGTGCAAGTGTCAGAAGCTCCTGGAATCTCAATCATCGCTGAACGAGTCATCAATTTCCAAATTTCACCTAACAATTCTCAGGTGAGTTTAATATCATAGCTTTCACCATTATTGACACTTGTGTTTCTTATCGCGCATATAAATGTTTCATCGTGTACTTTGCAAGCCTGTTAAGTTAACGGGTCGGTATTAACGATTAAGGATCCTTCCCAAAAATCTAAGGCTCATAAAACATTTCTAATGGGCGAAACATGTAAAAACTTAAAGAAAATATTATCCCGTTTTATACGTGAAACGTTAATGAGCATGTTTTATGATAGCTCGTATGCTCCGTCCTATATTAGAATTAGTTAGAAAAAAAAAAATTTGAAAATAACGATAACTGTAAATTCGTTAATTTTTACACTTATGATTTCCTGCAATCCCCCACAATTAACAAGCATCGTGTCGTTTTCGTGTCGAAGAGTTAGAAAAAGCAAAAAAAAAAAGAAATTAAAATAATATCCACATATCTATGTCGAAAAGTATATCGTCTAAGATCCGAATATCTAATTACCCTCATTAGTGTAGATATTCTTGTTTCCAAGTAAAATTGGAATTAAAAGACTCCAACTGATATCCCAAAGGATCATGATTCCGGGGTTCCACAATATTAATTTCATTTAAATTGCCAGCTAATCGGCGCACGTCAGCTTAATTAAATCTGTCAAAGGTCAACGAGATTCCAGACATGAATGGCTGGATGGAATCTTCTCGACCAAAGTGGGGGATATCTTTTGATCTTGTTTCTTTATGGACATAAGTGAATATAATCCATAAGGCAGACAGAGATAGATAGATAGATGCAATCATCACAGTCTACACGAACAAATGAAAGATCATTGAGATCAAAATCTTATGAATGAAACACCTGTTGATTTTGTAACTACATAAGCCACGCGCAGTAGCGAGGATCATATTTATCAAGAGCATAAAAGATCAATGGTATAAAAATGAATGATTGAAATTCAGTAGCACCAAGACGAAAGGTCTTCTCAGTGTATCTCAATGCGTCTCAATCTGTTTACTTGGCAAATGCTGGAACGTATGATATCTTCAATATATGTAATATATACATGTATAGAAGTCGTACTTGAAATTGATCGTTATTGCTCTGAAGAAACTGCACCTGTCTGGCCTTGCAAGGTCGCGTACTCCTCCTTGCTAGTTTCTCAAGGTTCCCCACACCCACTCGCTCGCTGACAAGAACTCCCGAGAGTTTATACTCACTCTGGAGAAGATGGGAGCGAGCAAAGCGAGCAAAGCAAGTAAAGTGAGTAAAACTAGTATAGGAACGGCGCCACGCCTCGCTCCAGTTCATCTGATATCTTGCTCATCTCTCCTATGTAAATGGTTAAGCACGTTGCCTGCGTGAAACCCTGAAAATATATATTTCTTATTATTACCACATTTTAACGTGCAAGATATGTACAGCGGGATCACGTTAACTTGTATCGTAGCACAAATTACGCAGCTTCTTCTCCACGTACGAGATACAATATGTACGGATTTATTATGGTTGGTATAAATTTTATTTGATTACCGTATAAAACTGGCTTAAGACTTGGGATTCCTTGATACTTGATTTTCTCCCGTTTTACGTGGCACACGTGGTTGTGTATATAGATATAGCGTCCGTGGTATCACTTGACATATTGTTTCTGACAGTTTCATTGATACTGATTCTTCTTTGTTGAATCTCATCATTCAGCAGCGTCCACGCTCCTCATAAAGAGTCACTATAAGGTAATCATATGTACATGTAAAATTTTAAACATGTGTCCTTGTATGGCACGTGCGATACCGTTGATGCATAATGATATAAATCTGCTGTACAGTATGATTATGTGTACAGAATATATAAACGGAATGAAATACCAGTACCAGGGTTTGTGATCCAGGTAAAGGATGTTAGATTAATCTCGAGTATTGCGTGAGAAAGCATATTTGACTATCAGTATAATTAATTCATACAAGCGAAATTAGGAATGCTGAGATCCATGGAGAAGTTTTGAGATTTTTTTTTTTTTTTTTTTTTTTTTTTTTTTTTTTTTTTTTTTTTTTTTTTTTTTTTTTTTTTTTTTTTTTTTTTTTTTTTTTTTTTTTTTTTTTTTTTTTTTTTTTTTTTTTTTTTTTTTTAAAGAAATGATAGAAAATTATACAATTGCGAGAGAAAAAAAATAAAAGTGACGTTTCATTCCTGGTACTCTTCCTCGCATGCTACATGTTCAGCCTCTTATTAGCGTATGAAGACATAAAAGTTTTATAATCGAATAAATCATTCTTGTATTAAGATTCAGCAGCTCCTCAATTTTTATTATACTTTCCTCAACGATTAAATGACAAATTTGTATTTGACATGGCTTCATTCGCGCGACCAAACAGGCGTCGTGAAAGATGGTACCAGTAACGTTTTCCAATTCAAGAATTAGCGACTTTCTGCAACTCGGTAGCAGCCAAGGTGAATGCCGCACGATAATATTGGACAGTGATGCTAGACGGTATTGCGTTACGAGCTGTATATTAATGTACACGCGTGAATCTCTGCTATATACTGGGAATTGATAGTACATCTATATGAATTATATAGTATTGTATGTGCATATGCTGCATATTTGTAGTGCCTGTATTGTATACTGCATGCACACAATAATAGTCAGATGCAAGAAAACCTGTATGTATAGTACAGTGGAAGCCAATGCATCATGGAAAGTATAATACAAATCATGAAATCTAGTAGCTGTTATGTATAGAAATTATTTATTATGCTCATTGTACTGTTAATGTTTTTTACCTTTTTCCTGCATCTTTTGCGATTAATTTTTCTTATCAATAACACGTGATCGACTCGCTACCATAAATGGGCCATAAATCAGCGTATGGAAAAAAGCCGTCAGTTACCTGGATATTAGGAATGATTGATCCCTTTTTGTACACCTAGGAAGACAATAGATAATGACTTTTATTGAATTTAACTTTTTTTTTATGCTTATGAAACCTATTACAATCAGTACTTACGTGATAATCTGTTTTTTGAGGATCGTTGGATTGCTTGAAAGATCATATTGTCAGCTACACTCAATTATTTATATCTGGTATATTTACATTTATAACCTGAAATTAGTGTGAACTTATTTACGATGGAGTTAGTCTGACGAGAGTATGCTTTACGACACGTTAAAGTCGTCATGATAATGAGTTCGAATAGGTGATAATTATGGGAATTCTTAAACTAGTTTTGATTGCTGATGATACGTTAAACTGTTGGTGTTAAATTAAAAAAAAATACTCTCAGCTGGGCGCGAACGTCTGACATATTTTTATGGATCGGTATCATAGAGCATACCCACTGGCCCAGATAACACATATAACCAAGTTTCACCTAACAGAATACGGTGAAGTTAATTACTCTTAATTATACGGAGCCCATTGGGAGGGAGTAGATTCTATTGTAATACTCAGCTGCCATCAGCAACCAGAGTAGCACTCGTAGCTGAGAATAAAGTTTATCATTAACTTCTCATGGTGTTACCCACGGATTACTTTTTGCGAAGCCTCGATAGAGGTGGCGAGCGAAACTACTATACCAGTCAGTTAGCAATGAATGGATACATAAATAAATCATTGAAGGTATAAAACGATAGTTACGTGAAGTGTCCGTGACTGTATAAATTATAAAAGTTTTTCCAATACATAATTTGAAAAATAGTAGACGAATGAAATAAGATGTAGACTGCGCATGCGCGTTCCCTCTAATGCAAATGGCGTTCGAAGAAGACAAGCTGCACCCGCTACCCATCGAATCCAATTCATCCATCCGTTAAGTACTGTTTGCATATTTATCGAACCTGACCCATCTTCGACTCGCTATTAAACCCAGTTTAAAATACCACCTCGTGGACAAATCCTTCGATTAAACAATTCCATCCAGAGTCACGAATGTTTCTTTTTGGTTGAACCGTGATGGAAGTCAATCTTTGACGTGGCAGTTTCTTAACCTGATCCACGAATTGTGTATTATGACCCCTTGAGGCGCATCCGGAACGGAGCTTTATAATTAAGGAATATTAAAGTTAAGGTGAATTGCGATATAATTTTCATGGCTCTCCATATTCACCTGTGTTTTAAGCTATCGTCAATCACAGTCTGAGATCTTTATTATTCTTACAGTTTTCTTCACCCTCTCAATTTCTTTGCCTTACTTAACGCAACAGCCCCAATTTACCACGGAACGAACTTGACTCGAGATAAAGCGGGTCTTCGCTCTTGTTTATTTTTTTATATTTTTAATATTTCATCCGATCGCCGCGTGCAATACCGCGTAACGAGGTAAGATAACCGCGCCGGCTCGCTGGCTCGCAGTTCACATGTGTTTTCTTGTCGAGTCGTGTTTCTTGATGCGACGACTGCATTTCTTAAATCGTTTAGAATATTAACGTGATCACTGAGGTTTTACGCCACCTGCATTATATCCGGACACGACTACACCTTATACCTATTACCACGTGTTTCTATACCCTGTCGTTATGAAACGATGAAGCTTCCTCGTATACCGGAATGCACAACGGTGCAACCACCAGGTACGTAGGTACTCGTTTACGTATATAGCTAACTACCTAGCTACATAGATACCTAGCTTTCTATACTTATTTAACCAGTCGCGCTTACATGCCTGCCATATGGAGCCTTAAGCCGCGCTCACAACCATCCCTTTGTAATTTTTGGCACGGAACCTATACGGTACCTTCATCCAGGAAGTTCTGCAGAATTTACAGTACCAGTGTCTTCTACCGGCCAGGAACCAGTAATACAAGATGCTGAGAATATTCGAAATTACTTCTTGGCTACAGGTACGATAACGTAGTGGTATAAGTCCGTCCGACAGCATTATATGATTATTTTTACTTAATTTCAGCGTCAATCAACTACGCAGATATGGAAGACATTTTTGTTCTATCTTAAGGGTATGTCTTTTTTTTATATTACAATGCTTGTCTAATATTTTACACAGTCTCACCTTCCCTAAATTCGTTATTAGGTATAAGTACGAATTCTGTACTTCTGACCAGCTCACGCGTTACGTGGCCTTCGTCTTGCTAAAACGAAGAGTGAAGATATTCTAGGGAAAAGGATAAAAAGTTTGAAGTGAAAAAAAATAATATGCATGTACCAGCAGTTGATTAATGGAGCTGGAATGATAGACAAGCATTGCCCATATGTTAGCAGTGGCTACGTCACGCGTGTGCGAGCTTTGGTTACGCATTGCTGGCTTTCGGAACTCCGTTTTTATTATTCTCAAGTGAGTAAGTAATTGTGACTTCTCGAACGTTACAGACGCACCGGACTCTTCTCGGGAAGCCCAGCGTCTTTTAACGATAGTATCATATATTGAATGTCTTTGGTTCATCCATCATGGTAGCTACGTCCGTATTAGCATAACGGTACATTGTCAAATATATATGAATATATATACATTACATAGTCAAATATACATGAGTGTATCTAATTCTCGATTGCAGCAGATCAGTTAAAACAAGGGTCTGGCGAAGAGTTTAAAGAAATTTTATTATCTAGTATATCGTTTATAAATGCAATCTACATATACAATAATAATAAATAATAATTTTACACATTCGCCATTAAAAATATAAACCAATATGCACCATGCGGCGCGGATATGATGTATGAACATTCAAAGTCGTGCGAGTCGAATTAAAATGATGTGAGCGAATTTATAAAATCAAAGAGTAATAATAATAAGGGTAATAATGTATTTGTTTTTAGGTATACCTGTCTTTAACGGCAAAGATAAGCTGGGCGTGCATGTCCAACGGCAATAATCATAATAGTTTGTCATCCCAAGTTCTATGGGAAACACGTGGAGCTTGAAATTCCTTGCTGGTCGACACGGTTCGATGGCGCGAGAATTTTCGTCGTTTCGACATGAATAATCGTGGATGGACGACACGCAAGCAAAAGGACATTATGATAAGGCGTCAATGCAGATTAACGCCATGCCTGAACTCCAGAACGATCAACATTAGAAATAAAGGCTGGTCAGGAATCTACATACGTCATATATGAACATATACATATATCCCATATGAACATAGGAATGAGTCGTATCCACGTTATTTATGAACTTATATATCTTACAAATATGAGAAAGATTATTGCATTTGCAGCAAATTGAAAATTTCATCATAATCTTTAGAAATAGTTATTTTGACTTTATCGACGCCTTGGCTTGTCAATTAAATTACTTGCCGGCATTATGTTTTAAAATCTGATAACTATCAGTTATCTCGAAATTATTATTTTTCTTTAAATCGGCTAATCCTGTTTACTGATTTTATAAAGTATGTAGGATTTCGTATTAATTCCACTTCTTACTTTCTTTTTCTTCTTTATAAATTCTACGCCTCGCGCACGGGTCTTGTACCAGTTTAAAACTCGTGACAAAATCTCATTCCGAGAGAACTCCATATTTCTTCGAAATGTCAGGTTTTACTTTACCTCGTATTTCAACAGAACGAATAGACGAGCGCCTAGCGTTCAAGAATAATTAAAAAACAACCTGAAGATGTATTTTTTTAAAACAAGGTAAATCTCTCATTGGTAACGCAAGAGGTCGAAGATACCCATAGTAAATTAGGCGCAGATAATAAAGTATGAAAGAAATTCAAAGCAAAGACTCGGTAGAGACGTCGAAATCATTATAGGTATTTCTCAGAAATTTCCAGCCTTAGCAATATATAAGATATTGGTTCCACATTACGTATTTTATTAAAGGTACGACTCACATTAGATTAGTACGCGTTAATGCCCGCCATTTAAAATGGAAGTTCATTTGAAGCATCTATATATGGTTACTGCGCATGCGCGAACGAGTCGTGTATCTGAACTACGTAGCACAACCATTGTACTTACATTATTAGTGGTCAATAATACTTGAGATACCAAGAAATACCATAACATTCTTCAAACCTACATACATACATCATCGTACTCAATTCTTGCCACTTACAGGATATTATAATTCCCATTGTAAAAGAGCTTTGCACTCTCGTATTCTAATGGCGTCTGTTACAGAACGCCATATGGGACTCTAGGCTATAGTGAGATGGAAAAAGTGAGGAACACGAACAATTATTGTTATTAGTCTGTTTTCTTCTTCACTCTTCTTTCTCTTTTCTTCCCTTACGATTTTTTTTTGCTTGTTATCTGCCCAAAGTGTAGGGATGGTACCAACTAAGAACCGATGATTATTGTCGTTGGATGCCTAATGGACCCCGTTAACTCATTCTGTGTTATTATTATTGACATTATTATCATTATTATTGTGGTTGGGTATCATCATCAATGGCTTCCAATGAAATTTTTGCCTTCGGGCTGCGCAATTTTTTCTTCTTTTCTTTTTTTTCTCATTACTGTACCTATATGGTATCTTTGATCTACTATTTATGTACATATACTGCGTAGTAATGATGACACCATTTTTTCGTGCTTTAAGGAGAGGGGTGATGGCCCAGTAGCGATGGAGGGAAATAAGCGTGTTTGATTTGTATTGAAAAGATTTCTTGTGGCTTTAATAACGGATACGATGATTTTCTTCTTGAGCATATATATATATATATATATATATATATATATATATATATATAGTTAGAATGGGTGTTGGTATGAATCCATACTTATTCAGTCTTCAAAAGGATTGTTTTTCTTATTTTTTTTTTTAATTTCTTGTAGGAGAAACGAATAGTGGAATTTCATTATTACCGGGGAAGCGGAAAGCCAGTATACTAATTAATCGTCTCGTTAACGAGATCAGAGGGCGAAAAGTATTTAGTAATGATGGCGATAGTTCTTGGTCATCATTGGATGACGTTTATGTATCCGCTAGGTAAATATTTAATTTTAGATTATTTAATTTTTCGTATTGGTAAATTTTTCTATTTTGTTTTTATGCTGACAATAGTTGATTTACGGCCATTTGGCAATTATGATGGACAAATTTTTATGACGTCTTGACAGGTGCGTTAGGCCGATGGACAACTGTTGACAGGCACCTAAGTAACACTATCGATGCATGTCCAATATACTGGCAAGTTTAATTGGACAGGATAATTATAGGGCCAGGCATACAAAAAGTCATAAAGATCATCGTCAATCAGTTACTGATACAAGACAGTTGGTAGCTGCTTCTTACCGAAGAGTCCATGGCGATTATTTAAAAAAAAAATGAAATTAAAAATTCCTGGACTTCCTCGGCAAAGCAAAATTTTCTTACTACTTTCATATGAATTCTCAATGACGCTTTACGGTAAACTTAATAAGACCATACATGCTTACTGTAGGCGCACGCGTATGATAATGGTCCGATGCTCCCAGGAAGGAATTAAAAAAAGCCGCAGGAAGCGTCATGCCCACGTGGTTAACGTATAAATATTAATTAATTCGCTATTATTATAGCTCGCGGGATTAACACGGCCCGATGAGTTTTCATGGTGGATGGTAAATTACCGGGGTTAGAATTCTCATTTAGCTTTGTCATGGACTTATGGCGTTGAAAGAAAAAAAAAATATATATATATTCTCAGGGGATTTCATTTTTCTTTTTCTATATTGTCAAATCTCGTTAATATCCCTATACCGGCAAATACGTGCTCTGTGAGTTCTAGGGTCCCTAGAACGCGAGGGACATTGCTTCCTGGAAACAAAGTGGTAAAATGCGCTGGACGAAACTTCCGGGATTATGTTCCTGGAGATGGATGACCTGAAAGGAATACAAGTGAAGCTAACTGAGAAATGCATTGAACTAAGAGACTGCAGAATTGGTACCGCTAATCTTTCCATAACTCAAATTTTTTTTAAACTTGACACGACATAACCTAAGAGTCCCAAAGAAACGTCACGTATTACAGCATCGGTTTTCATTTATTTATACCAGTCAACGTCAATAATCATCCTAGTCTAAGTCTGCTGCGAACCACGTGAAAGACAATCTTTTGCAGACTGACTAGGGTGACATTCAATTTAACTTACTGTCAATAGCTCATACGTATAATAAATCTGCGACATCACTGCGATTAATAATTCACCATTTTTCTCTGCTCGATCAATCAGTATTTCAATAACAGCGAATCGATAAATTATTGACTCCAGACACGCCGACCTGTCATTTTAATATGTACAATAAAAATGTCCTATGCTTCGTAGATCCGTTCGTCGACGAGATTCGGTGGGTTCATTAGGCTTGCTATGACGGCCATTTTTCACGGATATCAGGTGTACCAACCTACTTCAGGCAGCCTGTAATTTTCGGCTGTACACTTGTAGGCGTGGTAGCAGTAACGAGCGTACGATCGAGATATTAATTTTTTCTTCAGCATCTTTATGTATCCTGAGCGGGATGAGAGTGACATTAAAAAAAGGAGGTTACCGGTAATTTTAAAAAATTTCTAAGACTTACATGGCAAACATGCCACTACTGTTCGCTTATGTACTCATCATTTATTCTGCATTGGTTGTACGTTGATGATTCTCCACTTAATATCTACTGACGATTCTCCTTCTTGTTCGCTCCGCTATATAAAGTCGATGACCGAATGATTACGCAAGAGTCTGACGAGTCCTTGCGAAAACTCATGACAAGCTTTGTACAAGCAGTCATCCTTACGATGATTTGTATACCCGCCATTATTCTGGTATTTCCTTATATTACTTTTTCTTTTCTTTCTTCGCTATTCGTATCTCGTTTATATACTTGTTTCCGAACTGTTCCACTTAATGTCGTATACAAATTATCATGATCATCATTATTATCGTGGACCTCCATTTTGATTCATAAAAAATATACTTCTTCAGTCTTCCTTGCTGCCATCAAATCTGCATGGATCTTTACTTCTCATCACTCGACTTACTTATGCGAGTGCGAAGATTCGAAAGTTTAATGACCACGTAGAAGGGAAAATAAAGAAGAAGTCAGGCGTGCCAACTATTTTTAAGATTTTCCGAGTCAACTCCATTGCTAGTCGAGGTTCCGTTTCGACTCTTTTTTTTTATCACAATTTGTAACTCGATTCTCACTATTGTTAACTTGTGCACTCGTGCCCAAAGATGGAGTAGCGATTGTCATTAAAATTTCTTCGTGATGACTTCTTACAGGAACTTTCGATAAGTTGGTATTACGTTGCTATGAAAATTGCAGAGGTTAGATATTCACGTGGAACGATGGTCAAGCCAATCGTTAAGGTCTATTTCCATTGCGTCAATTCGATTTAGGATCAAAATGCAAAATATACGATTGGATAATCTGGCAGTTAAAATGAGTTTGAATATTAGACTGTAATTTAAGAATTAATTGCGAGTAGTAAGAAAAACGAGGAAAAAAGATAATGATGTGCCTAATACTCCTAGTAATTTTTTGAGCATACAAAGTGTTTAGCACGATAATAAATGTTAGGTATATAGTTTTTTTTGTCACGAAATCTATGATTTTTAGAAACCATTTGTAAATGGGTATCATGGGATTTAGGAGCCATTAGTAGACCTATAAGAATATCTTATTTGTTGATTCAACGTCTAGCCGACCATCAATTAAAGGTGTGAACACACAATGCAAGCAGTGCCTAATTTTTTATTTTTACTTTGTGGTAAAATTCATTTGATGTTTCAAGCTTCCTTTACTTCCTGAACGTCACGATGGGGGTTTCGTAATATTTTTTTTTCACAATCAAAAATACGTATGACTCTCACCCCGTTAGTTATAACGCCTATATATTATCACTGAATTAGCAATTAGCGGCCAGCTGACTTTACTGCTAGTCACGTTGCCCATAAGTTCTCTGCTGAGTCGTCCGTGTCTTACCAAGGTGAAACACCATAAAACATATGAAGATTTTTTGATAGCAGCCACTTGAACACCTTAGAAACAGTGATTCTATAATAATAGAATTAATATTCCAATACCTATCTATATTTGTGCTAGAATATATGTATACCCAGTTATTAAGCCAAATTGCACCATCCGAACGGCGTTTTGCCATATGAATAAAATGGATAAGCACGCAATCTTTAGGTGGTGCGTTTTGTCTGAGTAACCCGGTATATGATAGTATAGGATGTTTCATAAGCAGTTGGTCACTCAAGACTTTTGACAAGAGCAATTTTATATGGAAACAATAGTATAGTGACTGAAACAATTGATAGCCTCCAGTATCCAGTACCTTTAATAGTAAGACAATGCATTCCTCTTTGTGTTACCGTAAGGTTACAAATTTATTCTTGGACAAAGGTGATAGAAAATTGTATCTTGTACAGGGACTTTGGTTTAACATTTGACCCCTGCGCAGAAACTTATTACAGTATACAGAGTGATTCACTTCAGATAGCATTTTCAATGGCCACATTCATTGCCAATACTTTCCATTGCACTGTTCTTGTGGCAGCTTTATTTATCTTATTGTCTATCATTAATAGTTTGTTGGCATCTTTTTCTGTTTGCAGTCTATAATCTAGAAATTAGCATAGGAATCACAGTTGGACCCGACAAAGAGAAGATTACTTGGTGGGTGTAGCGAATCAAGAAATAAAAAAGAAAAAGGAAAATTTATACCAGCACCAAGAGAACCAGGAATAGATAGTTCCAATACAGTTCCTGATTCAATAAATCAGTAGACAATATATAAACATGGTACATTATAAAACCAGTACGCATGAGTCTTTGACAATTCTTGCAAGGACCTTAAGGTGCTTATCGATAGTGATCTTCCTATTAGTGCTATCCATGGTTGTAAGTAAAGGTCGATTCACAATTGGATAATTAATCAGTTCTATATAAGCATACATGAATTTAAATGAAAGAAAAAAAAAAGGTTAATCACACACCTGAACGCTTACCTTTAATTATTCTTAATATGGTGGATCGAAGTTGCGCTTTCTATTATCGCGTGGCCATCTTACCAAGATTACCTTCTTGTCTGTACTCCTTATTTAGCTCATATTATTTTCCCTCTCGCAATTCCCTGCAAGAAACTATGAGAATTTAACAGCCTCTTTTATTCAACGTCGATCTGTTCGTTATAACGGAGATACTCGTTTACCACTGTGTCACAGCCATTACTCTCGGATCCTACTACTCTCCTTATGGAAATGCGTCTTTTGATTCACATTCCATACGTCACTTCCTCCAGTCTTCGATTCGTATCCTCTTAGCCTTCTGTGCCATTGAACCATAACACTGCATGGAATTCTATCTAAAGAGTACATACCGATCTTGGAATTCGTTTTCTCTTGAATCCTTGTGCATACTGGAAAAATGCCTCATTTCCCATTTACACATACATATAATAATTACGTTGCTAAGAAGGTCACTAGAAAGTGCGAAAAATCCCTAAACGATACCGGCGAAAATTGAGCTTGAAACAAATGTTAAATGTAACCTCAGAATATGCGTACCCATCGTGACGTAACGTATAACGGTTTGCTTAACGTATATTATTGTATCCAACTACTCGAAGCGCCTTCTTTTTCAGGAAATAATAAAGACAGAGAAATGGTAAGGAGGGACAAAAACCGAGTCAAGCATGACGGAAATCTCAAACAGGTAGGACGTGTCGAGTGTCTCGCTATTGGACGTGGAGCACGAGCCGAGAAGTTGATGGGAATAAAAAATGAAAGAAAAAAAAAAGAGCGAACGAGTTCCTTCTGTATGGTACCTTCACCATATACGGTTGACTATGTATACAATCTGCCACATACGTAGTCAGCTATATAGTAAATAAGTACATACATGATATACACTGTACGCACTAGAAATATCTATACCGCTGTCCACGTGCAGGAAAGATAACAAACAAACACTTGCCGTCATGTTTAACTTGCGAGCCCACTCGAATCGTAAAAATGTTTACGGGGGTCTCAGTTCTGTTTAAACGGCTCCTGATTTATTATCCGTGTGTTTCCGATGGACTGGCACAGCCATTTTCTCTCGGCAGTCTCCGATAAAAGTCTTGAGCAATCCTAATATGTGAAATATCGCTTAAACGCGTGTTAAGTCATAAGACAAACTTCAGCTGGCGTGTAAAATCTGTGAATTTTGACGATGTTACAGTAAAATATTATTTTTTCATTTTTCTAGAGAGAAATTTTTAAAATTATCTACAACACGATTTACGATCGCTTATCAAATATTCATTGGTACAGAAGTCGATGGAGATATACAACGTAACTGTGAGCAATGATAAGAATCCGTTAAAACAAAATAATTGACCATCTATGGAATATCTAGTATTTGTAATTTTATACCTTTCAGGTAAACTCGAAGCATGCCGATCCCTATTGGTCATTCAATGTAAATTAGCAGTGCGGAATCCTGAATAAATAGCAGCTGAGCTATCTGAACGTTATATCAGTGTTTCACGATGGATTCCCCATAAGAATCGATGGGAATAGGTAAACTGAATTTTCTTGTTTACATGAAACGAACGCTCCTTTACAAATGACAACGATCAAACGTCAATCCGGTTTTCAAACGGATATCTATGTACAGGTACTGTTCAATATTATTGAGTTTATTTAGCAACGTCAAATGCTGATATATGATAATTATTTATTGACAGCTTTTAAATAGTATCTCAACGTAAATTTTTTATACACATAAATATAATATCTGTATATACATATTAAGAACGTTTTTCTGGTACTACCGCCCATTAATATCAATGCATTATGGATGAACCTTTATTGCCGAGCGTCGTCACTCTCTTTCACCGACAGGAATTTCTTTCCTCGCAATCATTCGTCTCACTGCACTGACTTATCGGCTCACAATCACATATACAACCATTGAAAATTGGCTCGATGGCATTTCGGATCAGTTGGGCCTAATTGGGCCTCTCTTGATTGGCTTTCGAATCGCCATTACCGTTTACTCACTCGACTCTGCTAGTTTCTTGTTGCGAACGCGAATCGGCTATTAAAATCCAATTAAATTAAACACCATCGACTGCTTATTGATACTTATGTATTTTCATGGACAGTCCCTTATGGCGAATCCACAATCTTACTACGTTGTTAATTTCGTCACTTGTCATTCGCAGAAGGAGCATCGATTACTCCCAATACCATCTTTGACAGACTGAGAATGGCCTTCAGGTGCAGTCCGGTTATATTATTTTCTGCCCTTGACATCTTTATGGGATCACGGAATGTTAACAGTTCGTCAATTACACAGTTTCCATGTAGCTATTGATAAAAACCTGTCAAAATCGAATTGTACGTATATACATATAGAATTTATATATAAATATGTTATCGATTAGCTGGGTACAGACATATATACAGTCTCATAGACTATTTAAAAAATTTCTAAATTCCATAGGAGCAGCAGCAATCATCAAAGTGAATCCCTGTACCTGCAGGATGCTGGACTGTATCATAAATAATCCAACGTCCCGTTTAATTAAGAGGGGTCGTTTAATATTGAGATATATATATATATTAAAAATGGTCCGTGACAGTGAAAAGTAGAAAAGAGATAGAAAGGGAAGATTAACCATCAAAACAGTTATGGGATTCTGTGTATCGGATAAAAATTTTTCATACCTCACAGAGATGGCCCATTCGTGTAATTTACTAGATTCCCATAATTTGCCTAATTTTCTTTTTCTCTCATAGTCCCAATCAAGTGGAATCATCCGTTAGAAATCTTACTAAATGAATTACTGTACCCGGAGATTTCCTGTATTTTAAATCAAGAACTAAGCAGATTTATTAGATGCTGAAATCTTTTGGTTATTACCGTGAAATTCCATTGAGATTAGTTCAGCAGTATTCTGGAAGATCTCTGAGATTTATGTTATACTGATCTAAGCTATTTCTAGTATCATATATGATGTCCAGTACCATGTGAACTCAACGGTACTGTATTGTATCAGGTAGCCTAATGCTCAGTACAGGGGAGTATATCCCATAACAAATTGTACCTGCTTTAATTTTATCGGACTCAGTGATTTAATAATGTCATTCGTTACGACACGAAAGCCGCCATTAACATTAGTTTTATATGTAGTATTATACTGTACCATATAATAGCCATACTGGACAGTAGTCAATACGATAGACTCTATTTAACTAAATAGAGTCGCTACTATGAGGACCGCTTTATTATATGTATGCTTACAGATTGTACATATATTTATGGTCCACAATTTATGTACCTAAGTGTATTAAATGCAACGTCTCCGTATGTGACAGTTGCATTTGACATTATGTGTAAATATTTGTATCTCTTACAGATTTTTTCTTACTATCGTTATATGCTGGATGATCTTGATATTTTTTTATGTACAGCTACAGCTAACCGGTACAGTTGAATTTGTGTCATGTACCAAACGGTATTTTGATATTTTCATGTAAAAATGATGAAAATGAAAATTTGTCAGGATTCTTATGAAGCTAACGTGACAGGGGTTGTCCTCTGCTTTAATAGAATCTATGGGTTACTCGGGTGACTTTTTTACGGAGCTTTTTTACAAGGGATCATTACGTGTCTCTTAGGTGCAGTCACTGTACACAATGTATCAGCAGAGCGATGGAGTTCTTATAGACTCTTAAGACACTACAAGAGTAAGTCCCTTGGGACTGATGGAATCTTACGATACACAAGTGACTTCTTTACCGTGCTTGTTTGGTCTATTCTAATAAGGCCTCTGACATTTGTGCGTTTACGTGCTGTAAAAGTGACTTCTTTGCTATCGGTAAGGCCCCAGATGTTCTGACAGCGAAATTATCGTCGTTAGCAATTACGCGCGGTTTGTTGCGTGGGGCCCAGGGATACCACAGGTCTCATTACCCGCGACAAGGGTCCACAACATGCCAAGAAAAGATGCCGACATGCGACCCGAGCTGCCCTGCCAATTACGAACACTCGGTCCAAATAAATTATAACGAATGCTGGGCCTTGCCGGTGGGTCCCAATTGAAATTTTACCGACGATTAAATCCCATCTCCACCTACCAACACGCCGCCATATTATTACACTCATACGAGAGACTTTATGGCTCTTCGTCACAGTCGGTTTGTACACTCGAATATGTAAATCGATTCTATCTGCCTCTTAAAATCAGTTGAGGCCACCGATAAACTGTTCTCCTCATTCTTTCTCTTTACAGTAGTGTCCCGCTTAGATTATTCTCGATAACTCGGCGCTTCCCCTTCTGCGCTTTACTGCTGTCGTCCTGGTCAGTCACCCCACTCTTCTGCGCTTTGGCTTCTCTATACATAACCTGACACGACTAACGTAGTAGCCAGCAGAAGCCAAGCAATACGAATATATTTATATTTTCTATTTAAAGCATACCTGTCAATTCGACAATGACAGTCTCACGTAACAGGGGTACCCCGTAAGTCAGCACTTGGGAATATTTATGTCCCCTAGGCTCTCGTAGTCGTGCGCTTAACGTGAGGCTACTGTATTTTTAATTCCTGACTTCTGCAGTCAAACTATGCCTTTCATGCATTAGATGCAGGTACAAAGAGATACCTGATGTACAAGTGCATAAGGCAGTCTTTTAAGACAGTTACAGATAATTCAATTACTTCCTACAATCTTTTTGACAGGTTCACTATTTCATTGTAACATCCGAAGAGCGAAATCCTTTTTTTCACTATTAAATTATCCCACGTGCCGCAACCGTGAAGAATGGCTAACGACCAACCGATCACGTACTTTACAATAAAATCGTTCAATATCACACAAGATTGCTCTGCGTGTCCAAGTGTCGCTTTATCTTGGCACGTCCCATCTCATCTTGACTCGTTTCTCTCTTGAGTCATTATGAAAAAGAGGTGAAAACATGTTTGCCTCGGTTACACAGTTCCGCTACTACCCGCAGTATAGAAACGGCGGCAGACAGGCAACAGCAGCAGCAGCAGCAGCTGTCCTGTAGAAGAAGAAAGAGAAGGGAGGTAAATAAAAGTTATAACAGCCTCTCTTTATCCTTATCTTACCTTCAACTCGAACGTCTTATTGGCGAGAGGTAAAGCAACTGCTTGTGTATACCAAAGGGGAAAGAGAAAGATACATACAGAATCTTACTGTTCCCTTGATGCGGACAAATATTGACCGTTACCGACTCGAAGGTGTCATTTGTCGTAACAGCCGTCATTCCGTCATCCAGTCGTCCTGCCATACGGGACAGTACTGACAACTCTCCGGTCGTAAAACACAGCCAGAACGTTATTACTCTTGACAAGGTACATTTTACATTTTTAATACTGCAACCTCGCGTGGACTTATGGTATATCCGAAATAATTATTTTTATCCTCTATCTCAGGTACTTGTGCAAGTCCGATTGTTGCAGACCTGTAAAAAATATTTTTTTAAGGAAATTAAATCAGGCTGATATTCCTATTGAGATAATTCTAACGAGACTCTGCACCAGATGGATTCCATTGGGTCAGTAATATCTTTCTTCTGTATAATTCAAGGATTTAAAAAGAAAGTAATTCAAGACTCAAAGATTTAAAAATTTTATACGTACAGTAAGTTTTGTAAATTATTACATTGCAGATATTCCAAGTTTGGTATCGTGGTACGGTATTAGGGACATTAATCATCCTGGCAGTGGGAGTACGTAACTTAGCAGTTCCCTGGTTACTGATAAAAAGAACGTAATCGATTATAAATGGAAAAATTGTAAGAATCAGCAGTGTCGTGTAGGATCGTTGAACTGTAAAAGACACGAAGTCATGGAGATGTACGGCGTGGATATACCTGTAGGATGTATATAGCAGGGAACTAACGTTAATTTACTTACATGGGGATTAATGAAACCATTTGGTCATGGTTCGCAGGTACTGTAAAAGATTCCCTGGTATATCCACAAGCATTACTTGCACGTATAGTTATATTACAGTGAGCACCGCCTGTGGAGTAAAATTTATAATAAGAAATTTTCATGGCTCTCAAACGTCAATATAAATGTAATAGAGCATAGCAATTTCCTCTTCCTACCTTGAAAATATGTAATACGATCACTTAATGTCACTTTGACAAGGGACGATCGTGTGAAAGCAGCTTCTTCTATACTGGTCCATATTAAAATTGGCAGATAATGCTGTACGTTATATTCGCTGTAATTCATTTATTTAATTCCTCGATGCTTTCTGTCCTTTAGAATCCAATGTCGATGAACCGTAAGTCATCTGAATTCTATACCTTTAATGGATCCAGGAACCAACCACTGTTATTATCCAGCTGAGTCTCTTGATTCGTCCGAGTTCCCATGACGATGAATATATGATTCCTTTAATTCATATGTATACATATGTTCGGACGTAGAAGATATAAATATATCCATTGTCCGTCTATGATTAGATATATATTGTCCTTTACCACAGTAACGTTAGGATCGTTCGCCGTGTATTCACGAAAATGATCAGTTCTAGGAAAAGAGTTAATTTCAAAGGTAATTTTAATAATTGAACAAGTTTACCAGTGATTATTAACGACCGGCTGCGAAATCATTGTCAAAACTAATCGAATTCATTGGATATATTAATCCTATTAATTATGGGCTCGTGTCCCGCGGCCATTATTGTATTCTTGTAGCCTTATGCATAGCTGGCATTGCACGTATGAATAATATCACACGCACAGAATCTGACGTGGCTGTACGAGTGCGTGACAAATGACGCAAGTACCGGGAGTCTGGTATCGAAATATTAAACACACATAAATTAGCTGTTGCAGGTGTAGTATCGTTTTGTTATACCTTTTTTTTCGTTAACCCTTTTAGGGGGCCGCCATGAAAATTGCAGGTCGGCCATTTTGAATATGTATGACGCGTAGTATACGTGGATTGATGTATTATCGAGATATATGTGTACATATGTATTTATATATACACATAAGTACATGACGCGTATATTTTACCACACAAAGCTCCTCTTGAACCATAAACCATTGATTGAGAACACTTTCTGTGCGGCCATTTTGTCTGTTCGTATTAAAAGAAAGTTCGGCCTGTAAAGAGATAAAAAGTTGTGTATTCGTCTCATGACTGGTTTATGTACTGCTTGTAATGATCTGTTTACCTTGTGCAGGCGGCTAGAATCTCATTAAATGAACAGTTGCAAAAATTCACGGAATGTATATTCAACTCTGGAATTTTCTCAAGTCTTTATTAACATTTCAGTACACAGTGACTGTGAACTTCGATGCTTTTTTGAAGTATCCCGGGTAAATAGAGAAGGGAGACAGTGCGCATGCGCGCGTGCTTTATCTGCTCCGAGAAGAAGCCGCGCCTCCTTTAGCTATTGAACAGTGAATTCTAACGATATGTAATGTAACGTATTAGGTACCTTTGAGCACGTGTGGTACATGTAGGATGTGAGTATATAGCACGGGAATGACTATGTAAATGAGAGAAGCGAATTATTTAACGGTCGTAGCGGCGAATCGTTCGAGCGAATCGGTGGCAATAACCTCGATGACGTTGTTCGCACTTATAGATCAGTGATGATTAACAATAACGATCAATGAGGATTACTTGCATCATCATCATATTCTGTGAGTTCATATCATGCTACGCATGTGCTACTAATCGTCAGTAGCAATAATAGATAGACTCATTGGAATTCAAGTAGAGGTTAGAACTGCTGCACGCTGAATCGTGGCATTGGCAAACGCCTATGCTCAGGCTAGAGCAGCGAAATGATATTTCTTTTTCACTTCTGTTTTTCTTATCAGACAGAAAACTTGAAATCATAACCTTGTAATCGAGTTAGCGACTTGAGCTTTCTGCCCATCGTCCATCGTTACCTACGGGCTATCACTGAATGACAGTAATTTCCTCGTGGCCACCAGTGCACTGGGATACGAGTACCATGGCTTCTATTCTGTGAGAAATCTTGATATATCAATACTTCTCACTGTACTCATCATTTCTGACCGGTTCGTTGTGCATTCTTATATTTTCTTTCTCTTTATGGTTTACGAACACGCACGCCTTTACTCCAGAGGGCTTTGAAAAAGAGCGGAACTGATCACGTCTGCAATTCAGATGCATTTTACGCATGTTTCTTTTGACCCTTTTTTTTATCTCATATTTATTTTTCCCCTCTTTTTCTTAACCGTATATGTAATACTGCTTGTACTTTTTCTTTATTTTCCTTCTCTTCTTTCATCCATCCTTCTTACTTGTCCCTATACTCATTTTTTTCTCTTAATCTCCTTGCTTCTTACTCTCCTCAGGTTTATCTTCTTCTTCCTTCATCTTATGGACCATGGACCCCCGTGATATTACCGACAATATGTCGCAAGATCCTCTCTCTTCGGCGCTAATGATGCACTCGCCCCGACATCTTTATTATGCATTCCTTCTCTGGATTTGAGATTGCGCATTGGATATGAATCTTCAGAGCATATTATGACTTGATATTGCGTCAGGTTTTTAATTTATTTCTGTTGTCATGTGTATATGATCTTTTTATTTTCGTTTAATATCTAATGGACACTTTTCGCTGTGGCAATTTAAAGAAAATTCTTTTTAATTATCTTCCAGTCGCCTTCTTCTCTATACCTCGTGGCAAAGAACGAAGCGAAGCTGTAAACCCTTTGGCGTCCACGAAAATGTTTATGGGGTTGAACAGCTTTATGGTTAACCATGAAACGACGTGTGCTCGTAAAATTCGCGCATCAGAAAAATCCGGCTTCGCTTCGCTAATAAGTAATGGCGACGTGAACAAGTACAGGTGGTATACACCTTTGGTATAAGGTATACTGTAGAAAAATAACGAAAGAGAAAGAGAGAGTATTATTATTAAGAGAATTAATTTCTTTTTTCTTTTCTTCTCAAATATGGGCAGAGGAAAAGGGTTACGAGAATTTTGCGTATTAAATTATTGTAATAGAGATTGCGCGACATATACTCGTTATTATCGTTCGAGTCACGACTATTTCTTGAATATTATTAGGATGAGATTGAGCTGATTAACTATTAAATAATTCTTTTTTGGAATCACCACAGTGCAATCGTGACTAACAGCCTATTCATCTATACAATCAATTTTTAATCACATTAGCCAATACCTTGGGACGTCGTTTATGAAATGAGAATCTCTGCGCGAGTCGGTATAACTTTCATAACATCCAATTAAAATATTTTACATGTTAGAGCTCCCTAATGACACCTATAGCATGTCCATTGAAAAGTGAGACTTCTCATCAGTAAATTAATCTCGATATAGTATTCGGCTTTGGTAGTACTGTTAATGATTATAAAATGTGGCTATACAGAAAGCATGTAGAATAGTAAGAAGGAGGGCGTGATGAGAAAAAAGATAAAATACAGACGTAGTAAGAGTCGCCTATAAAGAACGATTAGAAGTCAAAATCATGAAGATATACGTGAAAGTATGTAGAATAGTGCGGAGAGCGAGACGAGAAAAAAATAAAGAAGATAAAATATAGAAATAGGAAGAGTCGCTTATAAAGAGGGATTAAAAGTCAAAATCATGAATATATATGCTATTCATTCGACTTAATAAAACTCATTGATTACACCGGTCATTGAATGATACCGTCAACAGATAAGAAGTTCATCATGAATCAGTCACTTTCTCGTCAAACCGTATCTCCATTAAATTTAATTAATCAGCCAGTTCAAATACTTGTAATGGAAGAGATAGACCTACAGCGAGAGAAGATAGAGGTAAACAGTATTTCTGATACCAGAACTCATGATCTGCCAATATAAATAAGAAATATCACCATTCTAACATAAATATTACATTATTGTTCCAGACTAACCTAAAGTTGAAAACTAATAAGATCCTAGAAGAATGGCAAGCAGCTTACTCTGAAAAGTGGCAGGAGTTGATTGTTTTTCGTGACCATAAGGATGAAACTTCAGAATATAATTAAAGCTACGTCCAAATAAGAAAGAGAGAAAGAGAACGGAGCAGAGTGAGATAGATAATTAAAAAAGAATCTATCGACAGAGAAGATCTGGACCAATCATTTTGAGATTCAATCTTTCTAATGAATGTATGCTTCTTGTTGAGTCATTGTCATTAGACATACATTACATATGTCCTACTTGTCAAGTACTAATCAAAGGCTCATTAGTGATCATTAGGAGGTCAGTCATTATGTCATCACTTCGACAATTGAATCTTCTAATATCATCATGTCATTATAATCTCTGTACGAGAAGAGAAGTGAGATTTGATTTGATCATACCGACAGATAAATCACATACAGATACTTAATGACCTGTATCACAAGTGGTAATGATCTTCGTTTCTCTTGAGGATGAAAGGAAGACGAAAAAATCGAAGTCATGAAATAATATTAAAGATTACACAAAAAAAAGTGTCGTTAACAATGATGATTTATATTGGCATAAAATTCATGGGATGCTGGATGTACCGACTGACTGTGGAACAGATGGTCATGCGAACTTGCTGACTACAGATTATTATTGTCGAGTGTCATTGTGCTTTACGGGCAATGGCGTCGCTAACAACCACTATAAAATGTATAAATATACAAAGCAGATGTTGGAGATACGGATACGAGAAATTACTTGTCGCCTCGACGCACGGCGTCGTTCAAAAAGAGAAGGAAGCGTGCGGCACGCGTTTTGATAAAAAAAAACAGTCTAAGAAGTGAACAGAAGAGAAAAAAAAAATTATGAAAATAATATAGTACCGCAATTCTCGAGAATATTCGTCATACACAAATTTCTTATATACCCGTCGAGCAAACAGTTTTTTTTCAATGTATACAACTATTCACATAAGTCCCTATGTATTTCGAAAATGTCAGTTCAGCGTCATGTGGCGAACACGAGTCTCTGGAATTTTTGACGCGTCCACAATCTCACGATCAAATAATATTTTTCATACACGAATACGATTCCATCGTAGCATCGTACTTTTTCGTAAAATACTATCATTTATTTATATAGTTTTATTATGCGTATTAAAAGCTTGGCGCTGTCCAAGACTTGGATTGATTTATGGCTCTGGACTATCATGGAAACTGTATCTGACGTGTACCAAGCTGATTTAATTGTCAGTTATCGCCAGTGATTTCCATGAATCCGATGTGGAATTTCGTGGTACTCCCGTGGATAGGGCAGGAGAATTTGCGCGGTATTTAAAGCGCGATTTACACGTCTGGTTTAAAGGCCGGTTTTTATTGCGGTAAATGCCAAGTCAGGATTTAATACGGTATTTCTTGTCGCCCGTCTTGTCTCCTTCTAATTTTTCTGCCTGTATATTTCTTCCTCTTTCTCTACAACAACCATCCTTTTTTTCAGTACGTCTCACCCCGAGCAGCCTTCGCACAGCCATATCCATACAGCCAAGCTACGTCGATTCGATCCAATCGAAATTGTCCGGCCTATACGTGGAATTCGCCTGCTATACCATTTCTATACATGTACCCCGTTGCTTAAAGCGCGTGGAGAATCTCACGTAATAAAGCCCTGCATAGGGTATACAGGGTATATAAACGCTGGCTGGTTGCGTCGGGTACGGGAAGAGGAACAAAAAAATAAAGATGGAGAAATGCGACATTGGAGTGTCAGCCTTCTTTTAACGGGCGATCAAACGGAGCTTAAGGTATTTTGACGAGGGCCTTAACGATCCCGCAGATATTCCGACAAGGAATATCGACAAGACCCAATTGCATAAGAATGTCCTCTTATACCTCAGGATGAAATTGGGGACTCATCTTGTGCAAGTAACAATGGAATTCACACGACTTCCTTGTTAAGAGGTCTTTAGAATTTTTTCTTTCCAATCAAATGTCGATTTAGGCTTTTTTAGTTACTACCCCTGTGCCCGTCTCGCTCCCACTCACGCGAAACCCCAATAAGCTCATCTCTCTCGCACTTATTGTCCACTACACCATTTATCATTTTGCAGAATACAATATGACGAAGTGCAAAGTACAAAGTCACATGGACGTATGTCTGCGCTATACGTATCCTGGTACCATTACCACTTATTGGAGGACAGTTATGTTCTGTAGGATATTAATGGAAAAGGAAAACCACATGGACCGCAGGTACCGCAAAAGGATTTACGGAATCTCCTTCTTAAAGGTGGTTCAGGTAGCCGTCTGCAATCCTAGGGGCTTAAAATGATCATGCTGATCTTGATTTTACGAGGCAACCAGGAGTCTGGTGCAGTCTGAGATGCATTGAATGCAACTGGTATATCTAAGGGTGTGGCTCGATGCTGTGGAAAGAAGATGTTAGCCAGTAGAGCATAGAGGAAGAAAATCATTTGGAAAAGAAGAAGGAAGCTTAAGAAACCCAGTTCTGAAGCTGTCTTATAAATAATTATTATCCTGGACCATTCGTTAGCCTTATTTAATCGGCCATTGGCAGCTGTAACTTTCCAGCTTTATATACACTGTCCTATCCAAATATTCTCAGTGAATCTTTTTCATTGGTATTTTCGCGCTTTAAATATTTCATTTTCATTGTCATTTTTATGTCTCTTATATAGGGACTGGTTCATTGATATAAGATTGTGGATAATTGATACTCAGTGTTAAACTAGTCTAATGCCACGGATTTCAGAATTGATATCTTTATTAGGAAAAAATGGCTATCTGGTAGTTGTATCTTGTAAGTCCTATAAAATCTATTCTAAACGTATATCTATATTGCCATATCTGTACAGAGCCGTTCAACTTGTACGTAACAGGTGGCTTTGACAGCTGTCAAACGATTACTTTACGGTATTTCATGATACTTCAGTGGCAAACATTAAATAAGGAATTCGATAGTGACATTGAAGATTTTTATAAAACTTTAATGGTATATACATATATATAATACTTGGCAATTTTATGGCTAAATCAAATTTCATAAAGACTGTCAATTCTTATTGGCACGTCTGAGGTGGATGGACCTGTACATACGCATAGCTATATAAATTTGTATTTACATAGTCTAAGCCGAATGATATGCACATACGAAATAGCCTGTCCATTAAAATGTTAATCTATAGGGGTTTACTTTCATCTGCTTCTTCGTCGATTGATCTATACCAGATAAAGACAGCCGAATCAATTAATCACGTGTATCATTAAGGCTAAAGACAATGTACTCATTATGCCAATTGAAGTGAAGAGACTTTCTCAATGTCAGAGAATCTTTCCTACATTCCATCACGGAATATGTAAGTAATGAGCAGAGAATCGGTAGCCCATTCGAATAACCGGCAATGAAATTAATACAGAGATGATTTATCGGTAGCTGCATGGCAATGAAGCTTAAGCCGAGATCCCAACGATCGTTCAATGAATAACAGCCATTATGGATAATATAAATGATATATCATTGTGGCTAAAGAATATATTCGACTACCTGTTAAAGCTTTGGTGAACTGTACTCCTAATGGGGAATTTTCCTTTTTTTTTTTTCAGAATGCCGTGGAGAAGATGCATCTGATTTTGTTGATAGTCGCGCTCAGCCTCTTGCGATTTCTGCCAGCCTCACTCGGTCAAGATTTCCTGGTAACCAGACACGGAGATGGCGACATCTTTACTATTAATGGTAAACAAGAGTTTTTATCTATTTGCCACTTGTTATATTGGGTATAAATATACCGGCGAGTTTCTATGAACTACTGATTACTTCTGGCATTTCGAAATGCTATTAAACTCGAATCTATGGAATTGCGTATGATCATATTGTTGTTGAGATTCTTATAAGGGACTTTCCTTAAGGCTGGTTTTTACTCAGGACTTAATCCCTGTAAATTCTCACCGTGGATTGCGAGTGTCGTCTGGCCGATACGTGCTCCAATGAAAACAGCCATAAAGTATCCCATCCTATTGCGCAAATTGTTCGTTTCCTCGTGCCGCGATGGCTCATTGTCGCATTTTTATAACGGATCCACCTCACAGTAATAGACGCTCGGGCGATTAGTTGGTTGAAAACCGGATTTTACAGCAGGTGGAATATTAAAGGCGTAATCATACGAAGTAGCTCCATACGTATAATACCTATAAATATGTAAATATAATACCAGTGGACACGGTCTCCAGGCTTTATCGTCGCTTTACATTTTTCTGATTTCAACGATAATCGCACTTGTGTATACGCGGCTTGTCCTTTGTTGGATCCTATAATCGTTAGATTTACGAGGAGTAATTTTTCATTTTTATAACCAATAGCTCACGCGCGCAAACCATGCGATCCTACCATTACGACTTATCATTTATTTTCACTTCTATTTCCCATCCTTCTCTCAGCTGTTTACCTCGTAATCATAAATTCGTTCAGTATTAATAGATTCGTAACGGTTTCATTTAGTTAAAAAAGTTGGATTTGACAGGTCGTTATGCTTCATAAATTTTGATGATTTATCGTTATCACTGCAGGGAGTCCGTCGGTATCAAACAAATTCTAATGATGCTTAGATATTTTTTATCTCATCAATAAATAACATCAGTGGAATTTTTCATTCGAGGTACGTCCTCCGGAAGTGATCTCAGTTAATTACATCTGCTCTCTCAGGCTTCATTTGCTTTTTGCACTATGGATATGATGACCCAGCGTGCAATGATTATAACTTCTGTCCCTTGTGCTCACGGATGCAGATGCATCTCTATATGAGCCGCAGTTACACTCGAGATTCGAAAGGGCTGTACAGCATCTTCCATAAATGATGTTATTAAACTTAAATCATGCCAGGATAAATGCAGGCGAATTCGGCGCCGACAGGATAATCGTTTCCAGTAAAGGACGAGCTTGAATTTTGTGGCAAGGAGAATAATGTACGGATGATGAGTACGTGGTACCTGGGAGGATGCCTTGCAGAACGCATTATAATTCTTTGAGTAATTTCTGAAAATTCGTACGATTCGTACAATAGAGATGCATTCATTTTTTTTTACTGTTTATTATATTATTAACTTGTTTTTTTTTTATTTTTATCAGGTTCCTGCACAGAAGCTTGTACGATACTGAGTAGCGGAACAGCCAGCCCTTATCCTAAGTCCACTGGGAATTTTGGTCAGTTATCAATATCCAATAGTTCCTGTATGTGCCAGTGCAATAAGGCGCTTCCGGTATTTCGTGAGGATCTTCACATATGCGTGGACGACATTAACGGTGAGCTATATATTATCTGTTAAGTATTTATCGGTACATTAATGGCCGTGTTTATTTAATTAAAATTAATAAGAAAACTATTATATTTATTCACTTGCACATCCTGGCGACCAGTGCAATCTCCCTGGGATTTAATGGGCCTCCCACGTGGTCGAGAAGTCACTACGAGATTGTTCATCTTTGGAATCTGGATGATCTTCATCTACCTGAGATCTCTGGTACAGTTTCCTCTCAGAAGGGTCTGTCCACTCTCCCTTGGTAGTCTGTCATTTTTATATGTATCTCTGTTACTCATTCACGTAGACAGACAGAGAAATTTTAAACTGGTTTAAGAAAAAGAAAAGAATTTTTTGGGAAAATTTATTTTATTTGCTTTCTCTCTTCTCGTGCGCCATTTTTCACTCTGTGTATATATTGATTGTCTCTCCTTGTCTCTCTCACAGAATTTACACTAACCAAGGAGTATCGAGTGAAACACCCAAGATTTCAGGACCCATTCGAGGAAGTGTGCAATTAACATAAGGGCCCACTGTTGTAACTGCCAACCAGGCCACCATATTTAAGGCAATCCTTATTTATAAGACGATTTGGAGCCCTATCAAAGATCCATTCTCGCTTTACGATAATGGCAATTCCACTTGGTTGTAAATCCCACAATTGCAGTAGGACCCCAACTTCATTATTATTATTTATCATTATCAGGGAGTACACAAATGTCAATTTCGTTTGGGCCCTAAGCTTTTAAGTAGTGGCAAATACAGTCAACATGGCAGATATATACTTCAGAGGAGCCAACTACGTCGGCCCTTTGGACCCTATAATTATTACACTTTCTCAAGTCCACCGTGGACATCCTATGCTTAAGGATACGTGGTACGTTTTCCGTAAATTTACTTATAAAATTATTTTTTCCAATTACATTCCGTATATTCATTTCCATTTCGATATCGATTATCGATCGAGAAATCGGACATTGCGCATGCGCACCAAAGCAGTCACGACCTAACCGCTTTTTCTTCGTCCCACTTCTTGTCAAGTCTCTTATTCTCGCACAAAAGACACGAAGCCTCTATGAAATTCCAAGAATGACAAAGCTATCGATCCGTAATCTACTAGATTCTTGTCAAGAATTCACACTGCCAATTGACAATTGCCAATTGTAACTTCTATCAGGTATAATCGATATCGATCAGCGTCGTCGGGTAACGCAGCCATTCTTGGTATTCATTTTACGTTTACGATCCCATCGGTTCTACCGATTTCTTTCCCTCCTTTCTGCTTTTTAACGGAACAACGGGACCTTCCGCATTCTTTTCACTCTCGCCATTTTCATTCCGTCTGTCTCTCTCTTTCTCTACATATACAGTCAACTCCTCGAGGAATCTACACTTTTCCCTCGTCATTCCTTACTCGCATTCATCTAGGACACAATTCTTAATATCTTTCTACGTGCAGGAATAGTTACTCGCCCTGCGCCACGTTTCGACACAGAAATACCGTTTTCAATCGAACCGCGTCATCGCAAATGGCTACCCGGACTCTGCATTAGCGAGAATTATTGCTGCTCCGTGCGGGATCAGTCGTACACGTGTCTAAAGCTCCGTTCATAATCCACACACATTTCCTAGTTGAAAATCCATCAGTGTGCGTATGATCATTGATCATATTTTTTTTCTTTTTTAAGTAACGAGGGGCTTATTATTTTTATGCTGATTTGTCTTTCTTTTTTTTTTTCTAATTATTCTTTTGCAAGAACGTTAAGTATCGGTTCGTTAACGATGTCTCTGCAACGGTGTAGCTGGGACATTACGTATTTATTGGAAGTGTCTAAATAAGAGGCTTGAAAAACCATTCATTATTTTGCAAAACCAGTTTTTTTCATTCTCGGTACTGTCATTAATATTTATTTGCATATATCGAGGCCGAATCGACCATCTCCCCCTCTGACCTGTCTCGAGGCTGTAAATTGTACTGATGATGTTACAGAAAGAACTGCTAAGAGGTCGGGGAGGAAAAACATACCGTTTAGGGTCAAAAACCCGATTTTCGAGATATTCGTGTAAAGCAGTACAGTGTGGTTTTTAAAACTTAATTTTTATGTGAAAAAATTGGTACGACTGCGTAAGTCTTATTTTGCTTTTAACACTTTGTTTATCTTATTTTCCATTCACACGCGTCTCTCGTTTAAAGCTCACGTTATACTGATCAGGAAACGATAAATTTGATGTGTGTGCACCTTTATGCGAAATTCGAGAGGTACGGTTAATTGGATGACTGTTGTAAGTCGCAATTTGATATTGGCAATCGTTAACGAACTTCCATGGAGTGTCTCGGGACTTATGGAATTTTGGGGTTACGGAGAGGGGGATTATGGAAGCAAAAAGAGAAAAGAAAAAAAACAAGTTTGAGTATAAAAAAGACGGTAATGACAAAAATTGCCGGAGATAAGAAAGAAAGAAAAAAGGTGCGCGGCCCAATTTCTTCGGGTTCGATAAAACGTGTGGAATCTTCGTACGATAATCATCCAATTAATATATTACGTATACATACACAGCAAGCGAATATAACGACGCTACGGTTTTCTTTGACTTTTATTTTCTCTTCCCATCCAATTAAGCTAACTAATTCCAGCCACTTCGATCGTGTCACTGGTATTTACAGGGAGTGAAACAGCTTACAAACGCATTATTTATTTGTGCATAAACTATGCGTATCTGTGTAGCAGTAAGCGCGCCGCTTACAAATAAGTATGCTGAGCCAGCCAATGAGTGATCGAGGGCGTGGCTGAGAAAGTAGAAAGGTGAATGAGTAAGGTCCCAATGAGGTTGACCCCACCAGACCCTATTGACTTTCAGACAAGGTCCCATAAGGTCCTAACCTGCCACGGGCCCCATCGATCTTTACCTTTTATTCGCCTTTCATCTCCATTCTCAGCCACCGAAACTCCTCATCTACGTGTCTAACAAGCTAATTATATCCTACTTAACATCATCAATGACTGCTGATGAGTATTATTTCTCTTTCTGACACGCCACTTCCCATTCATTCATGTTTCATACATAATCCCATTGAGGTTCAGGATGATCGTGGAACATACTATATCTCTTTCTCTTCCAATGTCAAACTTGAAGCGTTCTGGGATCCTCCTGATCTTGGGTCCAGTTATAAACAAGCTAGTGCATACATTCTTACGTGCTTCTGAATGCGCCCATCTTGTACGGTTTGACATTTAAAATCAATTTGGCGAATCACCATCGTTACAGTAGAAAATCATCATTTTCGCGGATTCCTCAATTTTAGGCTCTGAACATCCGTGCGTAATTTCTGTATCCTCCTGCAGGATAAGTCCAGCATCAGATAATGCGTGTATACACCATGACGGTTTTATCTGCTGTACTCGTCCCTACTGATTGTTGACTATATTGTATCCGCAGTACAGTAAGGTAATCGGTACCATCGATGTCATCAGGGGTCATCAGAAAAGCGGATCGTTTGATAATGCGAAACCATTAGGTTCACCAATAGGGTAATTCCTGTGGAATCCTCAGATTATATCCGGGATCAATAAAACGATGGAGCATACTTATATATGCATATATGGCTATAGCCATTCAATAAAAATGATCCACGTCGATTGCATCTCTTATTCGAACCATTAGAGAGTCTCTAGTATCCCCGTGGCAGTCAGCATATTTCTGTATTTTAACGTATCGTGGACCATAATTTCACAGTTGTACAAGCTTCCTCTTCTTCTCGTCCTATCACGTAATTACTCGGCTCTTTACGATCCGGGAATGTCTCAATTTTCAATCTTCACAGAATTCACTTTGTCTCTAATATTTATACCCCATAAACTACCCACGGGGTTTTATACACAGTGCCAGCCAGCCCTGCCGATGCCGTACACGTGCCGTTCAGCATGTATATCCTATACAGGGTGGTTGATAATTTCGCATCTCTCCATGAGCATTGTGGGTGGCAGTGACGTAACGTTGTTAGTATTTTACAGGATCGTAAAATAAATATTATACATACTCCAAGTACGTAATATGGCTGTGGTAGGAAAGAAGGATAATTATTAATTCATACATAGTATGGTAGCCACGAATAACATGCAGGAAAACGTACAGTCTCACGAGGAAGCTCAGATGAAAATGTCCAGGTAACAATTACTGTGCGCATACGAATCCTGTGGCGTCGCAGTAGGAGTCTGGATAAACAAGGTGTGCCTTGGTGATGGTAAAGAATCTGTAAATAAATGTATATCTGATTAATAATCTCTTAGCTAAACGGCCTATCGATATTATTGATATACGTGGTAAAAGTATGAAAATATCCTATGGTGGCGCGCGTCCACCACGCTATCCTTTTATTCATGTTATTTTATCGTCTCCTTACTCCGTCTGGATCGCGTGTGCGTCCAGAGAGAAATTATGAATGGTTAACACGTATGCGATGAAATTGGCCTCACGGTGAATTTCGTATATATGATTGATGCGCGTATAATCGGGCTGGGCAAAAGTGCAACGCCCGAATAAATGAACTGATTAAACAGTTTTCGGGTTGAATATGAATTTACTAAGATAAAGTAATACGCGGATTACTTCGGTTAATGCGGTCTTATCTCTTTTTAAAATTATTTGCCAGGTACTGTATGCGTATGCGGGCACTGTATTTATTGCATGGATTGCCTTATATATCTTGTGTAAATTTTTATTTTCCCTTCTCAAATCGGGATGATTTATCTTTAACGGTACCATCCTCACCGCGAGGGCCATTTCTCTGGTTAAATTATATCCAAATGATTTCGGACACGCGATATTCCTTAATCGACGACTCACTCCTTGGATTATCCTGTAGCTTTTTATTTCTTGCCGTGAATCGTATGTCTCGGCGGTTCTTGAGATTGGACGGTCCTCACTGACAACTTTTTAATTGAAGGAATTTGTATCTTTCAATTGGATAGATGTGTTCTTACTGTCAGGATACGTGGCCCTGCCAGGTCCTCGAGGTCGTTCAGTTTCAGGTCACGTTTTACCTGTTCCCTTTAATCGGTATTCCCTCTGTCGCCGTCCACCTCCACCAGTGGGTTCCGTTCTCCATGCATCTATGCATTCCGTGTACCTGTTGCTACTACGTCGATGCCGCCAAGTCGGTTCCCCTGCTAGTCCTCCCCTCCATCAAAGTTCACGGATCCTCCGTGGAAGGTCACACCGGGATTCCGCATCGCGGTTCGAGCACGTTCTTACCCCTTTCTAAGGTACCTTGGATCCTTTTATGTACTTCCACTTTCGTATACGCCATTAGATTTCTGTTTCTCGATTCATCGTTGGCTACCCTGCCTCCAGTGTACGCTCCAGTAATGATCCAATCATAGTCTTACCCTTCTGGCTTCTCGTACACCTCTGTAACAGCGTATACTCCATTATTCCATGCTCCCTCATCTATAATATACCCCGTGCATAATTCAACCTTTGGCGAACACCTACCGGGGTTCAATAGCATACTCACTCATTGCTAGGTTATGAGAAGATATCCCCACGTAGGATACGAGCTGGGTATCAGGCCAGAAATAACTGAAGAAATTTTCATGGGAATATTGTGAACTCTCTAAAGTCATCTTCAGGGTAACTTGGTACAGTGGAGCTGGTTACACTGACTAGGAAGAGTGACTGTGTCTGTATCTTGTGCAAAAGGTTCCTGTTGACCTCGAGGTCAATCCTGAGGCTGGTGAGGGAAGCTGCCGGGCAAGTGTCTCCTTGTGCAACTTTTAAATAGGTTCATTCCTCTATCGCTGATAAATAACGACTCGGCCATGCGTAGAGAGACTTGCAAACGTGATTTTCTCGTGTTGTAGTACCGCAAACGTCCGCCAGGTCATATCAAGGTGCTATTAAAGCATTGCGGTAAAGTTGCCTGTGCCATTAATGATATCAGACACTGTCACCTTGGCGATAACGTGGGATGGTAATTTTCAATTCCTTCCAAATGTCCTGGAGAAATATTAAAGAAAGTTTCTCGTGCAAACAATCTTCATGCTGTCTGGAATAATTCTTTAATAAACGTCACGAGTAATGACTGTTTCAACGTTCATTTATCGCCGGTAATAATTATTGTGTGCTGACTTTATGGTCACTATTAAATTATAGATGGGTATATTGACGTATTAATAATACTGTGGGAGATCCAGTGGTAACATTTTAACAACTGTCACATTAACAGGTGGATGGACCAATGATAATTGCGACTTCTGCAAGGCGGGAACCGTGAATGCCCCGGGACGTTGTTTTCCTAGGTCCATATGTGTGAACAGTATCTCCCTCGCGTGGATCTTCTTCTGTAGTATATATATACGGTGACACTCTCCACCATTAGAAAGGTTACGAGGTCACGGCAAGAACCAACAAATAAAAAATGGACGCCATTCACATTAATCACCGGCGCTATCCGATCTTCTTCAACGTTGATTCGCAATGCTGATTTCAGGTTTCTGTGAGAAAATAATTCTGCTATTTATGCCTGGGTGTATTTAGGTATAGTCATACCAGTTGTATCTGTTTACTCGTTTAATAGAAATAGGATGTAAATTATCATTATTACATATTCACTGGGTATTATGTATTGGTACTTACTCATAAATTCTTTTGACAGTCATTTATTGCCATTTGATAATTTGGAATATTGGCTCTCATTCACAAATCAATTATTTGTCAATTATAAATATCTCAGTGGCAAGATTCTTTTTATTTATTCTTTGTGCCACATTTTTATCCTGTCTTTGGCATGCTGAATATGTAAATCTTATTCTTTTTCTTTATCCTTCTGTGGCTGCTGCCCCTTATACAGAGATTAAGTACCAGGTCAATATATAATAGTATGTTATGACCAGTAGAAATTCTCTTAATGACTCTGACGTTATTGTTTGTCTCTTCTTTCTCCAAGAGGGTTTACACTTTAGCTCCTGCTGAAGATGTTGACAATGTGGCTTAAAGCTGTAATAAAGAAAGCGACGAGAACGAGGGAATGCATTTGAATGGATTTCCATGGTTAATGTGCCTCGAAGGTTAGGATCTTATTAACTGTATTATTTAATCTCCTCAAGAACGTCACTTAACCCTGACCTTAAGGAAACTCATCTACTCATTTGCTTTTCTTTACTGTTCTTCAACGCAGTCTATTATACATTACAAAATTATTCCAACAAAGATATATCCCTTTCGTGTACACAAAATCACAGAGCATTTCCATGTCAAATCCATATGCCATCGAGTCAATTAAATTCTTTAACAATATTATTTATGCAGACAATTATAAGTTACAAGAATGATTTTTCTTACCATAACCTACATATGCATATATAATGTGATTATATCAGAATGACAATCCTTTTCCAGGAAGAACATCAGGCATCATATTCTTTAATGGCTGTGCTTTTTGCTTATTTGTGAGAAATAGGTACTGATTACTCACAAGGCCCTGGGCCTGTAGAGTTAGCATTAATAGACCATTCCTAGAGTATCCTTATTGCAGATTCTTCAATCTAATAATACCTGAAATCACAAAAATCCTTATTTTCTTACTTATAATGATTTGACCATTTCCATAATACTGATTATATATTCAGTGACCTAACTCCTATTCGCAGTGTATGAATATTATTAGAAATATTATTCCTAGTTTATAACTTATTACCACAGAATGTAATGATTGCATTGCCACATATTTCCCTTACGTCTGTGTCTCTCACTTAATAAATTTGACCAATCCCAACTTCTGTCTGTGTAATTAATGAGCCATTGAGCGCGCGTGATTTTCGGTAGTATATTGAAACCCTCAATATATTCTCATATCTAATGACGCAGGAAAACGATTACTTCGGGTTAAGTTACGATCGGAGCAGCGCTGCGTATTTTTTCTCTCCTTTTTCTTTAACTCTTTCCTCTCTTTCATTTTATTTATCTTTATTTCATCAAACCGCCCACGGAATTACAGACGTTCTTTTGGGCCTGCCGATGAAATTACACCCGGAACACTTTTATTTGAATACGCGATAGGGTCCCTTTACTTTCTTTTTTTTTTCAGTGACGTGTGTGAACGGTACCTTTATAACGTATTAAGGTATATACAAGTCATACAGCAATATCATCCGACAGCAATCATACTTAGATTTATTTATGGGGATTATTTGTACCCGTTTGCAGTTTACATTACTAATGCCTAACGTGAACTTGAACTGTATGACGTACAGGTGTATTTATATACTCCATGTATACATAGGCATGATATTAAACATACGAAAAATTCATAAATCATATTATTAGTATCGTATCAAAATATCTTAATGATTTATTTATAAGTATTATTCACGGTTTAAGATTTAGTTTTCTCTATTGGTGAACTTTGATCCCGTGCGAATTCTACTGCTGTAATTTGCACTTTGTACTTGCCTCTAGCGGTACTACACACTATCGATCTGCTGTATATATGCGGATAGTGCTTGAGAAAAATACCGTTGCAGAGAGTAGTTGATTTATGCAGCCGCAGGATTCGCAATTTGTCATCCATTAGATTTTTATATTTTATAAAATACACGTCGTGTAATTCCTCTTGAGTTTTATATACTCTGAGTTTTAAAAAATTATTTATAAACTAATTTTCACACTATTGTCTTTTTGCAGAATGCAGCGTGGCAGGCTTCCTAAGCCATTCCGGTAACGTGGAGGCAATACCTTATGTTTTTCTACCGCAACGTGAACAGATCATTTATCCTCAGGCTGAGATTCGATTCCAAGGTAGGCCAAAGAAATCCTTGTCCAATTCCAAAAGAGTTGGCAATCTGTGAAAACGCAATGGTTAAGTATGCTGAAATTTTCTAATTACAGGCGTCGCAACTCCAGTTTGTGGGATTACCGGTGCTCAGCAACTTGGTAAAAGCGGATGGATGGGACTGCGAAACCTTTCTGATGCCGAACCACCTTTCAGACTATTCAGGGACGAAGGTCGAACATTTCTGCAGGTGAATGGTCGAACAGTACATTGTTGGAGGGACGATTAACAAAAGGTCTTCTTAACCCTGTACTTTTGTTTTACTTTGATAATCTTCAGTGGATCGGTGATGCTGAACTCAGGGATGCTACAGAGGGCAGAGTCGTCTTAGCCAGATTAGTTTGCAGAGATGCTTCGCCATCTACAACCAAGCCAACAGTGTTCACACCGTGCGTTGCATTCAGGGTGGCAGGTTCACCATCTAAAAATAGTAAGCATACCGTACCATTAGAATCTTAATAAATCCTCTCTCTTTCTTTCTACATTGCTAATTTCTTATCATTTATAGGTGTAAGGGAAGTGATGTTCTCACCATCCGGATCTACCAGCCAAGGATTATCCACGATAGAGTACACAGCCATTGGAGTATCATCCGTATTGCTGGCGCTGATTTATATAGCCAGCGTCTCCCTGTATCTGCAGAGCAGAAGGGCGAGACGGAAACGATTTCAGGAACCGGAAGCACCTCACGCAAATGGTAGAGATCCTGGAATTGTTAAGAATAATCCACTTCTCTCGGCTGGCCGACATTTTGAGAGTGATACCAATAGTGGACTTAGTGAAAGTGACCTTGGGGATGACCTTGGGCAAAGCGATGGAGAACCTGGTTTCGAAAATGTAGGTGAACACTGGCTCGGCTCGCACGCTTCGTACTGCTGTTCTGTTTTTCAAATAGGTTCTGATGATTTTTTTTCAGCAGATAACATCAGCCATTGTTCATCCTCACTGTGTCTACCTGGAACCTGGAACGGAAGGATTCTTCGGTTCAGGATCAATTCTTGGCGAAAGGATTCCAGACGAAGACGTTCGCATTGTTGAGACTGTCGAGAATGCTCATCTGCAGGATTTTCCAGCTCTGCCTGGAACACAGCGCCGGAAGTTGTACTTCAATCCTGCTTACTTTGACCGACAGTTACTATTGGCACCGCCACCGGCAGCTGTTGAATTTCTTATGAAGATAAGAGAAGTGATATCAATTGCTAAACATAAAATGGCTGTCAAGAAATTTGTTCCTACACTGAATGGTAAGCCATGATAATGACTTTAATGTATAGTAACGGTATACTTAAGATTCTGATGATCCTGAAATTGTTTTGGAATTTCAGGGATCCCAGAGGAAGAACGTTCGGTATCAGAAAAGGAGAGCTCGGCAAAACCGAGAGTAAATTCGGTTCAAGGTTCTGTAGCTAGATCCAGGAAGTCACAGGGATGTACCGGATGTCCTGGCTGTCAAGATATCATAGCCTTACCAGCTCCTAGCCAACCATGTCCTGGCGAGAGCAGAATAAGAGCTTGGTTACAGGATGTCAAACCTCCTGAACGCCGTTGGAAGGATCCTGAGGAGAGTAAAAGGAATTTTCAGGAAAATGCCAGGAACTTCGCCAGGAGTTTAGAATATTTGAAGAATGTGGCGAGGCAGGATATCATTCAGGATGGGTCTCAATTGAATGCCAGGACGTTATCAGTCTGGAAGAATAAACCTGCGATGCTTCGTTCTTTCCAGGAGATGGCACGAAGTGAGATCTTAGATAATGAAGACAGATACAGTGTCTCTAAAAGATCTACCAAGTCCATGTTCGAGCAATCGATTTATGACAGATTCTCCAGAGTCGCTGATGCCCATCAGGTCAATAATCTAAATGCCAAGGTCCAACAGATCATTGAAAATTCCTTCAAAAAGCAAATGGAAGAGAGCATCGGCTTAGAGGAGGATCAGAAGAGATTCGTTCCTACGTTTTCTTGCGAAGAAGCCACTTCCGTAATTCCTCAGGACTCTGAAAAAGCATCCTTGAAAAATTCTTTGTACCGGGATAACACGTTATCTAGCAAAACAAGCCGGATAAGATCTCATAAAGATTCAAACAAACTTCCGGATATGATAACGGAGCTTCCTGGTTCGAAAAATCCGACGAAACGAATTATGGATGCTGTAATTCGTGAGATGGTAGATGTCAAGGCTCTGGACCAGGTATCTAAGACTGGAAAAGTAATAGACTACGAAGTGGATAGTCTGGAGAGATCTAAATCAAGTCGAAAATCATCACCAGATCAATCTAGTCCAGCACTGTCAACTGCATTGCCAATGACGGAAGAATTGACAATGCGCAATGCAATTTTCAATAGAAAAACCGGACAGATGACAATGTCAAAACTTGAAAAGGATTTCTATGATCTACCGGAAGTGATATCTCAGCGTAACGAGAGATACAGTCTCGTTAGTGAAGTTTACGTTAACGACGGTTATGCCAGTCCAGCCGGCAGTGAGGACTCTGGACCCGAAATACAATACGAGCCAGAAAATCCAGGTCACCTAACAATCAAGGTACAGGATTCCCCAGAGAATTATGTCAAGCAAGATGAATCTGAATATGAACCAGATACACTAGACCGGAAACCCATGAAGCTCAAGATTAACGGAGAGGTAAACTATGACAAGGAAATCTTATCGGAAGTCTACGTAGACTCTTTGGAAAGACCAGCACAAATTTTATTACGAAGTAAAGGCAGTTTTCGTAATGACGACTCTGACCAATGTCCACCTTTAGAAAGAGGATACGGAAGTCTACGCGAAATTTATGAAGCCAGGATCAGGTCGAACCTGAAGGACTCCAGTTTTGTAAGTGGTAGCACCAAGTCCTTGAACGGGGACTCTGAGAAGGGAATGTCCTGGCGCAAGACGAAATACTTAACACCAGATTCAAGACAGGCTCGAAGACAAAGAAAACAGAACCAACCGGATGTAGTGCCATTGCCACCGTCTGATGACTTTCGAGAGGCAGAGTCCTGCCAGGAGCTAAATACCTTTTCAAAAAACGGTTGGGACAGGAGTCAGTCTGAGGCTGGAAACCCTACGGCCAGCCAGGTGGCTCCTGTCGTAATTCTAACAGGACGCCCCGTAGGGACTCACCGGATCTTAAATAGTAAACAGGATCCTGTACGAGGGAAGAGCTTGAGGAGGGACCTAAAGTCCCCTGAGAGTTGCGTTTGCAAGAACTCTGCAATTAATAAACAGACTGGTCCATCTGCTTCTTGCAAAGGCTGTCCTAGGCACACATTTTGGAGCATGGATGCATCGAGAGCCCTTAAGGATAAAAATTCAGCTGCCTTGGGCATAAGGACAAAGAACCGGAAGGGCGTGACCTTAAAGGTCGAGGACAGTGGTTACCTCAGTAGCACAGATAGCAATGGCTCCCAGAAGCATTTATTGAAATATGACGTCAGCACTGTCTCGGAGACCGACGAAACGGAGTCTGTCTGCGATGGAGCGAGCGAGAGCGGCGCTGAGAGCGTCGGGACGGATAGCGTCTTCTTCGATAACTTCCGTCGATTCTCGGATACTGTGTCCGGTAACTTCCGGTGTCTCTCGGACGCTTCTGGATTCTCTAAAAGTATGGATTCTGGCGTCGATCTTGGCAGGAGTCAATGTGTTCCTAGTTTTGGTATCAGCAATCCCGTTGGTACCGAGAAGAGCTTTAGCGACAGTGAAAACGAAAGTTTGATTACGGTTCTCGTACCCGGAAGTCAGCACAATAGTCTTGTTTCCTGATAATGTTAATTTTATAACTAGCTTTAGAAAAATATGCCTTAGGCCAACGAGTCCAAAGTACCTTGGATCAAATCTAACCATAAGCAGGTATTCCAGTAGCAGGTTGGAAACCTCATATACATATTGCTTTGTATTCGTACTTATTATTTCTTACGAGATCTTTATGATTTATGAAACTTCTAATAATAGGCACCGGATACTCACATGGCCAGTAACTCAAGAATATTACCCTAATACTATAAATTATTATTACGTTCCAAGCGCTATGCGTTTATGAGTTCATATACCGGGTATTCTGCATGTATATATATGTATATATAATAAATTTATATATATGTATATATAAATTCTGCATGTATATATAATATACATATATTCCTGTATATAAAACGAATAGAATCTTCTCAATAGCCTCATTAAATAATTAGTCTATTAAACAGATAATATATTTTCGTCTTTAACCGCAAATAGATCTGTAAAACCTTCATATTCACGGATACTCAGATATACGTTGTTATTATTATTCACACTTGGCAAAACATTAATATCGCTGGTTCCGATATTAATTAGTCAAGATTTTCTTTTTAGAAAATCTATGTGAAAATGTTATTTATTATAAGATAAGAAAAAAAAATCCAAGACTTTTAATCAAGGTTTTTAATGGCCGACAGTGCAATAATAAATTATATCATAGCATTTAAAACGGTACTTAAACGAACTTATCATTTTATCGCTGTACTTAAATAATCATTAGTCTATTATTTTATAAATTACACTACGATATCTTGCCAAGAAGGTATTAACATTGAGTAGGTTTTATTACATGAAAATAGTACTATTGTTACTATGCTGTTGCATCTGTATATTTTATGTATTGTACAGTACCTCGTATTTATTTTGCTCTATCTCATTTTTCATATATTTATTATAACGGTCCGTCATTATTCACGTTTGTTAAGTTTGTTGCTCTGGTAAATTTATTATTTTTTTTTTGTTATTATTTTGATCGCTTAATTTATTAACGCAATTAGCAAAGACGCTTAATGACTCTGTCACTACGAATTATTGTTTTTTTTTTTTTTTTTTTTTTTTTTTTTTTTTTTTTTTTTTTTTT